TGTAATGGTACCGTATCATGATGTTTACAGCTGTATTATCAGTGCACAGCGTGACAACCGGACCCGTCCACACACTGAGCTCCGGACCGGTCCGGAGCTCGGTGTGTGGGCGAGAGCTAATGCCGCCCTGCGCCACATGGCAACAACGCGGCAGTCTCCGAAAACGTGTTTCAAGCAAAAAGCAATCACTCGAGTTCGATATCCAGGTACTTATTATTATTTTCTCGCCTTAAGCTATTTTCTTTTTCTCGTTCATGGGCACTTCGACATGGCGAGAAATGGGCAGTCCATTCACTTGAAAATCGGGGATTTGCATCCTATTTTGGCTCGGTATGAATGGGTTTACTGCGTAATGTTTACTAGCGCCTAATTACCCAAGTACTTCCAAGTAATTGTCTGCTGGTGCGCTGTACCTACAGTCCGCTCCTCCTTGTCGCTGACGGGTGCGGCTTATCTGACTTTAAGTTGCTCCAATGACGCTGCGAGTGAAGAGAAGGATAGTAAATTGCACAGTTCTGCTAATTCACTACGGGATGTTGATAGCAAAATCATCACAACTGTGTATGCAGCAGATTCTGCGGTTTTGCAGTAGTAGATGCGTTTTCGCAGAGGGGAGCGGGGGAATTTATTTGACAATTCTGAAATAAGTTTTCCCAAAGTGTATGCCATGTAACATTAACTTACAGATACATTTTACAGCAAAATCTGTTTATTCATTTATTTTAGTATCGTGTACCATCATCAAGCCCAACATGGTTGATTTCAATGTTACGTTAATTAACGCACCCAGTCTGCCTCCTGGATTCCAGGAAACACGGTTTTGTTTCTAGCACGGCGGCGCAGTGACAAGCCTCACCACAAGGAGGCGCAGATACAGTACACCACCAAACAATCACTGGGGTGATTAGTCGCTCAGTGAACAGTACACCGTAAACCAATTCAAGGTTTTTTTTATACATAATGATACCGATCCAAAGCAGTCAAAGCAGGATGCTTGCATTGGAAAAAAAAATGCATGCATGCTTTCTTTTAAAAGAGAATTTACCACCTATTTCTCTTTATGTTTACAGAACGATAAAACAATGCCAGCGTATCGAACTCGGCGCTTGTTTTTGTTGTTGGGATCCAGAGCATCTCCAGTCTCCCTTGACGCAGGGCGGCATTAACTCTCGCCCACACACCGAGCTCCGGACCGGTCCGGAGCTCAGTGTGTGGACGGGTCCGGTTGTCACGCTGTGCACTGATAATACAGCTGTAAACATCATGATACGGTACCATTACAGATCATGAACTTGGGACTACTTACCACTGGTTTCCAGTCTGGTAGTAATCCTTTGTGCTTAACCAGTCCGTTGACATTTTCTTGGACAGGCAACTCACTTTCCATTTTTCTCCGGCCCACACAAGTCTCAAGAGCCAATGCAGTTTCTCGCTCCTCTCGTCGCTCTTGCCTGCCTCATCGCTGGTGCTGAAGGTGCTTGCACCGGGCCGAACGCCCGCACTACTCCCCCTCCTGGTGCCATTGTCGTTGACATCACGGGTTCCTACAGGGGAAGTTTCAAGACCGTGTCGGCAGGGGTAGCCAAGTTGTCCACCGCGACGGGAGATAGCACGCTCTTCTTGATGCCAGGCATCTATAAAGAGAAGGTCACGGTCCCGCCGCTCAAGGGCAAGCTGGTTATACAAGGCTACACGTGCGACACGACTTCGTACTCTGCGAATCAGGTCACTATCACCCGTGCCATGGCACAAAAGGATGTCCCCGCCAGCATCACCAAAAATCGCAACGACTACACGGCCACGGTGTTGCTCAAGTCGAGCAACGTGAAAGTATACAATCTCAACGTTGCAAACACGGCCGGGAACGTTGGTCAGGCCATTGCACTGAAGGTTGACGGTGCTAATTACGGACTATACGCTTGCAAACTCATGGGCTACCAGGACACTTTGTACGCGAACAAAGGCCCTGCGCTCTTCGCCAAGTCATACATTAACGGTGCCATCGACTTCGTATTTGGTCTGTACGCGAAGACCTGGTTTGAGTCCTGCCACATCGAGTCTATTGGTAATGGATGCATCACTGCCAACGGCCGCACCGATAACTCAAACCCGTCCGAGTACGTCTTCAACAACGCTCGTGTCTTCGGTTCCAAACCGGGGCAAGCCTTTCTTGGTCGTCCGTGGCGGCCGTACGCCCGCGTTGTTTTCCAGAACAGTGATCTCAGTGATGTTGTTAACCCCGCAGGATGGCAGAAGTGGAACGGTGACAACAACACGGGTAACGTCTACTTCAAGGAGTTCAACAACAGAGGAGCTGGAGCTGCGACCAACAAGCGTGTACCTTTCAGCGGAAAGCTGCAGAAACCAGTGGCCATCGCGGAAATCCTTGGCCAGGGTTACGAGTCCGCCTGGTGGGTGGACAAGTCATTCATGTAAACTGGTTGAAGTACTTTCGCTGCGGAGATTCTTTTGACCTGAAAAAAATACATGTACACCGTTCACTAACAAAAATCACCAAATACACCACAACAAATCAAAGTTCTCAGTAAGTTACGAAGTATTTGTTGGCTTTCCCTTTTCATCATTTATAGTCATAAAACACTTTAACATTGTCCCTATCCTAAATCTTCAAATTGGTGATAGCTTGGACAAGCAAGTTAGGTACATGTACATATACCGTGAACATATTCTTACAGCGCCGTTAATGTCGCCTGTATTTGGCCCAATATCGATAGTATAGGGTTTATCACATTCCACACTACTTGTTTGGTTTTTCAGTGCTTTGCTGAAGAATATTTTTATTCGAAACAGTGAGGAATATTTGGCAACTCTAACTGAAGTCGATTATATTCCTCCACCCTCGTCAGTTTTGGCCAGGTTAAAGCCCGATCAAATCGCTCGGTTACCCCAATAATGGCAACCAAACCCAAACAAAGCAATACGATCGGAAAGGGTCGTTGTTTGACTTGTTAACGATGCCTCACTTCTCTGGACTCTGCATCTAGGCATCAGTGCGTCGGAACAGGTACAGGTATCCGGCGCCAAGAGGTGGTTCCTCCGACACGGCCACCTTGTCATCATTAAAGATAATCCAGCGACCATCCTTCTTCATGTGGCACACGTAGTGTCCCGAGTTGGTGTTCTTGCCCACGTGGCTAACAAAACCCACAAGCGAGTAGTCTCCAGTGTTCTCGCTATCCAACCGCTTCACAGAGGACCCTAAATCACCACTTGGCACCGCTGATTCGCTCTCACATTGAGTCACAGCGCCGTCCAGATCGTCCATGTGACTAAACAACCACTCAGCAGCGCGGTCGGGGTTGTTGTCTGTCTGCTTGAGTGCACACTTGGCATGAGGCTCGGCGAAGCCCATAGCCATCAGATTAGACACGTGCTCCATGTTGACAGAGTCTTCGGCGTTGGTAGCAGCCCCAGCCGGAGCAGGAGGGTCGTTAAAGTCCGGGTCCTCCATGTGGCTAAAGATCCACTCCATCGCTGCTTCAGCATTCGAGTTGCCAGTCGCGATGGCTGCACGTTTGCATCCATTCTCGGAGAAACCCATCGACACTAACTGAGCCACAAGGGCTTCGTCGGCGTCTGTCGTAGCACTAGCACTGCTTTCAGTCGTTCCACCAGCAGTAGACGCTTCGGGTAGTTCCTCTTCGCCATCAACAAGACCCTTGGACACGAACCGGCTCAGAGAGAATTTTTCTGGCACCTTCACTTCAACCTCCAGTTTCTTAGGAGTCCAGTCTTCAGCCACGTAAAAGCGTCTCATCTGCACGAGCAAATAACGCGGGAAGGAGCGGAAACGAACGGTCTTCTGCGCTTGACCCTTTTTCCCGGTAGCTGGTGACAAGAAGTCCTCAATGACTTCAGGTGCCAGCGTCTTTTCAATACACGCTTCAAAGGGAACATTAGGCACGACACGTTCTTCTTCAGTTTTGTCAGCCTTCTCGCTGTCACCAAGACGCTGACGTTTTTGTTCAAGGACCTGGTAAGCGCTAACTTGAGTGGCATTGGTCGCTGCTTCGAGAGGAATCTGCAATTGAAGAAGCATGTCGTCTCGCGATACATACTTCACCTTGTTGGAAGCCATGCACTGCACACGGTCTTCCAGCTTGAACTTGAACAAATTCGCAGTCGGCAGATCTGCACTCGTCGCACTGTCTCCAGGAAGAAGAGGTCCCATGCGACTCGCACCAACACGCTCAGCACGAGTCATGAAATCCAGCAGATACTGGAGATATTCCACTGCATCTTGCTGCTGTCCAGTAGAGAAATCGGGATGACCTTTTCCAACAAGACCACGGAAGGTGATCGGTCGCAAGTCCACATTATGGAATTCATCCTCTTCAACCTCTTTACCATCGTCCTTCGGCGATAAGAACTGCTTCTTGTATCGATCCGTCAACGTCGCACACGCCAGTTTAGCAAACTGAGCAGCGAAGTCGTCCACCGGTAAATTATCTGCAGTGGAGAAAATCTTCTCTGACATCTTAAAATACCGTTCCTGCACTTCAGGTAGCGCCAATAACAGCTGCAGCACCGAGTTCATGTAGCAGCTATTGCCCAGATTCTTGAACCCCATATATCCAGCTCCAGAAACCGGTACCAATTTCTTGCCTGCCTCAGTAACTGCATCAAACTCGTAGGACAAATTTAGTCCCACTTGCAGCTCGTTCATGGACTTGTCGGTCTTTTTCAAGTTGTTGACATTGATACCAAAGTGCTCCAAATGTTTCGGTAACAATGGATTCTTAACCATATCATCTTCGTCCGGTGCGTAGCTGTACACGTCTCCTCCTTCGGCTGTAATTGTGCCCAATTTCACCGACAATGGGTAAATTCCTCCCGTCTCACTGTAATGGGTCAACGCTGCTCCACAGCCTCCAGATCCATCCCAGTTCTGACGACCGCAACCAATGTAGCCATCTGACAAGTTTAGCCACAGATTCTCCTGCTTATCACAGTTTGGAGCTTGGCATTTCCAGGCCGAAGGGTTTGACGCAATGTGCGGCGGGTTCGGGACTTGAACCAGGTGCTCGGCGTACTTGGTAGGCTTGAGTTCTTCCTGCCAAGACGCCACTTCTTCAGTGACGGTGTTCCCTGCGTGGTTGAGTACAGCTTCAGCTGCTTCTTTCAGCTTTGAGGGGAGACTGGGAGAGTCTAGAGCTTCCCGGGCGAGTTCCTGCTGGCCAGGACCCAGTACAACAATGGTAACAGTTTTTTCAACATCGTATTTGTCTTCTGCGGACGCGGCGAAGCCCCCAGCGCCACCAATAGCAAGCTTTGTGGGGGTTTCTTTGGCGCTTGAAGAGGATGAAGCCTTAAGCTTGCGTGTGTGCTTCTGATGCAGATAAACGGCCGGCGTTTCGATGCGATCATAGACGAGATACGGCGCGCCGTACGAGAGGAAGGAGCGCAGATTCGTGTAGAGACCCGAGGGAGAGAGAGCGGAGTCAAAGGAGAAGACGCATTCGTCACGGTACACGCGGTCCGAGGCACGCGCCACGCGCACCAGCGAAGCTGCGGATTCTAGAGGAGCTTCCGTCATTTTGTTCTTCGTTTATGAAGGAGAAGATACGTTTGGGACTAATTTTTCCCAAAATTTCAAAAAACAATTTGTGAAAAGGTCAGTGGCTACATTTCTAGATGGTCATTTTCCAATAATTGGACAAAATTTCGATATCGAAGTCAATAAGTAGCTTTGATTTGAACAAGATAACAGCCCCGAGCACTGGAAAAAGGAACGCGTCGTGTGAAAGCCAAAGCTACCTGTTCAACCGAATGCGGCAATGCTGTTCGCAATGAAATGATCTTCAAATTTACTTTTTTCCGCACTACAGCATCTGGTTGTGTTTCGGTCACGTTTGCTTGTTCTCGCATAAATGTCGGCTCATTTACGTCAGCATGGCTGTTGTTGCAGCAGTGGGCGTGGTTGGAGTCATACCGCCTTCCGCATTGAGCACCGCCATCTCGTCCTGGGCGCGACGAAGCACCTTTTGAGCGTTCGCTGTGATGACCGACTTGGTCGGGTCGCCGTTGAAGATGCGCGAGTTGTTGACGATCAGCTCCAGGTCCTTGACAAATTCGCGCATCGAGTCGTACTCCTTCGCCTCGATCTTGCGACGAACAGTGCTCAGATCCATCGGCTGCTTCACAATCTGGTAGTAGTTTGGAACTGTGCTGGCATCCACCGGCAAGCGGAAGAGTTCGCTCTCTGGCATTTCGAGCAGCCGCTGTACAACCACTTCAAGAGCATTATTGACGTACTCCACGGGCATACGCGAGCGACTCTGCTTGATAGCGCCCTTCGCATAGGGCCTCTTGTACAGCTCTGCCTGCTCGCGCACCTCCAGTTCCCGCTTGCGTTTTTTTTCTGCGTGGTGTTTGCGTGCATCTTCACGCAGCTCCGCGAGGTTCACCGTGATCTTGGTACTCGAGTCACCACCACTGATAATCGACGGAGACTTCTTCACCTTAAGCTTCAATGGTTCCGCAAGCATAGCATTCGCTTGCTTCTCAGAGAAAGACCCCGACTTCTTTGAGCGAGCTTCATCAGCCATGTACAGTGGACAGCTGCGGTTGGTGCGCATGTGTCCAACCTGCAGACACTGCGTACAGCGAATAACTCCTTTGCCACTACCATCATCAGCTTCGTCGCCGTCAGCACCATCAGCAGATTCGCCCTTTTTCAGCATTTCTTGATAACCTTTATTCTGCGCTTCGGTCTTGGCTAGTTGCTTGAGTTCTTCTTGCAGCTGCTTGCGTCTCTTAGCCTTGTCCAGCAAACTCCCATCATCCTCTAATGCTAGCATACGCTTACGCTTACGAAGCTGGTTGCGCTCATCAGATTTCTGTTGACGGTCCTTGCGCTGCTGCATCGCGCGGAATCGAGCTACCTGCTTATCATCGACAATGAATTGGATGCGGACGGTCTCGCTGCCGTCCTCTTCAATGGTCCGCACGACACGCTTGAGCACTTTCCGACCTGGAAACTTCTTTGATACACTGGGTGGCTCCGACGGGACTGGTGTGCGACTCCCATGCGTTGGTGAAGATACTCGCGATAGCTGGCCGGTGGGCGTTGCCAGCGCAGATGACACTGTCGAACCACCACGAGACATCATATTTGATCGTGCTCCGAAGCCTGATACTGAAGAAACGCCACTGGCACCAGTGCCACCTTCTCTAATTCCACTCGCGCGCAGCTGGTTACGCAGGCCGTTTGTATCCACATCAGGACGACGCACAGCGCTCGTCGGTTTGGCGCTCGCACTGGGTCCAGCATCTTCGTTCATTTCCTCCATAAGGCGACGCAGCTCCACAGCGTCTTCCCGCTCTGCAAGCACCTCTTTCGAGCGGTTAAGACCTCCACCACCACTGCGGAACAGATTCTTCGGGCCACGTTTTGTGTCTGTGCCTCCCAAGATATCAGCCTCGACATCAGCACCCAACTCATCCAGTTCGTCATCACCATCTGATTCCTCATCTGATGAGAACGTCGTCTTCGTTGAGCTCAGCACATCCATTTGACGCTCATAGATCACGTCACACTTCTTGCGATACTCTTGTTGCTGAGCTGAAAGAGACTTACGCGCACCACGAGCGAACTTGCTCAAACTACCAGCCACACCGTGGGCTGTTGCACGACTACTAAGTTCACGCACCATATGAATTCGATCCCAACGGCGAAGTTTCTTGATATCCGCGTCAGCCAGACCCAGATTGCGCAGCACATCACCGGCCTCCTTCATTTTCAGCTTACGCAAATCGGCCGTCGTACCAGTGACGGCAGCCACAGCCTTTTGCACAGCAGCAGTCTCTGCGCTAATCTTGCTCTCCGCTGTCGGGGCAGCATCTTCCTCGCCGTCTTTCTTCTTGGCACGGGACTGAGGCACACGGACGAAACTAAAACCTTCACCACGACCAGTGGGGTCACCAATGCCACCAAGTTGCAGCATGCCAGAGCCTTTACCCTGCAGGTGGCATTCCACGTAGTTGTTCGTCAAATTCCATGGCGTAAGCTGCAGCTGCTCGTTAATATAACGAGCGACTTGAATATCTTTCTCGAGCTTGCGCACCACAGGGTCCTTCTTCCAAAGTTCGGCCTGCGCCTTCTCTCGTGCCCGTCTCTCGAGATTGGCAGGCACAAGACGGGTCGACAATGCATTCTTGCGCAGTTCAAGACGCCGGATCAAATGGTTGATGGCTCCATTCACGCCAGAAGGTGTGAAGAGCTTGGTCAGTCCAATATCAAGCAGCCGTCTGTGGCCAGACATCATGCTCTCGTAAAGACACACACTCTCAGGTGGAATGCTTGCACGGATCTCTTCCTCGCTTTGCAATTGCGAAGCCGGTTTCTTCTTCCACCAACCTGAATCATTACCACCACGCTCGAAGGTAGCTACCTCCTTCATACGCTTACGGATAGCAGTGCCCGACTGATTCGGGAATGCACGCGCAATATCCTCGATCTTGAGTCGTTCTCCATCGCTCGCTTTCTTGAACAGACGAAGAATGTGAAACGACATGTACGGGCGGATAAACTCGTTCGCACTACGAGAGTTCGGTGCTGGGACTTCGATTTGAGGTTCAATTTGGCCTGCGACAAAGACCTCAGGCAACTCCATAATGTACACCGTTGTCTTTGGCACTCCAAGGCCGCCCGATTTGTCTGCTGCAGCTCCCTTCTTACCCTTTGTGATAGAGCGACACATCAGAAAAATATCCGAGTTGTTGCGCTCACGCGCATCCGGACTTGCGGCAAATGGGACCGTCGGCTTGTGCGGGAAAATTGGCACCTTGTACAGCTTCGAGTTAAGTGACGTCACCACTCGACCCGGGGGAATATCACCGACGAATGGAGACTCATCGTGATCGCCAAGCGTAATGACTTGGCCCATCTTCATATCTGGTGGTTTCGGGCGTGTCTTCCTAGCCTTCTTTTTACCCAAAATTCCCAATCCAGCCGAAGTATCCTCTGGTGGCCGCCAGTAGTGAAGGATACGGGACGCCATGCCTGGATTTGACAACATCGGTGGGTGCTGCTCTGTGTACTCAATGAGAATCAACTTGCCGCCAGCAGTCGGATTCAAGTCGGAGCTCTTCTTAATCTGTGTAACCATGGCACTTTCTTCCTGCGGGGCCAACTTCGCGGCGCCCGGAGGTGGTGGCAAGAACTCGAGCCGTTCGTTAATTTTGAACTTGCCGCGTGGTCGGTGGAAGTCTCGCAGTTTGGTCTTGGGGAGCTCCGGCTTCGTGAGCGAAAGCTTCATAGCTGGTAGTGAATGGTGCACATAACCAATGTTCTTCACCACACGCGTGTCCTTCGATTTTTTGCCGCTACCTTCAGTACCCAGTCGGCCTTCAGCAGTCTCCTCACCAAACTCAAGGTTGCCCATTACCTCGTCGATACGCTGTTTCTTCTCAATGCGCTGCTTGTCCAGCTGTGCCAGGCGCTGCTCAGCAGCTCCCAGCTTCCGTTCAGGAATACGCAACGTTGGACGCACGTCCTCCATCTCCGGGACAGAGTAGATAAGCGACGCATCGTTATCATCCAGCACTAGCTTACTCTCGGGCATGTCCTGCGTCGATTTCCATCCAATTGCAGCCACCCATGAGTCATCCTGTAGCTCCTTATTCAGCGGACAGGGGAGCGCCTGCGGCTCATTTTCCTCAGCCTTCTCTTCTTGTTTCTTCTCCTTTGATGAATCTTCCAGCTCCCAACGGTAATTACGTGGCTTGGTCATGTCAAAGTTCTCTCCACTAAACGTCGACACAGCAGTCTCCTGTCCTCTCGCCGCACGTAGCTCCTTGTACGTCTGCAGTCCACCATCACTCTTCTCTGTTCCTTTTCCACGGCTATTTCCTTGTGTTGTGGTTTTCGCCTCCTGCACCAGTGTGACTCCTCCGACCGAGTCTTCCACTTCGACACTTCCTTCATCTTCTTTTTCTCCTTTAGCATCGGCATTAAAATCGATACCCCAGATAATATTCTCCTCCCATCGAAGCTGCTGAACCTTGTGGTATTGTGCGTCATTTTCCTCATCCGAGTCCGTGAATCCGCCGGGTCTTCCGCCAGTTGCCGCCATGAGGACGAACGGCGTGGCGGACGACGCCAGAAAGCGACGCATGGGCTTTCCCTTGGCTTCTGCCGCTCTAGGTGGATGGGTCTGTAATGTCTGCTCTTTTCCTGCTGCGTTCTCAGCACCTCCAGCCTCCTGCGTCGTCAGTAGCTGTTGTAGCTGGTCAGGGGCGAATCTCAGCGCAGTAATGTCCGCTACCGAGCTCTGAGATTGCTGTTGCACCCTGTGCTCGGATGTGACCTCCTCTAGTTCCTTTCCCAATGTATGTAGCGTCGCAAACACCTCCGAGTCGCGCGAAGATCGCTGGTACAGGGCAGCGAAGTCGACAGGCTCTGCGCGCGCCTTGTTTTGCAGCGAGCACGTGTCCGCAGGGGACGTGGAGGATGCCAACGGCTTGCTAAAAGAAGTGGCTTCGCACAGATCCGATGCGGTCACGCCAGCGGCCCCTGTGGGGCTCTGTAGAGCACTCTCCAGCGGCGTGGAAGCCAACATCACCCCTTCTTGTTGGGTAGGCGCCATATTGCCAACTGGCTGAAAGAAGGGTCAGCCGAGATGTCGCGCGAAGGCGAATGTCGCTTGAAGGAGTGATGGTCGTTTAGAAATTTGTGTCGTTTCAAATTTTGATTCATGGCTACATTTGCCGTTTTTGTGTCAATGCAGCGGTTCAAGCTTGATGAGACCGCGCTTGACCTGTTCGCACGGAGGCCAACACGCAGCTTCTCGACGGGTCTGAGCTTTATTGACGCGGCTTCAACAGGAAGAGATGGAGGAGAAGATGGTTACCGACCGCGACAAGTTGTAGAGCTCTGTGGGGCGAGCGACACCCCCAAGACTCGAGTGCTTGAGCACATTATTGCCGCTTTCCTCACTAAAAGCGCTGCAACGAGCGACCAGCCACCGAAAGAGCGCGTTTTCGTCTTCGATCATGAAGGTGAAGTGTCTGTAACGCGGTTGGCGAATCTAGTGGCCTATAAATTGGCCGGTAGCAAGCGGGAGGATGCAGTGGAGGAGACACTGGCACGAGTGCAGACCTGCTATTGCCGAGACTCGTTCCAGTGGCTGGCAACGCTTAACCACATCCACTTCAAATTATTAGAGGCAGCACCTGCACGTGAGTTGCAGTAAGATTGATGGTTGGAGGAGGGTTTCTAATGTTTTGGCGGTGGACTTGCAACAGCTTTGATGCTGGTATTCAACTGTGTGGGGTCCTTCCATGCTATTGACAAGGTATGTAAAAAAAAATGATTGCAATCCAATAGACTGTAAATGCCTGACGAAGCTCATCGTTGCAGATGGCAGCGAGGAGTGTGGGGGCTGGACTGGCGCTGTCGGAGCAAGTATTTATTTTTTTGAAACAATTTATCCGGCATCACTCGCCGATTATTTTTGCAGCGAAAGAGACAGCCAGTACGTGCTAACAATGTTTAAGTAGATACGCAGACTGCGTTACTATACTGAATGCGGTCGTTGTGATAAAGAGAGCTCGAGGTCGCCGTGGGAACATGCAGAGTACTTGCCTTCGTCGTGGACTAGCCACGTCTCCAAGCGAATTTTGCTTCGAATTCCTCCACCGCCAAGGTGCTCTCGCGAAAGTTACAACTATGGTATTTCAACTACCAAACCTATACTGACTCGAATTGTTTTTACCCGATAGTCACAAATTAGAGAGGAAAACCGACTTTGACACCGGAAATATCGAAATGTGCACTCAATTTGAGGCCAAGTGTATCGTCGCTGGAGAGAGGTGGGCTTTCCATTTATCTCTATCATACCAGCAAACGTACTGGGTATATCTAAAGCAAAACTGACTTTCTACTTTGATCACTCTCAGCCGAGTGTTTGCGTGCCAAGTAGATGGAGACTTGATTTTCTCAAAAGTACTCTCACCGCACATGAAATGATTGGTAACTGTTTGACGCGATATTCAGTGTGGGTGATTGCAACTCTTGCTTACGAGTGACGCGTGATAACTTACTGTTAGATGATTCCTGCTCTCAACAGGCTGTAGCTGAGGAGCCCCCGGTAACTTAAGCGGATGTTGGTTTATTGCTTCCCACGCAGGTAAAACTTGACGAGAAACCTGCTCATCATTTACAGCTCGAACCTTGATCTTTGCTGGTGTCGGTCCTGGAGTAACCTCTGAGGAACAGCATACTCGTTCTCTAAAGCGTCTGAAGACCCCATAGCAATCCTGTGTCTGGGTTCTTCGGGCAACCTCATCCCCAAGGACGTTGCCAGCAGAGCCACCCAGTGCGTGATCAAATAAACTCACGACACCCGAACACAGACGCTCCGGACATGGCTCCACTCTCTTATTCGCCACTGTCCCTAGAACGACTAGATTGTCTTGTGGAATGGCAATCCAGTGCAGTTGCGTGTGCACAAAACACTCGTAACCATCAGGATCAACCGCTTTCAAGACACCCAGCGCTTTCAACACACTTGGTTTGTAGTACAGCTCCTCGTTCTCCCAAATGTACCCACTCAGCAGAATCAGCTTACTCCGTGCCCCCAGTGCAGCATCCACCGAGCAAGTGTTCGTTAAGACACGCAGAGTACCGAATTGTAGCTTCACGAACACTATGGCTCCGATGGCTCTGGTAGCGACGATAATACCCAGACAACCCAACGCAAGTACAATATGACCAACAAGTCCCATCACGTAATGAGAGATCATCTCTGCTGCTGGCTCAGTATCTCGTAAATGCGATCGGCTCAAGGACGTCAGATAGTGCTGCAATACTCCTGCTGTTATCAATTCGCCAATGAGAACTGTCTCGTAGTTAAAGAGCAGCCGTTTAGCTTGACAGCGCATCTTCTCGCTCATCCAGTTCATCGTCTCCACCATTTCAAACAACATGGACATGACACCAGACAAGTTGTATCCAAGTGATATGGACTGGATTCGTCCCAATAAGCCTTCTTGTGTGCTCAAGAGGAAGAAATCACTCATGACACCTTGATCGATGAGAAGAAAGAGCAGCAGTAGCCGATGGAAATTCCTGGCTCCGTGTGCAGATAACCGCATGCTTTCTTGGACGTAGACTACGGCTTCTTGTATACGGATGGACTCGACAATGCAGTCGCAACGCCTTGCAAATATTTTACATGATACGAAGCTTCTTCGGAGCGTTACACATCGAACGAGGATGAAGGCAGTGCCAGTGAGGATATACCAGTACGATTTTCTGTATCCATGTTCTCCCCTGTCGTAGGCGAGATTGCTACCGTTGGTATCGTACGTTCCGACTGCGCTTACTCGTAGGTATGTTGTGTTATCTAGTGAACAAAATGTCCCCGATGCCGCGGCGTAGATGGAATAGTACCCAATGCTACCATGGTAGAAATTGCCCTCGAGTGGAAAACTGTGGTCTGCACAGCTGGATGACGATGTATCGTGCGGCATGACAGTATGGTTCATCATAACATAATTTCCATGAGCGTTGTACTGTGGCACAGTAAAATGACAACGAACTCCATTTTTGATACGGTAGTAGTGAGTTGGACATGCATTCCACCGAGCACCAGCAATCACCATCACAGTCGCTGGACAAAGATTGAGCAGATCTGTTGTTTCTTGTACTGCATCGGCAGGTGTGATCAAGTTTTCTGAGATTTTGTGCGGTGTCACGAACTTGGCGAAACCTCGCAGCTGAAGGAAGAACGGCCCTGCTCCAACAGCTATCCAAACAACCATGACAACTCGTATCGCTGGCATGTGAAGAGCACGAGTTCTCCGTGCTCTCGGTTGCCCTGATGCATGTCTGACACCATGGACTTCAGAGCTGGTCATCTCAAACGCGTGTCTGTCTCCAGTATTGGAGACTATTCATGGCCTCTGAATCGTGGAGCCTATTAAAGCACATTTATAACCTAAGAAAATAATCAATAATATAGCACGCTTTTCATGTTACTGTAGTACCAGTTAATGACGACAGCACGGCTAGAATCTTCTCGTGCAGAATGTGCTGCCGATGGACGACGAGGTGCGACGATCGGATCGGAAGTTACCCTTTCTTGTAGAAGATTACTGCGAAACCACAACGATCCCTTCAGGACCAAAGAAACATGCTAGTGGGGATTCAAGTATCAAACTTGCAGCGTCATTTTCCAATGCTGTGCGAATGTTTCAGGAAGAAAATGGATGGGTGTTTTTGGATTGCATTGGCTTGTGGGTACCTCGTCGACAAAGTTACACGAGTTCATTTGCAGGCAGTTTCATTCGATTCATGGTGTCGTCATGCCATTGCAGCAGAATTGCTTCAAGTATGGATTTTCAGTAGAGTTGATTTTAGACCACTACTCAAGAAAATGGCAGCAATCTAATGCGTGGATGGACTATTATAAGGTTTTGGAACTAATGGCGTGATACTTAGCTTCGATATTACTTCGATGTATGTACTTTAAAGTATACACACAATGCGGCAAAATATTTTGTGCGATTATTTTAGTAATCTGGTGGTGCAGGGTTATCACTCTTCTCTCGGCGCCACGGTCGTTTTTTGAAAACAATGTCCTCCATGAAGTCGCGGCATGTGATTTGCTCAACTTTCGGTGCTTTCGGATTTAGACAAGCACTCGGTATGGCTCTCAGAAAATAAGGCATGGACATTCGTCTCTCGGCTTCTATTTCCACGCATATCGGTGGTACGCGATGCAAAGGCGCCGAGATGACTCCGTGTGTAAGCAATCCCAGCGTTTCTCCAGCAAAAACCGAAAAGTGGAGTGCAGTAGCATTCTCCTCCACATCCGCCCAATTCATTCGCTCCAGATTCCACATCTGTAACCCCGGGACAGTAGCTACAGGAGACACTGTAACTAGTCCAAGATCAGCATGCACTCCACATGAATAATCGTTCGGATCCACGTCGGCTGGGCTCTGTCCGTTTGCAGCCTTGTTACGGTAATTGTAAATGCGTAGCACCGATGCACCATACTGATAACTCTTATCTCTAGGACCGGTAAAGCCTTCCGTTGGGCGAGTTCGATCATCCAATAACTCATCAAATAACCAGCGCTCGTCAATATTGAAAATCTCACAGACAGATTTCATACAGTCACGCGAGATATCATCCAGCAACTCCAATAGCGTCAGCAACTCGTTTGCAAACTCCTTGTTCTCCTCGCTATCCTGGAAGTAAACAGGGGGCCACGGTGTGCCACTAGCCGCAATAGGGAGACGAAGTTGCATGTACTCTCGATTACGGTCCAAGCTAAAGCCCACACGCCGTCCACGCGACACGACCGGGTGCGAAGAATACAAACTGTCACTCGGGTTATCTTCAACGCTTTCCTTTTCTCCAGGCTTGCTCACATCCACATAGTCGATCCATCTCTTCTCCTTGGGCAACTCCAACTGCTCCACCAGCCACTTCCTCACACGTTCAAATGCCAATTGCGGGATTTTCGCCTGCTCCGGCGTCACTTCCAGTCTAGCAAAGCCAAAAGTTTGCAAATTTTGCACAAACCTACGTCTAGCTAAATTTCGCGCGATAGAGTTTGTCGTTTCCGCCAACGCAGCCGCGTTCACTGCGAAGAATGGCGACTCGTAGGCGTTCCCCATGGGCAGGGGTTGCTTTAATAGCCCCATGTGTCGGACAACCAAGGCGTAATGCAAAACTGGAATGCGAGTTTCGTCCGGGTTGGTGAATAGTCGGGCAGCCACAATATTGATCATTACCAGAGGATATGGAGGACTGTAGAGCTCATCTGCCTGTACGACAGCGAAGACACTGGATCCTTCGGGTAGTTGCAGCTTCTTTCTGAGCTCCACCTCCAAGTCCACGAGCGCGGTCCCTTGTGTACCAGATTGTGGACGGTCGTACAGAAGTGGCAGCTGGATCTGGTGCGTAAATACTTGAGATTCATAATAAAATGTGCACACGAGCGGAGGACGGCCGGTTAGGACGCTTAGCACGCCTTTCCTGATTGCACTTGGAGGGGGTCCTGGTACTGAAGGTTGGCCACTTGACTGCCGTTTGGTTGGAGAATTCCCCATCGTAGGGGCCTGGCACAAAAAAGATAACTGGTGACGGTCGGTGGTTCTGACTGTGACATGATCGGTGGTTGTAGGTTCACTTTTGCTAGAAAAAAGAAGAAATACTTCAACAAGCTAAATAATATTTTTTTACGCTGATTTTTTTTTTTACTAAACCGATCAAGTTACTAGTATTTTTTTTTCAACATGCCCTAACCTGTCTGTAATAGGCATGAAAGGGTGCGATGCTCACAACTTGTGAGTCACAAGATAAACTACCCACGTTTGCGTACAACTAGGGGCCACCAAGTTCGCTGCATAAACCATTTCGTTGAGCGGGCTAGTTGCAATCTCGATGAGAGCACATTTTGACTCCACCGTGCGTACAGCACACACCACGGGTTCAGGCGCATTTCGTACATCCTGGGAATAAGCAGAGGTTAGACCCACCGTGTGCACAACATAAACCACATAACTGAGTCTGTTTGATGCACCCTGACTGCGAACACATGTAAAATCCACCGTGCTCGCTGCAAAAGCCATGTAAGCGAGCTCTTTTGCCGCATTCAGGATAGGTACATTGTCTTCCGGATCCCCGGTTCCTTGTTGTGGTCTACCATTGTTCCCATCCTCGACGCCATTCCATCTTGGTCACCATTGCGATCGTTTACAATTGGCATTACGATACCTGGGAATTCAGCTGCTACGGCATCACTCACATTCGCATCTCTCGCGACAAGGCTCTTCGTTAGTGGAACATTGCGCGTTCTATGGTGAAGGTGTCGTCGGTGATAGTTCCTAATCGACCATAGCAGGTTTAATCTAGCAAAAGAAGCCATGTCTATAGCGTCGAGACGACGGCTTCGTCGACTTCAACTTGTTGATGATGTCCTAGTGAATCACTTAACGGTTACTTCAGGAACATACCAGCTGGTTCCGAAATTGACCAGTGGTTTAAAATGCTGACAAGATGACAGCGCTATGTGGCTCCCTGTAGCGAGTGATGAGAGACTCTTGCAGCCACATTAGATCCAAGTTCATGTGTGTGTGTGTGTGTATACGAGTTGAACACCTGGACGGAGGAGAGAGGCTCTCCGCTTGAAGTACCCTCGCCTTGTTAAGTCTCCACTTGAGGCGTCGTCGACGCCTTGTCGTCGTGCGTTGTGGTACATGTATGTTACGCCCGTCCTAGATCGAATCTCCGCGACCCTTTCCGAGTCTGCAGCGCTGCAAGTCTCACGCTCTAGATGTATGAGGGCGGAACATCCACCACCCACCACTTTATACTCCATCATGGATTCTGAAACACTTGTATTTCATCACCTTTATATCATCGCGAATCAGACTATTTGACTGGATACATCGTACAGCTCCCTCGTTGCCTGTTTCAATCTCTCTCCCATACAAAAAACAAGATGTTTTCGGTAAGCGTACACTTTTCCGTCCATAATTCCGTCACATCTCTAACCGACCCACGTGACAACAGGCCGCATTCCATCCAGCCCGAGATGCCGTCGAGCGTGCGTCCCCCGTGCCGTCCGAGCGAAGATGTGGCGGCCAACCAGGCCAACACACCGCCGCTGGAAGTCAAGAAGCTCTCGCCCGAGCCTGAACAGGAACAGGACCTCGAGATCCCCGGTACACCGCCGATGGACGCGCAGAGTCGCCGCGTCTGGGGGGACGACGCTCTGCCCGCCAACCCCAAGCTAACGGAGGCGCGGCGTCTCGTGGAGCAGGAGAAGTTGCAGTCTCCAGAGCGACGCGCGACGCGTCACGCCGCCGCAGTGGTGTTGCAGCGCCTCGTGCGCTGCTTCCTGGCACGTTGCAGCTTTGCCAAGCGCCTCAGCGCCGTGGGTCGCCCCGTGGAGCTGCAGATCACGCGGGTGCGCGGCTTGGAGATGCTCTGCGACTTCCGCAACGTGGTGTCGCTCTTCTGCAACGTACGCGTGCTCAAGAAACCCTTCGGGCCGTTCATGTTCCACTTCTCGTCGGACAAATGCACTAACGTGAACTTACCCACTTGGACAGACAAGTTCTTTGTGCCATTGATGTCCAGCAAATGCGACATTGTCACCACGTTGATCGGCGTCACGAATACGGGCAGATTGCGGTTTTTAGGGCAGGCTATTGTAGCGATGGAGCCTGGATGGGAACACACGAGGACGTTCAGTGCCCCACTGGCCAAGTGGAAATTCCCAGTGGAGGAGTCCATTGTAGGACTGCACCGCTTCGTACAGGGCACAGTGGAGCTTGAGATCACACCCATTTCGTCCCGGATGCCGTGCAAATCAGGTCAGTTTCTTATGGCGCCTCCCGTTCCGACAAGAGGGAGACGGTCGTTCTCCTTTTGGTCCAGACAAGTGTCAAGTAACGGATTGCTGGCTTCTCCAGCGCCACGGACGCCCAAGACGCCAGCGAGTGCCTCGCCGTCCAGGAAGACGATGGTGACGCGCTGGGGCGTGCTCACAGATACGACTTTCCACCTGTTCGACAACACGACTGCCAAGCTGCTCATTAGTTTGGATCTGGCGAAATTGCAGATTATCAAGTCCAACGCAGAGCCCAAGAGCGACCCGAGTCGCCTTTTCCCTGTGAAGTTGTATGCTAAGGGCACCATGTACGTGTTGTATGTGTCGAACTACTCACAGCAGCAGTCGTGGGAGTACAAGATCAACCTGCACCGCCGTGAACTGTTAATTCCGTAGATGAACATGTGGAGTAGTTGTCGTGGATGCATGGATTATTTGGGTTGTGTATTTAAGCGTAAAGACTTTTTTCAAGTGGTTTAATACGGACGTGCGCTTGGTCATTGAAGTACGCCAAATACTACATGTAGTACTAAGACTAACCTTAATACGTCTAGGTGGCAGAAGTTCGCAGAACGATGTACAACAACGCCTGAGCGTTTACATGTGTACGGCATGTTGAGAAAAAGAAGTACAGCAACAATAATCAACTGTCCTGGAATTGTCCTCGACCAGTGATATTATTCTACTAGGCAGGACACGTTCAACATACTCAACGGCCAAGAAAAAAAATGTGAAAGAACTTCGATTGCTTTACATATTTCAGTATTCATTTATCAATTGCTCCTTTCTTTTTTTACGAAGTTCCCTCCGCCCAATGTGCACCTAAGCTTATCGTGAAAAGCGCTTGTACACTGCTGCATGTACGATTTTATAAGTATTGGGACTATGGAGTGTATAAATGCGAATTTGTTCAGTGTCTGTTTGGTACTATCGCTCCACTGAATTTGTCGAGTGCCATAGTCTGCCGGTTTATCACACCTGACATGAGGTACCCTTCGGTTGACATGTGAGTTGAGTTGATTCATTTATCCAGAATGGTAGCCTACCATTGTTTACTCTTGCTCATTGCATTCATCGATTCGTTCCAGGTATTATTTTTCCATTGGCTCTTACATTCAACGAAGGTAACCTTCCTAATTGAAGCGAAGAATTCAAAAAGATCGCGCTGGAATAATGAGTTGGCGAGCATTCAAAGACAAGCACAATCAGACATTAGGCCGAACTGCTTCGTTTCGTGACTGATCATGGCGGGAATGAGTTTTAGCTGTAGACTGACTCTAGATAACAAGTGCTTTGAAAATAAGATTTGCTATCTCGTGTAAATTCTTGTTTCCCAGATTATCTGCAGATTCTCACTTTTTTTTTTAACCAAAGGGCCTGTTCAGCAAATTCGTTGTTTTGATCCGCAGGACCAAAACATTCAGCAAAGTTTTCAGCGGATATCGGGTTACATTTACAATAGCGTTACATATTAATAAACTTGTTAATGTAATCCGCTGTTCGCAGGGTTGCACAGTAAAAAGGTAGTAGAATAAAAATACAAAAAAAACTGATATATATGCAGCTATGAGTATATTGTAAGGCCATTGCGCTTATTATCCTTACTCCTCGTTGTATTCGCACTCTACATCCTCTGTGTCTGTCGTGTACTTTGGTTTGTGTTGGTGTGCGCCACATGGATGCTCGGGCATTTTTTTTTATGTGAAACTAATTGTTACGAAATGGAAACTATGGGTAATTTTCCCTTATATTTATGGGGCTTTCAGTCCTTTTCTTTTGTATCTTTGGCACGGACAACTGAGAGCTCGTGATGATATCATTTTAGATAATGATGTGCCTGATCAGGAGCAACAAACAACTACAAAGAAAACAAGGTCAACAACTGCTCCTCTCGAAGCTACCAGCACAAGCACTAGTCTCCTAAAACGTACTTTAGTAATGTTGTAGTGCTTGTCTTTTGAGGGAAAAAAAATTGAGATGATTTTGTCTTAACATGTAAATCTAAATCATTTGAGTTTGAATGTGTTGAGTTTAGACGGCTAACTACATCCGATACTGCGCTCTGCTGCAGCCTCGCGAACGGAACCCCCCCCCAGGCGATGTGTCCGCGGTTGCGTTTTAAACGCTTTAAGAAGCATCTGCACCCACTACATGCACTGAAGGACGACAAGCCAAGTGATTACGGTGATGAAAGATTTTTTTAATCACGAGTCATGACCGTATTGTATGCCAGCGTAATCACCACGATCACCATACTGGGACATGGTATCCGGCTTCGTTGGTGCTAACCATGGCAGCATGACTGCGGCAACTTCAATTCTGGTGACAGCGCGGCAAGCTCCATTACTCCAGAAGCGGTCGTTTCTTCAGTTTTGAATTTGCTTTCAATCTAAATCATCCCACCACCAATCCATTCCACCTCGATCATGACCACCAAGAAGACCGTTCTCATCACCGGAAGTACGCGTGGCATTGGCCTTGCACTTGCAACCCACTACACCAAGGCAGGCTGGAATATCATCGGTACTGCTCGTGCCAACAGCAACACTGACAAGGTGCGGTCCGACCACTAGACCACGCTTACTCTAACTTCACTGATTGTATTTATTGTCCACAGCTCGCTGCGCTTTCACCCTTCAAGATCGTTACCATTGACACAGCCGACGAGGCGTCTGTAGCGGAGGCAGCTCGTGAGCTCGACGGTATCGCTATCGACCTGCTCATCAACAACGCCGGCACAGGCTGGCTCACCGAGATTGTCGAACCTACGAAAGACATGTTTGTCAAGGTGTTCGAGGTGAACGTCGTGGGTCCGTTCCTCGTCACACGTGCGCTGCAGCCCAATCTGCAGCTCGCAGCGAAGAACCACGGCGCCGCCTCTGTCGTGCAAATTTCGTCTCTACTTGGTAGCATCAACAGTAACACTGATGGTGTGTTTGCCAGCACCTTCAAGGGGCAATACAGCTACAGCACGTCCAAGGCTGCGCTTAATATGATGACGCGCTCGCTGGCCATGGACCTGCGCGAAAGCAACATTGCTGTCGTCGCTCTTCACCCCGGATATGTGGATACCGAGCTTACGGGGAACCTTGGAGCACTCAAACCTGCGGACGTTGCGGCGTCCATTGCCAATGTTGTTGGCAACTTGTCCATCAAGGACACGGGCAAGTTTTTGAACGCAGACCCCACATACCCCGACTCGGAGCTTCCATGGTAAGTGGCAGGAGGTCGAAGGTGCAGAAAGATAAACTGCAACATGAATTCATCTGCTTCAGCCTTACGATTCACGTTTGCGCCGTCGTTGAGACATCTTCTAGCGCCAGAGCTCACTCGAAATACAAATCTCGTTTTCGATGAATGGAAAGCTCACGAAATTCGCGAATATTCGAGTCGAGTGTTAGAATGTGATGGTGCGGCTGACAAACAATTTGCGGCTTCAGAAAATGCATCACATACGATCCAGTTGCCAGGTATGGCGTGATCCATGCCGGGATGCGCTGGGCTGCGATCATAACCGAAAGCCACGTCCTCCTTCGTCATCATTGGACATGCGTTGAACTTGCCTCCGAATGCCGTGACGGCACAGCCGTCTACCACGTGTCTCCTACATAGTCTCCTGCCATTTTCCGGAGACCCTGTGTGTGTGCAATTTATCGCATCGCATGAGCACCTTACTTTCGTCAGCCACCAAGCGAACCCTCATCTTGCCTCTCGTATTTATACCGGTATCTACCAAGTTGTGCGCTGGTGCAATGTGCTGCAATGCAATGGCAGGACCAGCCATCCCGTAAAAACTGACTCGAGAAATCTGCTTCAACGATTGACCTGTCAAAACAAATAAAATGCCATAGAAAAACCAGATTTTCGTCAAACGCCCCCCAACCTCATTCCCCAATTTGCCAAGAGAGTCTAACATCGAAACAACCAGTTGGTTGTCTGCCGTCCTCGTCCTCTCCTCGCTCTACCAGCCCACGCCAGTCCTCGACTAACCTCCGCCCGCGTATCGCCGTCTCCTTTCGCTCTTTTTCCAGCGTTAAAGAGACCGCCGTCTTCCTCAACAGTCCGTTCAGCAGCTCAAGGGATGCTGAAGGACTGCCCGCAGCACCAGTGGATCAACCAGCGCTCGCACGAAACCCGCACGGCCTTTTCGCAATCGGAATAAGCCCCCAGCCCCCATATTGAGTACAATTTCACTTTATTCCGTTGCCGTCATGGCGTCCCACGGCTTCGAGGCTCTCGCCAGTGAGAATCTCCGTCAAGTGCTGGATTTTCTGCCTATTCGAGAGCAATTTGCACTGCTTAGCTGCAGCAAGGAGCTACTTAGTCGAGAATCTTTAGCTCCTGTCGTGGTGTCCTACTGCGGACAGTGCGATGCGTGTCTGGACAAGACTGAACATCTATGTGGACAAAAGTTTAAGAACGAAACTAAGGACTTCTGGACGGCGGTGCTCAAATACTCGACCCCCACTGGGCTCACAGAGCTGAGATTGGCCAGTTGTGATGGCTTTGATGCCTCGGTGTTGAAAAGTGCCGGTGCTAAGGCCGCACTGGCGCCGTTGAAGGTGCTGGAGCTCAATAGGTGCACGACTATGGACGCCGAGGCTCTTGGACTCATTGCAGACGTGTGTGGGAATCTGAGAGAGCTCAGATTCAGAGATATGGCTGTGGATCGCACTGCACTGAAGAAATTACTAACGAACAATGCAGCTTCGCTGCGAGTCGTGGACTTGCTCGGTTGCCACACAGTGAAAGGCGAAGATGTTCGCGGTATTGCCCAGTGCACACAGCTTCGAGACTTGAGTCTGTGGGGCTGCCACAATGTGGACAATGCATCCATTGTTCACGTCGTGCAGCATTGCAGTCAATTGGAGAGACTGAACCTTCGTTACGCTCACAAAGTAGATGATAAGGTCGTAGCGGCGATTGCCGCGCATTTGCCGCAACTCAAGGATCTGAACCTCCGCTACTGCTACAAAATTTCGGACAAGGGTGTCAAGACGCTGTGTGGCTCTTTACCGGGACTCCGCTCGCTGAACTTGTCGCAATGCTCGCGTCTCACTGATGCCGCTATCATGCAGGTGGCTGCGTCGATGACTCGCCTTAAGGAGCTTCGTCTCTGGGGCTGCACGAAGCTCACGTCGGATTCGGTTTTCTTCATCTCGGAGGGACTACCGGAGCTGACACTACTGGATTTACGCAGTCGCGACAAGCTTGAGGCTGTCATTGGTGGGCCTACAGCACTCAAGTTCCTGATCCAGACTTATCGCAGCAAGCTGGCGAGATGGGAACAAGCTCAAGGTGAGCAAACTGGCGTGTTCAAGCGCCACAACGTGGTAGCTGCAGCCGCGTGAAGAGCTTGACCCGTTATCGTTCTGCTACGACGGTGTCCACGCTGCTCTCTCTTCTTTTCCAGTCAACGTGCTTCTTATTTTTCAAGCTTGGATGTTACGACTTCGGATCTGTTTCCAGTATCTGTAGTTTTTTTTTTCTTTTGATTTTTCATATTGACACTCGAGAGAATGATAACGAAAAACTAATGCAACATTTCTAAAATCTAAATTTTTAGCTTCTCTATTGCATTTACAAAAGCAAAAAGGCAACAAACGATTCGCGTGTTTTATTAGCAGATCTCGTCTAACACCGCACGCAGATGTAAAGGTAGCGAGTGGCGCAGTACTAGAAGCGTGTGTAAATCGTCAGCATGCAGCGTACTCGAGGTGGCTGCCACAGAGTCACGCAGGAAGGTTTCGTTCTCTTGCTCTACCTTCTTCAAAAGTGTCTTGACCACTGCACTGGTCGATAGCATCGATGAGTCCTCCACAGAAGCTTCAACTTCGTTCTTGGTTTCTTCCTCGTTCTGTCGATGTTGGGTGTGCTTTGCTGCCGACATGGACAGCGCCATCGCCTTCGCCAGCAGCATGGCCTCTTCGTCATCGGAGCTCACGTCTTGGACTGCTTCACCACTAGGTGCTGGCTCGTATGATAATTTCTTGTATAGCAACAGATAAACCGTGTCCGACACCGTACTAGACACCAGTCTGTTGATCTCCTTCCAATTGGAACGCTCAACCTTCGTGTCGTTAAATTTGATCCACGGGGACAGCGTTGAGTCTTCCAGATGCAATTGTCGTGTACTCTCGTCACTCTCGCGACAGAAGCTGAAGTAGTGGCCTGAGTTGGCTGTAAGCCCAGAGTGTACGAGCACACCATACAAGCCATAGTGACGCGACTGGTTCTGCTGTTTCTCACGAGTTGAGTCGCTGTTCTTGGGGTCATACACTGCGAGTTCTTCTTCCTCTGTCAACGACGGCAGCGTCAACAAGGCCGGGAAGCGAACGTCGTGTAAGCACTTGCACGCCTTTTGTTGAGTCCAGTCGTAGTACATCCGCTTCAGCGTGATGATCAGATGCTCTGGTGGCTCAAAGATCACCGTGTGTGTCCGTGACTCCGTTTTCTTCTGGCATATACTACAGGAGAGCGCATTGTCGCCTCCTAACGTCCGGGTAGCGACGAAACGCGACAGCATCGACTCGATATCGTGTCTCCACACTCGCTCGGAGAATACAAGCTGGCCGTCTTTCCATTCAGTGCTGTAGTCCTTCTTGAACGCCACATGAACGTACGAATCCTTGACGAGTTTCCACTTCCCACCGATAACAGAAGCCGATCCAGACGGCGCTGCACTTGTAGCCCCACCACTTGATGGCGTAACCACAGACACAGTGGGTTTAGACACGTTGCCAGGCGTACCTTCCGCTCCACTCCACCATCCATCCATCTCTGTCGCAGTCTCGTTAAGAATCAATACGAAAGGATAACTTGACGGCAGGAAATCGGTCATACTTGCGCCTACACCGCCAGCCATTGGGTTATCAACTCTCCACGCACCGACGATCGTACGGACCTTCTTGTCTTCTATCTGTTGATGTTTTGAAGTGTACATAATTCCACTCATCGATCCAATTAGCTGTGCGTGCAACACGATGCCGAAATTGCCCTCCACAGTACGAGCTTCTTCGAGTTCTTCAACGACCGAGAGACTGAAAAAGCGACCAAAAGCTGGTAACGGAGAGCTCGTGATCTCGAACTCACCGTTGAGTGGGTTTTCCAACGGCTTGACAATGTCTTTTGCCTCGCATTTCGAGTAGCAAAGGTGAATTGCCACGCCACTCGTGCCCTGGTTCAGATTAGCATCCATACCGAGAGGAGTGTGTTGAATCTTGGTGAATCCCGTGGGAAGAGTGTCTGGTTGAACGCCAGAAGTCCACATTAGCGCGAGGTCCATTAAACTCTTGGTAGCAGCGTTCTCAGAACTTCCAGCACGTCGGTAGCAGATAAAAATGGGTACACCTGGTGTTCCATCGTTCAAGTTAGCGGAGTGTCCGGCGGGTGTGGTTTGGAGACAAGTGTAGTGCTCCGGAACAGCGTCAATCTCGCCGTAGATCACGCAAACGTCAGTGATGTAGCCGTCAGCAGGTGCTTCTTCCCGTTTCACTGCCAGGTACAGTGTGTGGGGTGACGTAGTCTGGGCCAACAAGTTGCCTGATCGGCCCGAACACGTCTCTCTAACGACCTGTACGCCGTCAGGTACACGCTCATCGCCACGTAGCACCACAATACTAGAGATCGGCCATTTAATCTTCACTTTCCGTGATGTCTGAACGCCTTGAATGGCAATTGGCTTCCCTTTGCCATCCCCAATCGTACCGTTGATGGTATATAACCGCGCAGGCTCTCCTTGCGACGACATGTCTGGGGCATCCGGAGCGCCACCAACCCCACTGGGTGCAGGTCGCAATTCCACATCGAAAAGCTGTGCACTTGGCACCTTCGCGTTCTTCCAGTAGCCAGAAACTCGATAAACCGTGAGAGAAGCGTTGGTGCTAGTACTTACAGTAGAAGACGGGTCTGCAGGTACAACAGAGTCCGCAGCTCCTGCTGTAATGGAGTCCGACCAGCTTGAGACGCGTGTAGCAACGCAGGACAGCTCGCCCTTATCATCCAGCGATCCCTTTAGAAGCAGTGCATCTGTAATAGGTTCAGATACTGAGCTCATACGCACTGCCTTCCGTCCACGGTCTGTTTCTTCACTTCCCATCCAGTCACCCTTTATGTCGACGGCATCTGAAGAGCTTCCAGCAGGAGAAAGCTCAATGACTTCGTAGTCGTTGTACTTGGGCACTTGACGAGGCGCGCGGAACACGTCGATAGCAAAAATGGGATTGCCGTGACCACGGCGGAACATTAGCTGTGGGGGTGTAAGCGACTCGGCCGGCTGCGCGAGAGGAGCGGAAGAGAATGGACTTCCGATGGACTGCCATCCCTGCACTTCGTATGTAGACACGTCATTTCCTTCAACAAGCTTCAGGTCTGTCAGACAAGGTTCGTTACCGCCCACTTTGAGCGCGAGATACTGCTTCACCGCGTCTTCGTGGCTCACATTGAGTAAGTGATCCACCATTCGATATCCAGGGATTCCGCTGTTAACGATTTTCAGATCAGTGATCGGCATGTCGCAGCGATAACATAGGTATACCTTGGAGCCATCACCTTGGTTTAGGTCGACTTGGATCTGTTTGAATCCATCAGGAACAGACTCGTTGCCATAGATCACCTGCAGGTCAGTGATGGGCGATCCATTGGGCTCACGACGGAAAAACAAGTACACTTGTTTCTTCCCTCCTGCAGTTGAGCCACCACCAACGTTGAGATCAAGTTCCACACGCTCAAAGCCTGGCATGGATGGCTTAGGATCGGTCGTTAGCGCCACCTTAACGACCAGTTCAGTGACTGGCATTACCCGTTCGCTGTCATCTTCCATCGAGGTATCACTAGTCGCTAGCTCTGGACATCTCTTTACGCATAAATACACGTACGGAGCCCCCGTCCGATCCTTGTTCAGATCGGTATTAAGACGCTCGTAACCTTCCGGGGTATGAATGTCCATCGACGATCCACTCACTGCTGTAATGCTAGTGATTGGCGTGTAACGAAGGTCGATCATGTTCAGTAGCAACTCCCAGAAATATTCGCGATTCACCGACTTGTTCCCGCATGTTTTACATGCCAGAATCGTCGCTTGATGACCTCCGAAAATCGAGGGAATGTCATCCGTAGTGTCTTCATGTTGACTCAGTTGCTGGCTGAGTGAATCAATGAGGAAATGTGCAAAATCCGACGTGTCTTGCTGTCGTCCGTTCTTGAACTCGGTCGGTAGACAGCGTTGAAGAGCGTGTGTAGCCAGATAAGGTCGCTGTGAAGCGGTCATCTGGGCGAATAAATCTTGAATAGTAGCCACCACGTTCCCACCGCTCGTCGTCCCGTTATCCGCGTACGGTGCAAAGTAGTTACTGGCATCACATGACAAAATCAAGCGGCGAAAATCTTGTGTCATGTACAGTGTTTGAAGGAAGCTGTTCTGGTAGCACACGTTGGTGAGGTTCTGCTTCATATTCACCATGCCAGCGTAGTACGGCTGCAGCTCGTTCGGCTTCTTTGTCGGATCTACAGGCGCTAGACCACAGAAGTCAGAGGCATACGACGACGCTAGACACTTCCAGTCGCCCGATCCATCACCGCGATACCATTTTCCGTCAAAACGAGAGGCAGTCTTGTCCCAGTAAAGTGTGCAAGCATTGGACTGGGACTGGCTGGCCTTCTTAAACCTGCCATCAAGCTTCCAAGCTCCATCCTCCGTCAGGCGAGCGAGTCCACTCAGCTTACCATCTTTCTCCACGTACGTTCCGCGCACATACTCGCCCACAAAACTCTTGTCCAGCGTCAAATGCATCTTACCTCCAGTGGTTTCCCACACCGAGTCATTCATGCTTTTAATCTCCACCAAGTGGCTGAAAGCTGAAGCTGCTGTGCGCTTGTACTCATCCAGATACTTGACGTTCTTAAGTTTTGACTGCTGTAAATCTACAGCAGGTTCAGGAGTGACAGGTTGGTCACTCGCGTCCATGTCCATGCTCATCGGAGATGACACAGGCGTAGCGTCACTCTTTGGCGTAGGTAAGGCCATCATCACTTCTGAGGGTTCAACGGTAGCAACAGGGATTTCTCTCGCTGTTCCGCACATGTGGCACGTTGTATCTGCTGCCTGGTTCTCCATCGTGCACGCCCCACAAGTCCAAGGACCAGTAGGCTGTACCGCCATCGGATGATCCTGTTTTGCAGCATTCTCGGCTGCATAGTATAGCGTGGTAAGTCCATTGTCCGTCTTACTCTCTTGGCTCGTCCCGACGACTTCAGGCTCTGCTTGTTTCGCTCGTGGCGTATCACAAATGGAGCATTTCGTGGCAGTCGCGCTGTTAAGCATCGTGCACGCCTCACAGGACCAATCTGCAGCAGGCGTGGGCTGTTCGATCAACGCTAATGCTGTGGAGGTGGACTCTGGAGTAACCGCTCCGGAGCCAGTACTGAGCTCTGGTGCGCTGTTACCACATACACTGCATGTCTTTAGGTCGATGCTATTGATCACTGTACACTTGTTGCAGCCCCAAAGTGACGCGTGCACTGGTTGCGCGAGCGAGGGATAATCAGAGACTTGGACGGGGCTATTGCAGCGACACAGTCCGTTGCCTCGAACATGACAGGCACAAGCTGTCGTGGTCACACCCAACACAACCAGTTCGTGGCCTTCATGACAGATAACAGCACACGCGCGACAGATGCTATTGCCATGAACCAAACTGCACGTCTGACAGCCGTACGCTTCCTGAGCAATAGCACTACCGTCCGTGCTCACTCGGGTACACGTAATAGTCTCATTCTCGCTGCTCTTCTCGCCATCTTCCGATCCTTCTGGCTGCAGAGCAGCGTACACGTTCCCAAGAACTGACTTAGAAGTTTCCTTGGACGAATTATCGCTGACCGATTCAAACATCCACTTCGTGAGATGAGTGAATGTTTGCTGACTGGACAATTCTTTGCCTGCCGGGAAAATCAAACCAGTACGCACCGCACTACCTGGTTCCATACGAAGCGCAAGTTCCAGATCCACAGCCACTTCGAACACCACGCCAATGCCCCCAATAGCAACGGAAAGAACACGTCCAGGTAGTTCGTACTTGATTTGAACGTCGGATGGGGCAGTAGAGGGCCCGCCAGCAATACGAAACACGCGGGACAACGGATTTCCCTGCTTCTTCGACCAAATGTACAGACCAAACTCGTACATCAAAATACCCGGGGCTACAACGTCCGAGCTCACCTTGATCAGCATTGCAGAGCCGTCGAAATGTTGAAGCGACGGATCGGCTACTTCGTCGTGTGTCACGTTTGATATTTTGGCTGCTTCTGACAGCAAGGGAACGAGGTCCCAGAAAGAAGCTTCGCACATTGCGAACACCACAGTTTTCCGATACTGTGCGTCGTTTGTAACCGAGGGCGCAATAGACAGCGCTGATTGAAAGCCAGCCGCAATTGAGACAGCATTTTGACGCCACAGCGCGGCCCCAGAGTCCCCGGCGTCCACTTGCAGTCCACTTACTCCTTCAGATAAGGAAAACGTTCCACTGCCGAAAAAATCGCATCCGAGAGATACAGCAAACGCATTTTTCACCGGAATAACCTCTGCTGGGGTTGCGGGGGTGAAATTACTTATCGACGAGATTGCAGCGTCATGGATCGCGTCAGGAGATTGGTATCCTTCAAAGACACAAGCGTGATTTTGCTGCTTCGATAGATCCATCAATAACCTCTCCGAGTTCCCGGCTAAGGGGTAATACCCCACAAGGTGACCTTCGCGACCCGTTAAAGCCGTCGATATGCTCCAGTTCTCATCAAGTTTCGAGAGAACTGTCGACCAAATGCGCAGATCTAGCATCTGTCCATAAAAACAGCTTGGAGCCTTCCCTTTCTCGTTCGGATCGCAGCTTTCAAAGCTCCCACCAATAGTTAATAGCGATGCACCAGGCGCAGAGGGCCCTGCTTCGTCCAATCTCGCAGTCTCACCTGCTACCGAGCCATTAATAAACAGCATCACTTTATCTTGACCAAACGAAAGCGTCACATGACAGAAGACTCCAAATTCCACAGTCTCACGAGATGTTAAAGTGTATCGACCCCCAGCAATCTGCCACATTATATACCCATCGCTAGTCAACGAAAGCTCAAAGCCGTGGCCATTTGCAAGCACAATCTGAGCCTCATTTCCAGTAGGAGAACGCTCTGGACGAATCCAGACTTGAACAGTAAACTCGGTATGATCCGAAGTCGACAGCACGGCCCGTTCCAGCACTAAAACACTCGCCGGGTTTCCTTGAGGGGAATACACATAACCTGGTAGGTTGGTAGAGTCCATCATGGCATCATTTGCTGCTGCCAGCGACGTCGCAAGGTCAAAGTTTCTTTCAACAGTCTGCTTACGCGCCAGCCACACGCCTTGTTGTTCACCACGTGACCACCTCATGCGCATAAAAGACAAGTCCGAGCTGAATACCGCCGAGAACGGCGCAGGATTGCTGCCCTTACTGCTGCTCGGGACTGTCGGCACATTAACATCCGCTGGACGCTCTGTTCCACACGTCGTGCACTTCGTCGCGCTGCCCTCATTGTTCATGGTGCAAGCCCGACAGTCCCACGTTGGCGCAGAGATGGGAGCCATCGGTGCAATGGAAGTAGCTGCTCCATTCTCCTCATGCAGCTGTCTCCAATGTCCTTCCAGCTCCCACGTCGACTGTTCCATTGACTCAGGATGAGCCATTACCACCTGCATCTCCGGCATCTGCTGGAACAAATAGCCCGTCAACTCCAATTTCTGCTGCATTTTCCGATCCATCATCGTCGCCTTGACTTCATGAGCAAAGCAATTGGTTGTCGTCTTTAGTAACACTGAACCTGCATTCTGTGGTCCGCCATTGCCATGCTGATCACCGATAAACTCATCTACTACCCATTTTCCTTCAATAGAAGGTAGCATGACGTCCAATTTCTCCGCTGGCAATACCCACGCACTGCTTCTCAATAGTCTCTCGGCTTCTGCAGCAGTGGGGCGATCCACATGAGACCCAAAACTCGCTCTCATGGCTCGTCGAAGTGTCATGGCTTCGGCTTCATAGCCGCGATGACAGTGTTCCAATGCAGCACAAGCCACAAGTAGTGGATGCACCAATTCCTTGTTTTCTTCACTGTCTTCGCTGAATATTTCCGCCAATTTGACAATTTTCGCCACATTCTTCTCGTAAAGATCAGCGGAATGCTGGAAACCCACGAGCACTTCAATGTAAAGCCGTAAAGCTCGCTCTCGTGTGTCCTTGCGCAGGATCTTAGCGTAAATGGCGTCTAGTAGTTGGGTAGATACGGCGTTGAGTGCATCCCAGCGCTTGGTCAACTTGAAGCTTCTGAACGTCATTTGAGCCAATCGCACGAGCCCAGCGCAGTGCAGCGATGGATGCACTAGCAACACTCGAAGAAGGCTCAGCAGTTTACTGGTGGAAACATTGGTACTGGCAAGCAGCAGCGCCAGATCTTCAGCCAATGACAGGGCGTCACCCGGTGCGGAATCGCCGCATAGTGAGTCCCAGTACTTCAGCTGCTCCGTAGTGAGGCCCAGCTCCGCGTCAACACTCTGCACGCGTGTATCTGCGTCTTGAGCACATGTGGAGGTTGCTGCAGCAGCGCTGACAGCCACGCACGCGCCCAGTAAGGCGCGGAACTGCTCCTCCATCTGCAGAATGCGTCAATCTCCCCCCGGCAGGATATCTGAGAATTGGATTGGCGGAAAGTAGAGTGGGACTTGAATAAGATGCAGACCTGCGATTGGATGAAATAATAGGACTACCCATAATAATGCACGTGGTACTCACTTTTGAGGAGGTACTTTTGCTGCCAGTCAAAACGTTGAAAGGTTGACACAGTGGATCTCGAGGCTGCGTCGATCATGGGCGGAAAGAGTCGCGCTGCACTGCGTCGTGAGAAGAAGAGGAAGCAAAAGGGACCACCAACTACATCTGGAGGTGCTGTAGCCACAGTTTCAGCCTCTGACAAGGCCCGGAAGCGTCAGCAGACGACTATCTACGACAGCGACTCGGACTCGTCCGATGACAACAACCGTGCCGCTGCCATCCCGCTGCCATCGCTGGAGGATGGAGACAAGGTGCGCGACTTTGCACAAGAACTAGAGACTCAACGTAAACCTAGGGGCAAGCGTGCGCGTGCTGAGGCCGAACAGCACGCAGTGGATCAGCGCAAAAAGAAATTTCGTGAAGAAAAGGCTGAGAAGATCGTGTGGCGCAAATTCGACAGAGAAAACCAAGCCTTTGAGAAATTTTACGAGCGCTGTTTGGGACTGGAGAAGGACGAGTTTGCACGTTTCTTGGCTTGCTTAAGGGAGCCGTTGCCCGTGCATCTGCGAGTCAATGGCAACTACACAAGTCTGAGCGAGATTGTGACGGGATCGTTGGAACTGGATTTCGATCTGAAGGAAGTTACTGTACCCACACCAGTGGGAGGCGGTGAGATGCACGTACAGTTTGGACCGGAGTCGTGGGTTCCTGAGAAGAGACTGTGGAAGCTGTCGGTGGACAGTAAGATGTTCCGCAAGGTGAAAGGTCTCCGATCTCTCAGTACATATGTTCGCGCGCAAGGATCGCTAGGAACGCTGCTTCGGCAGGACCCGGCTGCAACGGTGCTCCCTGCGTTCTTAGATGCTCAACCTGGTCAGCGTGTGCTGGATCTTAGTGGTGGTGGCGAGCACCGCGCGCCCATCGTAGAAGAGTATCTGAGTCCTGGTTCTCCTGCCAGCGCTGGCATTGAAACCAGCTCCAGTGCCAAGAATCTACTGGTCGTGAATGAACGTGACGCTACGGCGGCGGCTTCGGCTGTGCGAAACCTGACGCGGACGCTGCCTCTTGCTCGCGACCTCGTCGTGACTGCGCACAAGCCGGAGGAGTTCCCTTCTCCGGGGGCTGCTGATGATCTGTTTGACCGAGTAATTTGTTGTGCTCCGTGCTCTGGAGATGGTTTAATCCGCAAACTTCCCGAAAAGTGGCGTACGTGGAGTCCTGAGCAGGCGTTGGTGCACCACCCAAGCCAACTTGGTCTGGCTGAACACGCTGTGACGCTGTTGCGTACTGGCGGTTCTCTACTGTACAGCACGCGGTCGTTGAACCCGATTGAGAACGAGGCTGTAGTTGCTGAGTTGCTTCGGCGCTCGAATGGCGCGTTGGAACTAGTAGAGACCGACGCTACTTTGCTAGGACTGGAACGCTCACACGGCTTAACCCAGTGGGATGTTCTGGACTTGGCGTCATGGGATGATGCGCCGGAAGACCAGAGGCATCGTCTCCGTCCGTCCATGTGGCCACCTTCAAGCGACGAACGGGACGAGATGCATCTAGAGCGCTGTGTCCGTGTGTTACCGCATCAGAATGATACTCACGGCTTGTTTCTCGCAGTCATTCGTAAGGTCCGCGAGCCCAACATTGCTGTTGTAGCTGCGGGACCTGCACTGCCCCAGTCCAAGACCAAGCCTAAGTCAACTGCATCTAAGAACAAAAAGCAGGCGAAGGCTGAAAAGCCTTTCGGCAGCTTTACACCCATCGACAAGGACCACTTGTCATCAATTCAGTCCTTCTTCGCTCTCCGCAGTAACTCATCGTTCTTGGAGCGAGCAGGAATGGCTCGCCAGAAGCGTGCAGTGCACGTGGTTACCCCTGCGGTAGCAGAACTGGTGACTAGTCAGCTCCGTGGACGGCTGAGTATCTATCACGCTGGCGTATTCGCGCTCCGACCGGGTACTGGGATCGAGGCTGTTGCCGACGAGCTTACAGACGACGGCGCTCGGGCGTTGCTTCCTGAGATGAATAAGCGCGTATTGAGCTTGCCCCAAGATGAGTTTACGTCGTTCCTGGAGTCTCGCGAGATGTGGTTGAAGAATGCAGGGGAACACGCTCGTGAGCAGCTAGCGGACATGGCGGAAGGTAGCCTTGCGGTGGCATTAGACGACATGGAACCTGCTCAGACTGGTGACCGAGACATCGTGCTGGTTGCTGTCAAGCGACACAATTCCTGCTCGATCGTGTCGTCTCCTGCAGCGATTGCAAGGATTAAGGCGCTGCTAGAGGAGCTTAACGATACAGGAGACGATGGAGACGATGGCTATGACTCGTTCGAGTTCGAAGACGAATAGAGGACTGGAAACAACAATGAATGATCAGAGTTTTTCAGTATGTGTATCTACTTGGCTTCAACATGCTTTGAAATGTACTCCAGCACTGCATTGGCGTCCTCCGCGACTCCTACGCCGTGTGATTGGAAGGGCATCTCTGGATATTCCGGGTTGACACGAATGAGCTGCACGCCGTCAGTGTACGCGAGGCGCTCATTTGGTATGCGAATGACTCCAGGAGTGTTGAAACCAGCGCCAACTTCGAGGATCGCGAGCTTCTTGCCATCGTTTTTCACTCGATTCAGCACCCCAGCAAGCCACTTATTGTACACGGCACGACCTTCCTCTAATGCGCTCTGCAGGAATGTGTCATCCACACGCAAGAGCAGGAACATCTTACCACCACATCTGGGGCATTTAGGGATCCCAGCTGGGTCTTCGACTCTGTATGTCTTCGGGTTGAAGCTCTCGAGTGCCTTCTCCATGAACGGACGAGAACTCCAGACACTGTCTTGTGCGCAGGGCTTCAAACACTGAATCCTTCCGTAATCCCCTTGCATGATGTAGACGGAGTTCGTGTCGAAGCCTTCTTGTTCGAACATACCGTCAGCGTTGCTGGTCTCAACGAAAGCAGAGCCGGGATTTCGGTTTTCAAACAAGTTGAAGATCTTCTTCACATAGTCGTAAGTGGGTGCCGTGCGGTGACGTACCCAGTCGAACCGGGCAAAGCTGATCTGCTTGAACAGGTATCCCCACATGAGTGCGTCGTCCCATTTCGTGTATCCGATGGAGCTGTACATGACACGAAAGCTGGGGATAATCTTCCTAACGTCAGGGTGGAACTTCTTCATGACTGCTTCGGAGGTGTAGTCTAGACCAGCGGCAGCCGAGAGCCCAGCACCGGCAGCTACAAGAAGGTAGTCTGCATCTTGAACTGCTCGAAGGGAACTCTGCAGAGCTGAGGACACTGGTGCAGGAGGTAGAGTGACGCTATCCGGACACTTGCTCTCAATGTAATCCTTGTACAGATCGTAGTCACGTTTGAGGAACGTGTTAAAGATCACCTTCCAACCACGGGTATCCTCTTGATGCTGATTCAGCCACTCGAGCACACTGTTGACGGCAAGCGGGACAGCTACATCACTTGGAAATGCGAATAATCCAGTCGAAATGCACGGGAACGCAATAGACACGTGTTGTTCCGTGTGGCCTACTTTCTTTAGCAGTAAGTCCAGGGACTTGGTGTAGCACGACTGCAATTGTTCGCACTCCTCTGTAGTTGGCTGTGAGCCACGACGCAGTTGCGGACCGACAGTGTGGATCACATAGGAAGCCGGCAGAGCAAAGCCCTTTGTGATCTGAGCGCTGCCTACAGGTTCCTCGTGAGCCTGGCTAGACATGATCTCGTGACAAGCAGCACGTAGACGAGGGCCAGCCATACTGTGGATGACATTGTCGATACACTTGTGGGATGGTTGGAAACAACCGAGCAGCGCTGAGTTGGCAGCGTTTACAATGGCTGTGGCTTTGAGCGAAGTGATGTCTCCTTTCCACAGTGCGATCTGCTGGAAACCGTGCGCGTCTGGAGACGATGCGGACATGACAGTTGGTAGTTTTTGAGCGTCCACGACCGTCTTGCGTTGCGTGAGCTCGAGGTTTAGTAGACTGTCCACTTGGGTGTAGAGCTCCTCCTCCTGCTTGGAGCCGCTGTCATCCGGAGGTGGACGAACGACGAGAAGGTGGTGCACGATATCTCGAATGTCGGACCCGGAGGCGTGGTGCAGGTGGTGCAGTCCGTAACCCGACTCGGTGAGGAGTTTAGAGGCGATTGCACGCAGAAGAGAATTGTAGGATCCTGACGGGACTGACGGAGCCATCGCTGGTTATTTGTGACTTGAGTTGGACGAAGCTAATTGAAAAATGAAGCGTAGACCTCGACGAGAAAGAGGACTTCCATGTTGCTGTCTGCTTACGGGTTTGAGTGTCGTAAATGAACTCTAAACCAAGGGACCCGTATGTAACGCATGTGTCCCATAAGTACGTAAATGAAGAAGATTGCGAAACATGGCTACATTCATAAATTTCACTGTAAATTACTTACGCGATCTGTTTCCGCAGTAAGGCTAGCATCGCTTTCGCGATGCACTGCAGAACTATTGCTCGACTTGTGGTAAAGAACTGTCTCCCGGTTAACGGAAGCTCGCTCCTCCAAGTTGTGCGAGCTATTGACAAGTATTTGACTCCGTTCCTGGGTCACAATGTCTTTAGGGCTGCATGCGAAGGAGGCGCATCAAGATACACACTTTCTTGCTTACTGCAGAGAATCACACCAAATTGGAAGAAGGCGGTCCGCGCCGCCGTGCGAGGTAATCATCTGGACTTACTTCATTGGATGGAGAAGCTACAAGTAGCTCGCGGTCCATGGAAAAAGGATTTTGACGGTGCGTTAGAAGCCGCTGCTATCAAAGGGCATCTTGATATCGTCAAGTGGTTGTATGAGCGAGGAATAGAACTGAACACGTTGTGGGAGATGGTGGAATCGATCTCGTACATCGAGAGAAGCCTGTTGTATGTACTTTGCTCGTGGAATACACTGGAATTGGCAGCAGAACACGGCCATTTAGAAGTGGTACAGTGGGTGTATACCACGAAAGCGGAAAAAAAATAAAAAGGTAAAATTGCACGCGAGTAAGGCGATGGATCTAGCTGTTGCAAATGGACATATTGTTATAGCACAGTGGCTCCATACCGTCGCTGTCCAAAGTTGCGGTGCGTGGGCTGCGGATACTGCGGCTAAGAACGGGCATCTGGAAATGCTGCAGTGGTTGCAATCAACTCGACTTCTAAATTGTACGACGGCTGCAATGGACGGTGCAGCTGAAAATGGTCATCTAGAGATTCTAACATGGTTGCACCGAACTCGAGATGACAGTTGCTCCTCGACAGCATTGGAATGCGCTGCGAACAACGGGCATCTTGAGGTGGTCAAATTTCTCTATGAAAATTTCAAAAAAACATCTGCAGTATTGACTGGAGTTGCAATGTTGTAGCTTATGAAGGACACTTGGATATATTGAAATGGTTGTACGAATACCTGCCAAGTAGATTCCGTGATGGTGTTATGGATGACGCTGCCCGGAGTGCCTGTTTAGACGTTATCAAATGGTTACACAAGTATCGGGGTGAAAGGTGCACGGACATGAGACCAGCAAGTTATGGAAATTTGGAAGTCGTTAAGTGGTTCCATGTACACTACCCGAACCTGTTCACACCAAACGTGATGGAGGCCGCTGCAGAAAGTGGTCAACTTCATATAGTTCGATGGCTCCATGAAAACCGAGGGGAAGGCTGCACAACGCTCACGATGGACGTTGCTGCTAGAAATGGTCATTTGGACGTTGTGTTATACCTACTGGAGCACAAAGGCGAAGACTTTCCGAGCTATGCCACGACAAGTGTGCAAAATATTGAAGTGCAGTGCTTGTTCGCTACGAGTGACACATTGCTACAGAAACATCAACGAAGCCATGTGAGTGATGATCAATTGATCACATTGCAGTCGGCTTACGAAAGGCGACCTGCTTTCGTTAAAGGCTGTTTGAGTAGGCTTGCGGAATTTGCAGTACGCGTAGGCAATATCGAGCTCTTGGACTGGCTGAACCAGCTTGGACTGGAGCTCCACACAACAGTCCCTATTCGTAACGCTGTTAGTCAAGGTAATGTGAAGTTGCTGGAGTGGTTTCACTGGAACCAATTCGAGCTGAACGACCCCGATCTGCTCCAGTTGGCGGTCCAAGAAAAGCAGCTCGATGCGGCTCGTTGGCTTTCGAAGCACGGATTCAAGATCACTTCGCTAAGTTTGCTAGAAGAAGCTGGAAGAAAACGAGCGGTGCCGATGATGCGTTGGCTCGTAGAACATGGTCCACCTCTCAATTTCGAAACAGCGATGAAGTTGACAATGGAATATCGTCAGGTAGAGATAGCCTTGTGGGTGTCGGAAACTGACCGGGTGCAGATTGTGATCGAGGCTCTGCAAGACAAATCTATACAAAACGAGGTTGCGTGGATCCTTACGCGTACACGGTTTGAGGATCCCAGTTCGAAGCGAAGAATTTGCGACGCTATCCAACATGCCCCTGAAAGTACTGCGCTGTGGTTTGAGGACCATCTTTCCGATTTTGAGGAATGCAAATGGATTTTCCCTTCAAGAAAGAGGCGCCACAGCGAAATGGAGTCGATGCCATAGAAATGAAGCACGACCACAAAGTTTGAGTGAAGAACGCTCCTATTGACGACAACTAACATGTAACATGGTGGCACTGCTTCAGCGTAGATACTCTAAGTGAGAGTATCTACGTTGAAGCAGTGCCACCAGCTCATTGAAAGCACCATCCCCGCGTCCTTCGGCTCTTGTTGCCATCATTTCTATCAGTGTGCAGCCATATTTTATTACTCAACGACAACGAACTTGTCTAACTTTCGATGAAAAATGTCGCTTTTGCATTAAATTTTTAATGGGTTATTTTCGTCTGAATGCCATCCAAGCATATATTATTACGACCCAAAATTTGACTTTTTTGAGTTGGTTCCAAATAACCCAAATAAACCTTGCCGTTGGATGCCATTCAGACGAAAACATCCCATTAAAAATTTTTAATGGTTTTTTTTACGTCTGAATGCCATCCCGGCCAATTAGATCTCTCGAAATATTTTTTCCATTATCAGTGCTAGTAAAAACAAATACTACAGTACTTGTAGTAGTACTATTAATTATCATTATGAACTCCAACATGATCGCGTTCCCCCAGAGTAAAACCCATTTCAAAAATTGATTTGATATTTGTAATCAAGCTTTTGATCCATACTTTGCCCAAGTGTGAAATCGTAACCTGTGCTTGATAGTCATCGTTTCGCGTCCATTCATCGAATAGCAATGGCCGAACCCGTCCAGGAGAAGCAGCAGCCGACGCCGTCTACGGACTCCCCGGGGACTGCAACCACGTCTACGCCGGTTGCTACTGAAATGGCAGTGCCTGGTCGTCGTGTAGGCGAAGCTCCCATCAAGAAAGCGTGCGTACATCCCACAATATCAATCGTTGTCTGCTATCGACTAATCTCAATAAATCCTACAGATTCCTGAAGCCCAAACCGGCCCCGAAGTCCGCCGCTACCGAGACTGACAATGCAAAAGAACCAGCGAAAGTAAAGGATGACCGTGACCGCGATGGTGGCAAGAAGAAACGCGGAACCTTTAAAAAGCGTCCAATCGATGCTGAACAAGACCCCGCGAACTTGTTGTGTCGTCCTGTGGCCTCTGGTGAGAGCTGCCAATTCGGTGACAGCTGCAAGTTCAGCCACGATATTGACGACTACATGAAGCGCAAGCTCAAGGACCTTGGCGAGCGCTGCCCTGTGTTTGACGCCATAGGCTTCTGTCGTTATGGTATGGCTTGTCGGTTTGCGAAAGCTCACGTTGAGAAGGTGGACGGCATCTATCGTAACTTAAAGCGCGAAGGATACGTGGAGACCCCGGGTCATGATTTGGGCGATGAAGTGAACGATCTGACCCATGATCTGCGCCTGAAGCTGCGTAAAGATACGTACGACTTTCAGTCGAAGCAGCAGATGCGGAAGGACAAGAAGAACAACAAGCGTCAGCAACGTAATGATAATGGGAAGGACGCAAAGGCCGAAGTTGCTCCTGAAGCAGAACAGAACAGCGAAGAATCGACTGCAGTGAAGACGGAGTCTGCACCAGAGAGTGATAAAGCAGAGTCTGAGTCTGAAGATGTCAAGATGGAACCCGCTGCCGAGAGCCCGTTGCTGCCCGAACGCAAGCCTGTTGACTTCAAACGGAAGATTTACATCGCCCCACTCACTACTGTGGGTAACCTGCCATTCCGCCGGTTGATGAAGCAGACAGGTGCTGACATCACGTGCGGTGAGATGGCTATGGCCACCAACCTGCTGAAGGCGCAGCAGTCCGAGTGGGCATTACTGCGACGTCACAAGAGCGAAGACGTTTTCGGTGTGCAGATTGCAGGCTCTTTCAGTGACCAGATGACTCGTGTGTGCGAGCTTTTGGCTCGAGAGACGGACATTGATTTCGTCGACATCAATATGGGCTGTCCCATTGATATTGTGTGTCGTGCTGGCGCTGGATCTGCGTTAATGACTCGGCCACCACGGCTACTTGAGGTCGTCTCGGGTGCGTTGACTGGCCTGGAGCTTGGCACGCGCATGCGTACTGGTGGTACTGTGAACACTCCAGGTCTTACCGTGAAGCTGCGCACTGGTTGGAGTGAGAAGCAGCCGACGGCTCACAAGTTGATACCTAAGCTTCAGGGTGTGCGTGCCTCGATGGCGTACGTGAACTCCGCAGTGGTTACTGCTGACTTTAAGCTGCGCGCAACACAGTCCGTTGACGCCATTACAGTGCACGGCCGCTCCCGGTTACAGCGCTACACGAAGCACGCTGATTGGGACTACATCTTTCAGTGCTGTGATGCTCAAAAGGACAGCATAGACGACAAGCCACTACCACGCGTGCCGTTCGTGGGTGGTGGAGATGTTCTGTCCTATGAAGAGTTCGATGAACACCTGCAAAACGGCAAGTTGGACACGTGCATGTTGGCCCGTGGTGCACTGATCAAGCCATGGCTGCCTACTGAAATCAAAGAACGTCGTCACTGGGATATTTCAGCGTCGGAGCGCTTGGATTTGCTCAAGGATTTCGTTCGCTTCGGTCTGGAGCACTGGGGCTCTGACCAGAAGGGAGTGAACCGTACTCGCCGCTACCTGCTCGAGTGGCAGTCGTTCCTTTGCCGCTATATCCCTGTGGGCTTGCTGGAGGCCCTCCCTCAACGTATTAACGACCGTCCGTCACCGTATTACGGACGCAGCGACCTCGAGTCGTTAATGGCCAGTGATCAGGCAGTGGACTGGGTTAAGATATCCGAGATGCTGCTTGGCCCCGTGCCGGATGGCTTCCAGTTCGTGCCCAAGCATCGAGCTAACGCGTACCAAACTACATAAAGGCGTAGTTGATAGATACTGGTGTAGGCAGAGAGGACTTGATGATCAAAACGATAAAATAAATAGATACGCGCTGTCACATGCCAGCATCAAATTTTGACTTGCAAGAAGCAACTTTACTGTTGTACCAGCAGGCTGCTGCGGCGAACGCACTACCTGAGATCAAATATAGGGGACGAAGCAACTCGACAGCATCCTTTCTCGTTTGGCGATGCTAAAGAGACAAGCTAACGTTTGAAGCGCCTAAGAGATAAATTACATGTAACAAAGAGTAGATCATGGACAACATTGAAAAAAAATGACGGATATGTGCCAAAACATAGCACTCTTTGTGGTCTATATTGTCAATGCGGGTCCTTGGGAAAAGTTGGTGAGTCAGGGCGCTTTGCAGACCCCGTCGCAATTTGGCTGGTCGTGCCAGAGTATTTTTAGCGTCGAAATGCTTGTGTGACTACCTTTGCGATTCCTCTAACGTTAGTGGAAATATTCGCCCTCTCCTCACGTTAAGGAATAACAAGGTTCTTCCGCGCCTACAAGTTGCAGGCATGAGCGGCAGCTCATGCCGCCCAAAACTGTGGATACGCACGCGACTTCAACTGATTGAAGCTGAGCCATCTCTCTATAATATTACGTAGTATTACGAATCCCTTACAAATTCCAAGTATAGCAAAGTGGTATCACGTATCCTTACAATTTCCAAGTATAGAGTTGGGCTGCGAAGAGACAGCAGCCTGGCCCCCTCTCAAGCTGCCGCCCAGCTCAGCGGCACTAATCAGCCGCCAAGACCGCACACACTTCCCCCCCGCCCGATGCTCGAGAGCAAGCCTGACCCCTTGGCCAGCGTGGAGCCCACGACGCACAGTATGGATAGCAATAGCTCCAGCTTAACGCGTCTGTCGAGCGGTGTGCTGCCCCCGCCGCGCTTGAACGTCGGCGTCTTCTCCAAGCGCAAAGGTGTCCGTTATCACCGTGACGGACAAGTGCGCAGCTGTCGCTTCTGCGAGATCCTACGGACGAGGGCCGAGCCTTTCCTGTACGAGGACGAGCACGTGGCCGTCTTCCGCCCACTGCGCCCCATCGTGCCCAGCCACGTGCTCATTGTGCCACGGGCGCATATCCGGAACGTCAATCGGTTGGCCGCCAGACATCGCGGACTTCTCGCGCACATGCACCGCGTGGCCGAGTCGGTCATGACTCAGGGACCGGAGAACGAGTGTGTGGAGCTACAACCAGAGGGTCTCAACGTCCATGGAGATGAGAACCCAGTACGCTATTCGTTCCACGTTCCGCCATTCAACAGCATCGATCACGTGCACATGCACGCGTTCCACGACGACCCTCGCAGTCTTGGCTACTACGGCCGCCTGAAATACCGCACCGAGTCGTGGTGGTGTCGCTCATACGACCAGGTGATGGCCAGATTAACAGAACTGACCGACGCCCAGCATGATGGAGCTGCCGACCTTGAAGACTCATCCAGCTCGTCCGGTCTTGTGTCTGAGGGGCGTTTGACAGCGTAAAAAGAATCTAGGCACCTATTTATTTCTGTAAAATCCAAACTTTTGGGTCTCCTATTTTTAGTCGCTGCTGCCGTATTCAAGCCGCACATTTGAAGAAGTACTACGGCGAGGAGTAGCAGGTTGCCATCCGCATAAAATGGCTTCAATGTCCTGAAGACTGCGTCGACTAGTCTCGGGGATGTACCAGTAGGACAAGACAATGCCGGCGATGTTGCATGCCATGACGATACCGACGCAGAGGTAAGACACCGAAACTGGAGACAGCGTGAGCTCGCGTAGTACTGGGAGGGCGTGTGCGAGTCCGATATTAACAATCGCCTCACAGATCACCACGAGGCTAACAGCGCCCATACGCTGCTTCACGGCGAATAGTTCGCTGACCATGATCACAGGAACAACACCCAAGCCGAGCTGGTGTCCGGCATTGACCAGCAACATGGCAGCCCAGCCAGAATCGCTCAATGCCACGCCGCTGTCTTCCTCCTGATGGACATTTCTGAAGATGGAGACCAACAGGAAAGCGCAGGCCAATGCCACCAAGTAGCAGCCACACTGTAGCGTTGCAGGTCTTCCTCTGGTATCAACAAAGTAGAAGCAAGCAACAATACCCATCGCTGCAGCCACAGCAACAGCCATAGTCACAGCGATTAGTCCAGCTTCAGCACCTTCAACGGCAACTCCAAAGATCGTGAGGACAAACGAGACGTTGGCGTGTGTTCCTCCAACACCTCGACTGCTGTCTTCAGCAAGCCTTGAAGTAATAGCCGGCTCGAGCAGGAACGCACATACAGCTCGCAACGTATAGAGGGCAGCGCAAAGAAGGACAGGACGATAGAATGCTCCGTGGTGACGTCGCTCCGTCGCTGCCAGCACCTTAGCGTGGATAATAGCGTTGGTCTCGTCCTCTGCGACGTGTTCGTCGCGGTTAAACAGTTTGTACAGTACTTCAAAAGCAGCTTCCCGGTCGTCGTGGCGAGCGATGAGCCACGTAGGCGAATCCGGGAGTTTTTGCGCGAATAGTAGCAGTAACAACGCAGGAGCGACGCCAGACAACGCTAGCACCTTCCACTCACTAAGGTTGAAGCCAATATACTGTCGACTCAGGTACATGAAGAGCGCTCCCAGCACCAAATAGCAGAGTCCTCCGACTGCAGAAAGGAATAATTGTGCACAGATCACTCGTCCACGAGTGTGGGCAGCGCTCACTTCCGCTAGGTACACGGGCACGATCACAGAGGTGATTCCAGCCGCTGTACCAAGCAAATATCGTCCGATCAGCACCGTGAGCTCTCCATAAGCAACTCCAACCAGCACCCAGCCCACGATAAACGGGATGGCAGCTAGCTCCAACGTGCCAGCTCGTCCCAGTCTATCTCCAAAGTATCCTGCACCCGCAGCTCCCAGCACGGTGCCTAGATACAAACAGGAGCGGAAGAAGAACTCGGCGTGCTCGTGTTTGGCGCGGAACACGTCCACCTGCATGTTGTAGAGACGTCCGGGGGCAATAGGGAACATCGTCAGCCACGCACATGCCACACCCGCTGCTCCCATGGCCGCTACATGTAGCGCGAAGAAGGAGTTCCGCTGACGAGCCAATCGCTTCTGGCGATATTCAGGTCTGCAATACAGTTACAGGACGCGTCAGTTGCAAGGTGATAAGGGACAATTAAGATGCGGACGGACCGGGAGTTGATGGGGGTGCTCTCATCGCTCGGATCCGATGAGTCCGAGAGCTCCAGCGGTGCAGAGATGTACTGGTGTGGCACGAAGGCGAAGTCGCTGCGAGGAGGGTCCCGCAAACATTCCACGATGTAGCGCCAGCTGCGCGGACGGCGAGCGACCATGACGAAGTGCTCACCTTGAATATAGGCGACTGGTGCTGATTCTGATCTAGCTCAGTTAACGTTTGGCTTGGAATCACTATGCATGAAAGATACATGGGACAGATTTCGTCTATATGGGACCGAAAACCATGGTCAAGTGGTTGAAGTCATTGATCTATCTACGAGGACTGCGAAGTAGAGGGCTTGGCTGCTGTCTCGCTGGGGTATTTTCGCGTCAACTCGCTGCCCAGATGTTTCTTCCAGCGGAATACGCTCAAGCACGAGTACAGGAACGACTTGACGCGGACCTTGGCTGCCTCCTTGCGTGTCTTGGGGAACGGCGTCGTGTCAAGGCAGACGACACCTGGTAGTGAGAACATATCACTGTATCCCATGCCAAAGACGATAGCACCGGGACCCCACTCCTTCACATAGTTCGAGAGTTGAGTTGAGATCAGTCGCTTGCTCACAATGTGGGCGCCGTAGTAGTTCTTGGCGTCGATCCACCGGATGGGCACTCCGTTAATAATCACGGGGTCTAGCAGCAAAATATCCGGCGAGATGACACGACGGCCATGGGTCTCAATCTGATCTGCGCATAGCTCCGCTTGCGTTCTGCAACAACCACAAATGATTAGTACAGTAATATGATAAAAGCTTGCTGCTTGATAACGTACTTTAAGCGGATTCCCTGGGCCTTGAGGAAGTGTTCAATGGCACGCTCCAACGAGTCGGCATTGTACTTGGGGGCTCCAATTAACGGGTCACTCTTGTGAATGCTGTCGTACTCGATAGCCTTGCGCAGTTCATGCTGGTCGCGCTTTGAGAGCTTCTCAGAGGGTCTTGCCAAAGAGTTCTACAAGCGAGCAGCAAAAGCTTAGTTTTAAACACATTAGTTAGACAAGCAGACAGAAAAACCGCATACCTTGATTTGAACCTGGCTCAAGCCCTTGGCGCGAAGGATAACTCGCATAAGCGACACAGGCGGATAGTTGTGTACTGTCGACAGCTCGATTAGGCTGCGGCCGCTGTCATACTCCTTGCTGATAGTGTCCCTGTCACGACGGACACGATGCGTGTTAACCAGCAACGACATACGCAGCAGTTGTTTGCGTAGGTTGATGGTCATGTTGGTCGTGATAGGAAGCATCTCCAGGAGTTTATCGATGTGCTTCACTTGCTGCCGCTTTAACCGACGGAATGTTTCTTGCTGAAGTAGCAGACCTGCTGCCTGAGTCTCCAAAACCTGAGGGGTCGGAGCCACAGGCCACTCCAAATCGATCGGTTTGAGATCGCCAAACTTCTCCCTTGCGTTCTTGATTGCCTGCTTCGTTATAGTCTGGTAACTCGGTCCATTCTGGTACACAGAAGCCTGCATCGACGAGAACACCGACGACATCGCAAAGCAAGGGTCTAGTCCAACTGCACGCACTCCCTCCATCACCGTCAGAGCACGATCCTTACGTCCAGACTCCAGCGAGGTGAGCGACATGATCTCCGGCTCAACTTCTGACAGTCGCATCTCCATCAGAATGTCGAAAAACGCGTCAGAGCGCCACACAATTGAAGCACGCAGCAGCCAGTGCATGTATGTGTGCACTGAAATCGGGCGTAGTAGGCGAAGCTGCTTTAGAACCTTCACAGCACCATCCAGATACTCCTGGCGGTAACAAATATCGAGAAAACGGTTGTAATCTGCCAGTTCCAGCTTCATACCGGCCTTGTCCATCAGATCCCAGAGCTTAATCACTTCTACAGCAGCCGAAGCCTTGTCACATGCATGGAACAGAGTGCGAAGCGTAGACTCGTCCACTTTCCGCCCCTGACTAAGCATATCCCGGACAATAAGAATACCCTCCGCTGGCTTTTTCGCTTCGCAGCACGCTAACACTCCAGGGGTCAAGAAGTTTTCGTCCAGATACGGATTGCCAAAATTGCGGTACAAGTCGAAGAGTTTGTGCGCATTTTCGAACGACACCCGACGGAGCTTCGTGATCAGAGACGCAATCTCCTTCTCACTCGGTAGCGTCTTTTGCAACGCAGCAATTTCTTGCAAAGTCGTGGTAATTTTCTCTGTCTTCAGACTCTTTAGAGGCATAGGTTCCTTGGCCGGCACCACTGCAGTCTCGGTTGAAGGCTTTTCCGTTGAAGTGTCGCTCTGCTTGTCGTTCTTCGGGGTCTGTGTAGATACAGCAGCTGCTGCTGTTTCCTTAGCGTCACCGTTGATTGCTCTGGTCAGCATCTCCTCCTCAATCTCCTTCTGTGTCATTGGCTTGCGCTGCTTCGTCTTGGACTTCTTCTTCGGCGCTGCTGGCTTTGAATTCGGCACATTTTCCTCCACCTTTACAGCAGAAGAAGTTGTCGCTACTGTCTTTTTCGCTTTCTTGCTCTTGCGGCGCTTTGAAGTGACTGTTTTGGAAGCTGCAGCGTCAGTTGACACGGCGGCAGAAGCTGCGGCAACAGCGTCCGTCGAGTTCAAGCGGAAGACACTCGCATAAGGCTGCTGCAGACCCCGGAGCGCGTTGCCTGCGCACAAGAAGGACCGCTCAGCCGGCGCATGGATGACCGACGTCAGACCTAGACGACGCACGCCTGCGCGAGCGGCGGAGCGTGACGGCCCTAAAAGCATCACGGATGTAAGTCGATCGGGTCCAATAAAAACACAAGCGATCGTATTTAAACGAGTGGTGAAAATACTAACAACGCAAAACTAGTACTCTTTATTAATAGTACTTCGAAGTAGTATATCCTTATCCCCTAATTCATTATTACGAAGTACTATTAATACATGACTGTAGTACTTGTATAGTATACTGTATACTGTACCTCTCACATTGGTAAAGTATGAAGTATACTGTACCTCTCACTTTGGTAAAGTATGAATTAATACTTCACCTAAGTACGAAAACCATTGCACCCAATCATTACAACTGTCGCTAGGACATCAAGATGACCGAGGAGCTCGACGCTGCAGCATTTGTGGGCGCCCTGTACCGCAAGGTGCTGCTCTCTGTGAAAGCATCGAACGCGATTCCATCGGAGGATGATGGTTTCCACTTTCACTCGCAGTTTAGTGGCGACTTTGCGGCGCGTTCTAAGCGCTCCGGGGCCAAGGCCGAGGAACTCGTTCGGCTGCTGACCAAGCGCCGACGCGCCGATGACGCAGAGCACGCGGACAGCAGTGACGAGGACGACAGCGAGCTGCAGGAACTCTTTGACGGGCCAGAACCCAATGCTCGTGTTACAGACTACGCCGATATGTTGCTGGACGAGGCCTCTAAGCACCTTGCCCGCTTCGTAAGCGGCGAGTCAGCGTCTTCCACCGAGGACTCGAAGCTCCGCCCACTGGAGAACAAGCCACAGGTGTTTGAGAAAAACAAAAGGGCCAAAAAGGAGGAGGAAGTAGAGAAAAAGGTGTCCAGAGGAGCGCAGGACAAGCCCCAAGACAGATTCGACGAGAAAATCGACAACTCGGACGTACCGTTCGTATCTAAACTTCGTGAGAAGGTGCACGCGCAGAATGACGGCGTTGCTGCAGCGGCGGCAGACGATGAAGACGACGAGATGGCTACTCGGAACCCGTACTACCCTGAGATTAAGGGACTCAAGTATGCTCAATGGCAGTTGGAGGCGTCTGAGGAGCCGTATGATATGGTGGAGTTGGACAAGGCGTCGTACTTGTGGGTAGACACAGAAGAGAAGCTGGTGCAGATGATGAAGTCTCTGACAGCTGCTGAAGCTCGCGTGATCGCGGTGGATCTGGAACATCACAGCTACAGATCGTACATGGGACTCACGTGTCTGATGCAAATTTCTACTGCACGCGAGGACTTTCTAGTTGATACACTGGCCCTCCGTGGCAAGTTACAGACTCTTAACCAGGTCTTCTGTGACCCTGAGAAGGTTAAAGTGCTCCACGGTAGTGACATGGATATCCTGTGGCTGCAACGCGATCTTGGGCTGTATATTGTCAACCTCTTCGACACTGGCCGTGCAGCGCGTCTGCTACAGTACCCCCGCTTCTCCTTGGCATACATGCTCAAGCGTCACTGCAACATCGACGCTGACAAGCAGTATCAACTCGCAGACTGGCGTACCCGTCCGCTCGACAAGAGCATGATAAAATATGCGCGTGAGGATACACGGTACTTGTTGTTTATCTATGACCAACTCAAGAAGGAGCTACTGCAAGCTGGAGCCAAGTCTCGCGAGAGTTTACTGTTCCAGACACTCCAGAACTCCAATATGCTGTGCTTGCAGGTGTATGAGAAGCCTCAGCCCACCGAGGAAGACGCTCTTGCTCTCGGCGAGAAACTCAAGGGAACAGTAAACATTCGTGATCTGTCTGAGCTTCAGAAGCGTGTGATCACTGCGCTTTATCTCTGGCGCGACCGTATCGCACGTCAGGAGGATGAATCAGTGGCATACGTGATGCCAAACCACGTGCTCATGAAGCTCACTAAGCACCTCCCTGTGCGATCCGATGAGCTCTTCCGTGCTTGTCACCCTGTTCCGCTGCTTATCCGTAAGCACGCGCTCCAGATTACAAAAATGATCGTTGCTGAGAAGACGAAGCTTGCCGAGGACGAGGCCAAGACGCAAGAACCTGAGCCTGTAGTCGCAAAGCCGACAAGAAAGACGTGGAATGAGGATGGAGAGGAGCAAATGGTTAATTCCATTCGGAAGCGTGTGGGACGTGCTGAGTATGCTCCTTGGAAGAGTGGTCAGCGCAAGGCTGGAGTCGCTACTGCTGCTGCTTCGACTGGATCTTCATCATCCAGCTACAATCCACCGATGGCACTCGGAGTGAACGTTTCGGAGACTGCCAATGAGCCAGAGACGGCAGCCACGCTGCTCGAAAAGGTGAACGCTATGGTTGCGAGCACAATGTTCACTATTACTGAGAGTGACCCAGTCGAGACACCAGTCAATAAACCGACGTCCTTGTTGGCGACTCCAAGCAAGGAAGAGCAGAGTGTCGACGAGAGCAAGCCGAAGATTCCTCAGTCTATTTCAGAGGCCTATAACATGTCGAACCGAGTCAAACGGCGGAAAACTACGGCAGTGGACACGTCGTCGGCCTCTCAAGTCAAGGATCGTGCGCAGGCGTTCATGCAGAAGGTCGATGGCGACGAAACTGAAGACGAGAGTGGCTTCAAGAGCTTCGACTATGCTGCAGCCAGTACTCAGATCACAGGAGCCAAGTTCCAGCTCAAGAAGGACGAGGACGAAGACCGGAATGGCCGCAAGGGTGGCCGTGGAGGCAACAAGAAGCAGGCAGGTTACAACCCGTTCGTGGCAATGAGTGGCAAGGGGAAGAAGGACCCGAAGGAGCCCAAGGCCGCACAAGCCAAGAAGATGCACCACATGCCGAGAAGCGCCACGTTCAGATAGATACAACGTAACTGATCAACGGTAAAGCTGGCCATGCCACAGTTAGATAGACCCCAGTCAATAAACATGCTGTCACCACCACCAAGTCCATAGTAAAAATTCCTTATAATAGTTGAGCTCTGTCCGGTTGAAAATTGCGACTTTTGTCTTTTTCCGACAAGGCAGAGACAGTTTCACAAGGACAGACGGTCAAAAACTTTTAGCGCCATTTTGGAAAACAAGAAGCAGCGGACGCGATCTCTCGATGGCTCGTAGCGACTCGCTTAAGCGCGTCTCGCCCACGTCGTTCGAGTCGGATGGAGGGGAAGGTGCCGCTAAGAAGAGCAAGACCTCAGTAGACGTTGCGAGCGAGGCGGCAGCTACGGTGCGCAACGGTCCGCTAGAAGCGGAGGACATTGGGACAGACTTCGACGTAGGGGAAGACGCCCAAACGTCCGCTTTATCGACCAATAATGGCGTTAACGACAAGCAAGAAGGCGGGGAACAAGGTAAACGGTGCTTCAGCTGTATTTTCACGCGCTTTAAAGCATCGAAGGCTTCGTGGTTATTGACTTGTTGATTTTTTTTTACTAAACCGTCTTACAGTCGTGGAAATGGCTGATGCCGAAGCCTCAGAGACGCCTGAAACCAAAACGAGCACGATAAATAATGTAGCCAAGTCGTCCTCCAAGAAACCAGTCAAAAAGCGCGCGAAACCTTTTGGCAAGGCAGCAATTAACGGGAAGACAGAGGCTAAAGGCTCTGCTAAGGCCAAAGCGAAGCCCAAACCCAAGACTAAAGCGAAAGCGGCACCTAAACGGAAGGTGCGGACACAGGGAGACAAAGTGAAGGAGAACGCGCCACTGGCCACGCCGTTCTTCGTGGAGACGGGGGCCGAATGGAACAACACGAACATCGACTTTGACGAGCTGAATACGCTGAGATCGATGTGGGAGCTGCCTGCTGCTTGCCACATTCTGTGGCTGCTGCAAAGTCCTCTGACCCTTCGCTTCTCCAATACGTTGCTCGAGTATGAGGCAGCATTGCTGAAACCCGAGGACAGTCCCGTACTGGAAGACGTGTTCACGAAACTCTTGCTAAAGAAAAGTGAACGCGCGTGTCTGAGTGCTGGCATTGGACTGAAGTACGAGTGGTGGAACAAACAGCTGCGGATTTACTACCTGGACATGTACAACAAGTGGTACGCACTACTGCGTAAGGCTGGCGAGCGACTACCGGAAAGCTTTTCACAAGATGAGGACGATGAAGACAGTAGCGGCTCGGAAAGCAGGACCGATGAACAGGTGGATGTGGAACTCACTGATGACGAGTGGCTGACACTGGACATCCTGAAGGCGCGTCTTGAAACACTCGGCGTGGTTTGTCCCCTGAAGGTGAGTACAGTATCCTACGAGTAGCACTATCGTTTCATATTGTGGTGGCAACGTTCTAACCCTTATGACGTGTGTATGGGCTATAGCACCAGTCATTCGCTGACTTGTCGATTGAATTGCGGTGCAAGATTCTCCTGAACTTGTGCGAGGCCGTGGTGGACGACCCAGCTAACACGTACGTAGTCTTCGTTGTATGAGGCTGCGGAGCTTGACCTCACACTTTCGTGAAGTGAATATATGCGTCAGATGGAAGAGGACGATCTGCGCGTGGAGCCGTTGGGTAATGACCGCGCTGGGAACTTGTATTATTTTTTCCCGCAGTTCTACGAGGAGCGGCGGTTGTACAGATTGGAACCGGAGACACGACAGTGGGTGCTCTGGGCGAAGGGGGACGACGCGTTCCGTTCCATGCTTAGGGCGATGCAGGGCATTCGTGGACGTAAAATTCGTGGCGAGCAAGAACTGCTGGATCACTTGGAGGTGATTGTGGAGCAGATTGAGGACGAGGACGAAGCCCGTGCTCGGCAGCTGGAGAAGGCCAATCGACTGGCCATTCTCGAGGCGATTCCACGTAAGCGCTCGCTGCGTCTGCAAGTGAAGCAGTTGGAGAAGATGGAAAAGCATCAGGAGGAGTTGGAACACCGGAAAGAGATGTCGATGGAGGATATAGCAGAAATGAGGCGTGCCGAGTTGCTGAAAAAGGTGGAGCGTGAAGCTGAGAAGGAGGCACGTGACGCTGAACGGGAGGCAAGACGTTTGCATCGCGAGCAGGTAGAGCGGGAAGAGGCACAGGCTGAACGAGAGAAGCGTAGATTGCGTCGAGTCGAGAAGGAGCAGGAGGAGGAGAGACTCGAGCAACAAGCTCAGGAGGAACGCAGAAAGCAGGAGGAAGCGCGCGAGCTGCGTGCTCGACAGCGGAATGCGGACGAGGAATGGCAGCAAGTAGAGCAGGAGACAGCGGAAGCTGCAGCTGAGCAGGTTACAGCGTCTGCGAAGCCTTAGCGGCCTCAACATACCTTCAGAAGAAAAATGCACATTCCTCAGTAAAAAAAAATAGAGATCATTGCAAGTGACACTACTGTACGTTGAGATAATCATCCTGTGCAGGGCGCGTTCAAGGTGAGGTGGCTTCGAATCTTGATGTAGAGGATGAAACGCAACAACGTGTTGTCTACAAGCATTCGCCGTGTTCTTGTTGCACGAAAAGCACGAAGTAATTCAGCTATGCCATTTCCAAGATTTGCATGCCATCGTGAAAAACATGAAGAGCATGGACCGACAGGCCGATGTTGCGCTCGTAATACGAGGCGTATAATACCTCGCAATACACATCCATGCTTGCTTCACTTGCTTGGGTTTGCTTCGTTTTTTGCTTCTGGGACGCTGCCACGGATACATTGTTGACGGATGCAGTGTGTGTAGCGCGGAAACCAATTGCGTAGTCATGAAGCCAAGCAGCCCGCCGACCAGTCTCAGCATGCGAAGCAAAGCTGGTCGGTCGGCTGAGCACAAGTACCGACCGGATCGATTGCTAGAGCTCAAGTTGGCGATTTTGTACCCATCCATTGGATACTTGCAGCGTTGCGTCGTACGGTCCAACTTGGACTCCAGGCTAGGCGGCATTACTACATCGCTTGACAGCGGAGATGGCTGTTATTTGAAGAGAGACTGCGCTCAATTGTCCTCCGAACTGCACACTGCTCAAGGAATCCGCTAAACCAGCCCCATATCATTTCAAACGCCGGTTGGTCGACGCGAACGAGCAACGCGAGTCTCGCAACCAGCGCAAAGGTTGTGACTAATGACATGCAAACTACAGGGTGGACTGGAACCTCGACGCTCATGGAACTTCAGAAAATGCACGGGCCGAGTTGTACTCGATATGAGGCTCATAGTGAGGCATACGGAGCAAGTTGCACTTGAAGGCAAATTTGCAGCAAGTGGCCTGCCACTGTCAGGCCTTTCATTCCGACAACCCCTTGAACCCACACTAACCCATTGCCATCTCCACAAACTCGTCGAATGAAAGTTTTACATCCCCATCCAAGCGAAAGAGAGAGATAGCCTCCTAAAGCCCTTTACCAAGAGCTTGTTATCTTCGAATTGAGTGGCAGAAGGCAACGCCCGCCTTCAGAGATTCCTGCGACAACCTGTTTCCAGGAAAACCTTAGCAGATGGTGCACCGTCCATAGAAAACTCAAATGTGCCCCTTGAAGTACCTTTGCATACTGAACCCAAGTATCCGCAAAAGTGTAGCTGCCCATGTCCTCATCCGCTAATTTCTCACTCTGCAAAACGCTTGGAAGCCAACGCATCCAGTGACAGCTAGGGACCCACATGGTCATGCAGCAGTACGAGCCGCTGGAGACGCTGGCACCCGCGCTCTTCGGCAATGTTCAAAAGTGGCGCCATACGCCTTCGGGCGAGTACGTGGCGGTCAAGCGCATGGAGCTGCGCTTTGCAGCGCGCAAGCGCTCCAAGAGCTCCGAGCGCGCTGTGGAGGAGGATCTATTCACAGAGATCAAAACGAACTTGCGCGTGCAGTCGCTGGGTGGCCACCCTAACGTGTTGCCATTGCGCGATTGCATCATGGAGGACGAGGCCGTGCTGCTCGTGCTCAAATTCTGCGAACGCGGCGAGCTACTCGACGTAGTCAACACACAACGAGCAGCCGGACAGCAGGCCAATGTGACGCGCTACTTTGCGCAGATCTTACGCGGCGCAGCGTTCCTGCACGCTAATGACATTGCACACCGCGATCTGTCTTTGGAGAACGTATTAGTGGACGAGCGCGACTGCTGCCAGATCACGGACTTCGGTCTAGCTGCGCAGTGCAAGGGAAAAGTGAATGTGAGACCTGTGGGCAAACTTAGGTACATGGCCCCGGAAGTTAGTGCAGCAATGGTGTATGAAGAAGGTCATCAGAACGAATATGACCCCAAGGCAGCGGACGTATGGGCACTCGGAGTGATGCTGTATGCCATGGTGACGGCTCGGTATCCGTTCCGTGAACCTCTGCGTAAAGATGACCGGTTCAGATTGTTGGAGGATTTTGGAGTGGAGTATTTGTTGGAGAAGGATGAGGTGGATATGGCGGGGGAGGAAGAAATGGTGGATCTATTGAAGAAACTATTAGTCGTCGACCCCGCCGAGCGCTCAACGCTCGCACAGCTGGAGTCGCATCCAGCGCTGCCTGCCGTGGAAGGCAGCGAGACTCGACCTGCGAGTCCTACTATGATTGGAGAGGAGCAACCGGAGGATTCATTGGCGCAGTTGAGTGTCTCGAACAATGACGACACACGGCAACGCGCGCGGTCGCTTGGTCGCTTTAACGGGAAGGGATCGCTCGCATCGGTGAGCCCCAACACACCACTATCAGAGGCGGGGAAGAACAAGCAAGCGCTTGCTTCTTCGGCCATCAAAGCAACAGCTGTGTCTTCAGCTCCTGTGACCGGTAATAATGGGTCAAAGAACCAATGTGCCGGTGGCAGGTTGCTGCGCAAGTGCTTCGCCACGCGCGCGTAATGCTAGCAAGCACACGCTGTACATTATCTATTAGACGAGAGGCGGGTAGCCTCCGTTCAGCTATATTATCAATCAACCGAAACGATCCTTATCAACCCACATTTGAGTCACTGCGTGTTCAATGCAGCTTCCGTTTGTACATTATGAGCAGGTGTCCTTACGCTGCTGCCTCCTCAGCGACAGGTGACTCCACTGTACACTGCTCGTGGAAAGAAGCACTGGCTGCTGGCCACAGGTCATCACACTTGTCCTTATTCTTTTCATGCGCGCTTTCCAATGCTTGCTGCAATGTGTTTATCCAGTGCTCAAGAGAAGGCACTAGACTTGCAGCCTGAGCTCTTGTAGCTTTTGTAGCCTTGACGCGAACGCTCTCAAGCAAATGAACAAGCTGGCCAGTCTGGTAGAACACAGTGCGCTCAAAAAACTCCATATCCCGCAATGTATCACACAACGTGTCCACGTACGCATCGATAAAGTCTGCAGCAGGGCCGTTCTGCAACCAATGTGTACGCTCAAGAGCAAATGCTACACTTTCCGCCGACATGAGGGACACGAGTGAGAAGAGGTTGCGCCACCGCCTCAGCAGCTCCTTTTGAGGTGAAAGCTGGTCCTCATCCGCGTGATTACCTCGACGTCGCTTCTTTCCGTGCGTCGTCTGCTCTGTCGCCTCCGTCTCCTTGCGGAAGTCTAGCATTAGTCGAGCAAGCCAAGCAAAAAGCGAGTTGAGCGACTTCGGCGGCGTGAAGAATTCCGATGGCTGCAAGTCACGTAAGTCGTCCTTCTTCTTCAAGCGCTTCGCTGCCTTCTCTACCAGCAAGGATGTTTCATCGTTCACGTGAGCACATTCAGCCATCACTACGACTTTTGCGTACACCTCCAACATGCGAATAAATCCAAACGAGTTCGCCTTGTACGCTTGTTCAGCTTCATCAGCGTCAAACTCGAGAAGCGGCTCGATGCATCGATTCAGAGCCTCAACGATAGGGTGGAGCAAGGTGTTGAGATTCTTGACATTCTGTAGCTGAGCGATGTACTCAACAGTACCAAGTACCACGACGGGGTTCAGCTCTGCCTTCTTGCCCTTCTTTGATTTCGAGCCCGCCGTATCGGAGCGGAACTTGTTTTTTCTCCATTGGTCGAGAAACTTTTCCAGCTTAGACGTCAAGAACGCGAGCTGGTCCCATTGCACCATGCAATCGACCATCGACTCCAAGAGCTTCCTGTTAAAGTTTTCATTCATCTTCATCAGGTTTTCCACCAGCCGCTCCAGCAAGACGCCCTCCGACAAATCACCCAGGTAGCCGATGATTTTCCAAATGGAGCTGAGGGCTTCTTGATCATACGGACGACCTTCATTATAAGCAAGAAGGAGCGCTTCAAGCGACTCGACGTTTAGCTGCTCTCGCAAAAAGCTCTTGCACTCGGAGTAGCGAGCGTCGCCCAGCACTTTGACGTGCACGCTCTTAAGAAGATTTCCGATTACTTCTAGCACGACAACTTGGCCGATCACACTGAAGCCTTCCTCTTCATCGTCGTCTTCATCTTCCTCCTCATCATCATCTTCCGATTCTTGGGGCTGTTTCAACCGCCGAGATACAAAGTTCAGAGAGCAGCGAAGCAAGAGGGCAGCCAATTTGCACACAGAGCCGACCGACACGTGCTCAACCACGTTTGCGTAAAACACCATGGCAGCTTCTGGATTCTTCCTCACTAGAGCGAGACATCGAGCCACTTGCGAAGATCCGCCGACACTCTGCGGAAAATACGAGTTCAAGAACAGCGATACGAGCTGCTTGCATGCCAGAGCGCAGTCACGATCCATGACCATCCGGCAAAGCAAGTCGTTCACTGGTACAACATCATAAAAGTGCAAGTTCCGGATGCTCTTGATTCGGACCAATAGAGCACCGAACTCAGCACGTACTTTCTCATTTCGATCATTGATCAGAGGAGCGAGCTGTAACATGACGCAGTGATGAATTAGTTAGGACTGATTATTCCACGTCCAAATCATAGCAGCTTACCATAGGAAGGAGTGGCTTCAGAATCGAGTGCGAGTTGTGGTTGTCCAAGATAAACTGGATGCCTTCAAACACTGCTGCGCGAACACTACTGGAGGACACGTCATTCACCAAATCTACCACAAGCTTCGAGATGAAACACCGGATCGTCTCAGCCGGAAGCAGCTCCCAATACACAGAAAGCACCTTGGACACACCTTCAATCGCTGCTACTCGTAACGCAGGGTGAGAATCACCAAGAAGCTCCTCGAACGTGTCAAACTGCTTCTGGAGAGTCAGATCCATCATTTCGTTGCTAAACGCTGGATCACGGAGCGGAAAATTATCGAAGAGCAGAATAGTCGCCTGACGTCGGACGGAATCGTTGGGAGCTTTTACACCACGCCACAGGATGGGGCTACAGATGCGGTATAGCATTTCGTCCACGCCCGGGTGTCGCTTGTTCTCGAAAAATATTTGAAGCACGGTTCGGACCGCATTGAAGAGAGAAGTACTACCCGAATGAACCGCATCACGGACGTATCGCTGAATGCATTCCTCTTCGATTTTCTCTCTGAAGGTGCCCTTACTGCCAACCCAAGCCTGTATATATCACCATAGCGAGAGTTAGTAACCTCAGCAATACGAATGAGCCTCAAACATTCCTACTTTGAAGTAGATGCTGCCGTATTTGACAAGGATCGAGTTTCGCTGGTTCGGGATCTGGTTTCTAATGGTCTCGTTAATATCCTCCACAAACGGAACGTGCAATGTGAATAAGAAGCTCAGGAATGGCACAGCGTCGGGTGATCTAAAGAATGTCGGCTGGATATAGCAGCGCAGCAAGATATCTCTCAACAGACCACTGCTGTCGTCGTCGAAATCCAGTAGCGGCAGTGCGTCCTTAATCGCAAACAGCCTACGAATCGGATGCTTCTTCGAGTTGAGATTGCCCGTCGGTGGGGACTCGTAACTACGCACAATTAAGTATGGCAACAGCTGCGTCACCAACGAATGAGCACGACCGCAGAAGTTGTGCTTCCAACATGCCTCACAGAGCAGTGAGATGGCTTCCTGGGTGGCCAGCACTTGGTCTGCGTCTCCTTTCAGTCTCAGCAGCTGGTCGTGAAGCTCTTGAGCTACAGCGAAGAGCTCTTCCTTGTCGATGGCCGCACCTTTGGTCTCAACGAGCAGCGCCGTGAACTCGGCGATGCACTCGCGGGCTTGTAGGCGTCTAGCCTCCTCCTCTTCGTTGTCACTCGGGGCAACAAGCTGCACGGCCGCAGGGTAGAAAGCGTCCAGCTGTTCACGAGGCAGCGCGCGCACCTCGTCGCCCAACTGCGACTTGTCCTGTATGGAATCCGCGTCGGTTTCGGCGTCCTCCTCCTCAGCCTCACCGTCGTCAGCGCTCTTTTTCTTCGTCTTGCGCTTCCCCTTTCCAGGCTTGCGGCGTTGAACCCTACGCTGCGCCATTATTTTCGCCAGAGCAGACGCGTCTCCGCGCTTAAGCTCCGCGATCGCATCTGCCACCAACGTCGCCATGATGCGGAATTCAAAAGTGTGACTGCGCGCGGAATTCAATTGTCAAGAGTGATTATCGCGCCGCACTCAGATCATATTTTTGAATGGCATACAAAAAACTGGAGGTTTGAACAGGGCTCAGATATTATCAGATATCCGCTCAGATTAAGTGGTGTGTCCTACACTACATATCTGCAGAGATCCACACACGATTCCCCCCACTCAACGATCGTTTGGACGCCAAAGGCCCGAGTTGCTACACTACAGATTGAGTGATGGAGACTGCAGACCTGGTGGTGGACGGCACGCGCACGTCTGGCAAGGATGTGCGTGAGCAGAACGTGACGGCGGCGGTGGCTATCGCCAATATCGTCAAGAGCTCGCTGGGCCCCGTGGGACTCGACAAGATGCTTGTGGATGACATCGGCGACGTGACTATCACCAACGACGGCGCCACGATTCTCAAGCAGTTGGAAGTAGAACAGCCTGCCGGCAAGGTTCTGGTGGAGCTTGCTGGCCTGCAGGACCAGGAGGTGGGCGACGGCACCACTTCCGTCGTCATTATTGCTGCTGAGCTCCTCAAGGTGAGAAGAAGATACTTTTTATGACATTTTCCAGCTTATTTACCAGGATGCAATGACGAAAAAATATTCACATTTAACTTGTCATTTGTTGGTGGCTACAGCGCGCCAACGAGCTGGTGAAGAACAAGATCCACCCGACGTCCATTATTGCCGGGTACCGTCTCGCCATGCGTGAGGCCGTCAAGTATATTAAGGAAAACCTGAGCGTTCCCGTTGATTCTCTGGGCCGCGAGAGCCTGGTGAATGCCGCTAAGACCAGCATGTCGTCCAAGATCCTCGGCCCAGAGAGCGACTTTTTCGCTAACTTGGTCGTGGACGCCGTGTCATCTGTCAAGGTGGAGCAGGAAGGCGCCAAGGGCAAGATTAAGGCCAAGTACCCCGTCAGCTCCATCAACGTGCTGAAGGCACACGGTAAGAGTGCGCTCGAGACGCAGCTGGTGGACGGATTTGCTCTCAACTGCACCAAGGCGTCGCAGCAGATGCCCACGTACATCAAGAATGCCAAGATTGCGCTCTTGGATTTTGACTTGCAGCGTCACCGTATGCAGATGGGTGTGCAAGTGGTAGTAAACGACCCCAACGAGCTGGAGCTGATCCGTCAGCGCGAGATTGACATCACCAAGGAGAAGATCCAGAAGATGATCGACGCTGGAGCTAACGTGATCCTGACGACCAAGGGCATTGATGACTTGTGTCTCAAGTACTTTGTGGAATCTGGCTGCATGGGTGTGCGTCGCTGCAAAAAGGAGGATCTGCAGCGCATTGCCAAGGCAACCGGTGGACAGGTTGTGCTCACACTCGCCGACATGGAGGGCGAGGAGACGTTCGATCCTTCGACCCTTGGCGAGGCACAGGAAGTTAGCGAGGAGCGTGTCGGTGACGGCGAGCTTATCTACATTAAGGGCTGCAAGACGCGTCAGGCTACGACCGTGGTGCTTCGTGGTGCCAACGAGAACATGCTGGACGAGATGGATCGCTCGATGCACGATGCCTTTATGGTTGTCAAGCGTATGCTTGAGAGCAACCAGCTTGTTGCTGGTGGAGGTGCAGTGGAGGCGGCTTTGTCTATCTACCTCGAGAACTTCGCTACGACGCTGGGCTCCCGGGAGCAGCTGGCTATTGCTGAGTTCGCTGACTCGCTGTTGGTCATCCCGAAGACTCTGGCGGTTAACGCCGCCAAGGACGCCTCGGAACTGGTGGCACGTCTGCGTGCGCACCACAACACATCGCAGAGTGACGCTGCACAACGCGAGCTGCGTTTCTCGGGTCTGGATCTGCTGGAGGGCACTGTGCGCAACAACCTGGAGGCTGGTGTCGTGGAGCCTGCTATCAGCAAGATCAAGAGCCTGCGTTTTGCCACTGAAGCTGCCATTACCATTCTGCGGATTGACGATCTGATCAAGCTCAACCCTAAGGAAGAGCCCCAGCAGTAGGCTTCCATCTTCAGGGTAGATGGCAATAGCGTTTATAATAACACTCCTTTCAGCCCATGTACAGCATTCTATTCACCCTCTTCAGCTTGTTCCGCAGCCTCCGCCTCGCGTCGATGCTTTAATTCCACTGCAGCCAAACGATCTTCGTCAGTAAGCGGCTCACCGTCAAGGTGTGTCAGCGTCGGTGCCAACAAGATGATCGCTGAACGGTAATCTTCCGCTTGAGTCACTGGATTCCCTATCAAGTTCAACGTCGTCAGCTTGGTTAATTGATCGAGTTGCTGCACGGCCTCGAGTGATTCGATCTGCAGCAATATCACAAGCAAGCAGATTGGTTTGAATCTCATTCATCAGTAAGAAAAGATAAGTAAGTAAATAGGCAACTTACGTAGTTCTGCTGGACAGACAGCGAGGTCAGCTCTGACAAGCTTTCAATGCCGCTCAACGACGTGATTTTGTTATCATCCTGAAAGTCGAATCAGCGATTATTCGGCAATTTCAAGCAGCATGTTGATGATATTGACTTACCAGGCAAAGTGTTTCGAGTTTGGGCGCTGTATCACTCGCAAGGCTGCTAATATCTTCCAGGTTGTTGCGAGATGCTTCTAGAGTGGTGAGGGACGGCAAACTCTGAAGCCCAATGAGGCTTGTAAACGCATTACCTGCAGCACCAACACCAAATTGTAAGTGTATGAAGCACCACAGAGCGTTATAACAGCACGATACCGTTGATCTTTAGCACCGTGAGGGAGCCCGATGTAAGACCCTGCAGTTCTGCGATCTGGTTTTCAGAGACATCGAGCGACTACAAGCAACCGTGTAAGTTGAGCATGCCACCTGAAAAGCACACTGACGCCATACCTGTAGATATGGCTGAGGAAGTGTTGGCGGTGCAGTGAGGGCGTTGCTTGACAGATCGACAACCACGAGATACGGAAGCTCCGACAGCGGCGAGGCATCAGCGATTTGGTTCTTGGATACGTTCACGTAGAGCAAGTGCGAATAGCTCTTAATCGGCTCCAGACTCACCAAGTCTTTCTCCTATTGCACCATACATACATTTTCCATATGAGCTTTTGACTGTGCGAGAAACAAGATAATGCGAACGTACAATGACATCGAGAGCTGTGAACGCGTAGCCAGAGTCGTCCACGACACGATCCACGCGGGACAATCCCTCCATGTAGACCTGGATGTTAATCTCTTCAGCCATTCTCGCCTCACGAATTTATCCTTCTTCTTAAATTCGCTGTTGGAGATAAGCGTTGAGCATTAGGAGGTCGCTGGTGGCAAAACCGTCTGCGACCAAAAGACGCCGAGCTCCTTAGGTATAGCACCCCTGTTGGCTGACCAGATATGTCTTCTCCATCCAGTCAACGACGTCACTCGTCTCTGCTGCCTGCTGAAGCCTTTGCAACTGATGACGACTCGGACTGTACGGTTACCTAGCTTCTCGTATGATTCACGTTATTTCTTCTTCTTGTCTGACCGTGCTCTTCTTCCCGAATCTTTGTGTAGATCTGCCATGGCAGATTGCCTTCCGAGTCAAGTTCCCTAGTGAGAAGCTCGGATTACGCTTTCACCCGGCTCAATTCCCAGACACAGGCAATGGCATCTACACAATACGTTTACTGGAGCTCACCAGGGTAAGTGAACTATTCATCGGAAAAAGCTGCGAGCTATGAAATCGCTAATGAGCGTTCGGCCCAGGGAGCTGACGGCAGTGGGCCGGCTCAACAGTACAATAAGCACTTGCAGCCCGGACAGGAACACTTGACGCTGCGGCCTGGGCTGTATCTGACCCACATCAATGACAACCATCTGGTTGAAGTGCCCTGCGAAGAGATCATTCAGAGGTGAGTTGCTGTAGACGAACTTGGACCAAACGAAGCGTCTAACTGCTTGTATTCATAGCCTGCAGACAACTCCACGGCCTATTACACTACGCTTTGTTGATGTTGAAGCGGGTGTGGTGACTCGCCACGAATTACGAGAATCATTGCGCTTAGACGGCGATGAACTGTCTGCTGCTATCGCACAACTTCCAGGTTCCTCGAATACCTCTCCGCGACGACATCCTCCATCGCCAACCAAGATTATAAGTGAACACATATACAAGATTATTCTACTGGGCACAGCAGGTGTGGGCAAGAGCAGTCTCTTGGCTGTGGCAACAAACGGCGACGACGCGTACATGGTACGGTGATCTTATCAAATAGATTTACGCTTGGGTACTCACGCTGTTGTTTCCTCAGGATCGACGTCCGCCAACACTAGAGGCGGAGTTCGGCACTATTGAGTTCCCAGACCCAAGCGACTACAGCGGCACGAAATTTACCAAGGCCCGGATCTGGGATACTGCCGGGCAGGAGCGCTTCCGAGCCATCACTCGGTCGCACTACCGTCGTGCAGATGGTGCTCTGCTTGTGTACGACGTCAGTGACGCGCAGAGTTTCGAGCGTCTCAGCGAGTGGCTCCATACGCTACGCGAGACTGCAGGTGATTCGCTCACCGCAGCGATGGTGCTCGAGAACAAAGTGGACAAACTGCCTAAAGACTCGAGACCAGCCAAATACGCACAGCCAGAGAAGGTTAAAGCTTTTTGTGAGGCTCAAAACCTCCTGTTCGCGCGTACAACTGCGAAGCTTAACGCTCGTGCAAGGGAATGGGACGGTGCACTCAAAGTGTTCGACGCTGTGCGGCAGCTAGTGCTCCACATCCACGAGACGCGCACGCGCCCGGTGTCCCCTTCCAAGCAGACTGAAATCGCCAAGACCACCGACAGGACCGAGTCAATCAAGCTGACCGCGGCAATAACCACTCAGCCCAAGAAATCCAAGCTGCTGGATGACTGTGGAGGCTGCAATCAATAGGCAAAGTACTACCTAGGGATTGCTAGATGTTTGGTCGCACATACTTCTTACACCCAATGCTAAGAGATAAAAACCCTGAAGGACCAAGACTTGTTCACTGTAGGACGGTCGTATCGTGCGCAACGAACCAGTGGTTCGACTGCCTCTCGGGGGCTCAAGGAGGCAAAGGCACTTCTAGCGGAGGGCTTATGAGCTCTCCTCCGTCCAGCTAAAGACACACAAACACGTAGGATACCCATGCCACGGCTACGCCAAGTTAAACTGCGAGTGAATCCGTGGTCGTGCAAACTACAAGAGCGCACTAAAAAGGTAGACTATGCTGGTTCTTTCAATTACAATTTCCAGGATTAATCTTCTATCGGAGATGTTATGTGGACCACAATTCGGCGCTTACGCTTGTGTCCAGGTTACGTCCCGGATGGTACCCCATGACGCCACGACTGATCACATAGTGAGCGCAAGACAAGCCACTCGCCAATTTCGCTTACGCCGCTTCTCGAGCAGAGCACCATGAGTCGCTCGCAGGCATCGCTGGCGCTGCTGCTGGCGCTACTAACGTCCATCGCGTCCGCGCTCGTGATAGAGAGGTACATACTTTACTGCTTGGCGTTGTAGCAAAATGTTTTATTACGTGGGACACTAATCAGGTTACATTATTCTGCATTTCCATCCAGCCCGGACTGCCGTCTAATGACGCATGTGTACGTAAATTACAGTCGAAGATGCGGTTGCATGTATAGTAACATGGTCACTCTCTATCCATCCGCAGCTCTGGCGAGTTCACCAACCTCACGATGCTGGAGTCCGGCGGATTGAAGAACTTGGAGATCGTACCAGGTAAGCAAGCAAGCTGCTGCAGTTTATTGTTGCTATGATATAATTCCTAACGTATTACGACCAACGTATTGTAGTGGTCCCATTCACGGCATGCGAACCGCTGCGTGGCCAGGATCTGACGGGCAAAGTGGCGCTCGTGTTGCGTGGCGACTGCAACTTTGTACAAAAAGTGTGGCACGCCCAACGCGCCCACGCAGCTGCCGTCGTAGTGATGGACAACGAGCTGCGGCACGAGTACGACCGATGATCTCACTCTCCTATATGTATTGACCTAATAGCCTGTGTATTGCTGTAGACCTCCGTACCATATTATCATGATGAAGGATGAGATGGCGAGCAGTATCCGCATCCCGTCGGTCTTCATCTCGTATGTGTCTGGTGAGTGGCTACTAGACGCCATGAGTCGAGCTGTGCCCTGGAACCCGCTACGGATGACGCTCGATACTAATGGAGAACGTGAGTATGTTAACAATACATGCATATTATGGAGGACTGATGATGTATTTGTATGCAGTACCACAAGCGTCAACGTCGAATCGCTTGCTGAAGCGTGTGATCGCCTACATTTTCCTCATTTCTATCGTCTGCGCGTTCTCCAGTGGGCTGAGTTTGCTGTCGTCGGCGATTTTCCAGTGGGTTGGCAAGACCCGGCGAACGCGTGCAGCCAAGCAGCTGCCGATCGCCAAATACGAGCGAAACATGCAACGCACACTGCTGGAACACTTGCTGGAAGAGCAATTCGTGCTTGATCGCATCCCACTAGCCGAGATTGAGAACGTTTCCAAGACAAGCGACCGACATACGGAAACTGAACCAGATTTCAGCACTGAGATGACTGCAAGTTCACAAGAGGGAGATACAGTCCCTGATGATATTTATCTCGAGAAGGAAGAACAGATGCAGCAAAAGGAAGAGCCACAAACGGACGGAATCACTTATCGGAGCTCGACTGACTCAGAAGCGGAGACTTGTCCAATATGTCTGGACGACTTTGAAGACGGAGCGGATGTTAAGGTTCTCCCGTGCCAGCATTTCTTCCACGTCGACTGCATCAACCCGTGGCTCGAAGGTCGAAGTGGACGCTGTCCACTCTGCAAGCAAGACGCTATTGCTACCAGTACGTTCCTAACCTCCGTTGTTCCATCTGATTGCGACTAACGAAATATGTGTTAATCTTTGTTTCTATAGTCGCTGGCGCATCTAAGAAGATCTTCGGCTTTCCGTTGCCTCGTGTTGACCAGATTCTTCAGCAGGAACATGTACGTTGGTGGTGATTTAACGGACTTTTATAGTGATAGATTTCTGACATGTCTTGAGTGTATTTGTAGTGGGTCCACACGTTCTTCCTCATGCTGCCTGCAAGTTTTATCAGCTGCTTAATTGTCAACGCCGCCGCCTCCATCATCGGCACCATGTGGCCGTAAGAGGTTGCCCTGCCAACCGCTTCCCACATCTCTTCTGTATTCGCCGAGACACAGTATTTATCTCACAAAACTCCAGCGGTGGCCTCGCTAATGTATTACTTTTGTCAAATTGCACTCACTAAAATGATCCTCGTTTGCTCCAAGTATCTCGTGTTTACAGCTCAGCGTGTTTATCCTTTTGACGTCGCCACCAGCCTCGGATGCCTTTCTCACGAAGGATTTTCTCTCCAGAAGTCTTGGCAGACTTGGCTTTCTTCCTCCATTGCCACCACTTTCTCTTTGGAGACTCTGGCGCAGGAATCGGACGTTGAGACCAACGTCGCAGTTTTATGAACGCATACCGGAGCTGTGTTTTAGTTGACGTCATTTGATGGAACTTGTTGACTCCCAGCAGTTTGAAGATGGAGAGCGCAGCCTTGTACGGATCAGCATACGACGCAACAAGAGCCTCTTCATGCTGCAGATCGGTGGGCTTCGGGCCGAACATGGAGCGTCTTGAACCCGGTGGCTTTGGAATAGTGATTGACGCGTACTCGGACGCTCTGGCTTCGCCTCGCAAGTCTGCAAACCCTTGCTGCACGAGTCTGAATGCGTCTTTGCCGGAGAGTCGAGAGAAGTAGACGGCGAACGTGGCTACGAGCAGTACAAGCATCGCCACGAACTGTTTGCGGCCAGCAACTTGCAAGAACACGAACGACATGACCACTTCAAACACTACCAAGCACACGAACGTGAGCTCGAGAGCTGTGCCAGCGATGTGACCGCGTCCAGGACTGTATGGGAGTACATACAAGACGTTATACTTGGTTGTGGCGAACTTGACGTAGAAGTAAAGAGCCCCGAAGGGAGTGATGATCGGAGTGATCACTGTACCCAGCAGTATCACGAGAAACACGCTCAACACCAGCGCGTAGTCGTGGCCGTAGGAGAAGGCACTAGGACGTAGCGCCTTCTGGATTTCAAGAGAAGTGATCGAGCGCGAATGGATCCACGGTTGCAACGCCATAGTGTCTGCACACCGAGTAAGGTCGACGATCCCTCCGAGAAATGTACGTTGGCAAACATACGAGATGAAGAAAGTGCCCGATACTTTGTACAAGAATGACTCGATGTACGAGCGACCACCAGTCTTCTCAATATCCGACAGAGCCAAATACACTGCAGTCACACCGATGCTGGGCAAGATCACGGAGCTCTGAAAGAAGACCCGGTTTGTTAGTTTACAAGTAAGGAGAACTGGGTGATATAAAGAACGTACCACAACCAGGTAAGTGAAACCTTTGATGAGGAAGCTCTTAACGCGACGAGAATGACTGAAGGAAGGCTCGGACATTGTCAAGTGATACAGGAACGCCAGCAAACACCAATTCACTGCAATCTAAAACATTAAACGATCAGTAAGGGAAAATATCTTCAAGGATAAACCTCGACAAGCTTACCAATAGCAGAGACGGCAGATAGGAAGCCACCATGGTTAGGAGGAAAGTGTTTCGGCGATTCAATCCTCGATACACGTCACTGTTTGAATCGAGCTTGATAAACATGAGCACAGCTGTGGGTGTGGAGAACAGCAGCAATAGAGCCAATGTAGCTACTTGTCGTAGCCAAAAGACAACGACCCTGCGAACAGTGTACGGTCGATACGCGAGACTCTGCCAGATCACGTCGTCAGGCTCTGGTGCACTCTTCAGAACGACATTGCGAAGAACAGGAGCGAGTTCCTCCGACCCAGAGCGCTCAGGTTTCCGCAGCGAAGCCAACGGCCTCTCTCGGAATCCTCGACGTGAGAGCGACTCTGCAGTATTTACTAAGCGACCGATGCAAGTCTGTCCACGAACAGTCCGAACGAACGAGTTGCGAGTAGCAGTGGAGTCGAAGATGACGAAAGCTGCGCCCATACATTTCCTCTTGCCAAACTCTTCCAGTGCATCTTCAGGGAAGAAATCGAGCTCCTCCCTCAGCGCGAAGATTTGTCTCGCAGTGGTTCGATCATACGCTTCAACGGTGTTATCATCTACCAAACTCTCGTACACAGTTTCAAACTGGCTGTCGGATCTGCTGCCGCGCTTGACTTTAACTCGGGGACTGTGTTTCGGACAGCAGCACGTGCAGCAGTAGCAGCAACACTCTGTCATTTTATCGTGCCGGTAGATGTATCTACCTGGTTTGCAGCGTAAGTGCCACCACGCCACCTCTAGTGGCTCTGGGGCCATCACCGATCCAGGGCAACACAGCAAGTTGTATGACAACGTACCGTTCTCATAGGCTTCGTCAAATGCTAGAATCCGACTCAGCTTTTCTGAGAGAACTTTACGCCGTTCGAGCAGCTCGTGTACTGCACTAAGGTCCCGTAGTACAGTGATCTCATGCACGGAACCTTCTGAAGGCATTGCTGTACGTAGAGCCTCGTGTAAGGAATTATGTGTAGTGTCGAGTGGTAGTCCATGCTGAATGAAGATACTTCGAGCTCCAACGATATGTTTCGCCCTTCTTCGTAGTGTAGATGCGACTTCGTGTTGTCTTCTCAAGAGACTGAGCACTGCGAACGCTACTAAGTAGCAGTAAGCCACGTGAGCCCAGTACCAATTACTGTGTAGCGGAACATTGCTGAACGTCGTGGCTTGATACGTGTCCCCACCTTTCTGTCCACGAGCACTACCTGGCACGTAATTCTACATCGATAACAGGGTCGGTAAGTGCTGAAATACTCTCAATTACCAGTATGTCTTACCACTGGGAGCATCACAGCGAGGCTGAGAAAACTAAGGGCGGCAAATAAATGCCCGCAGTCTCTGTAAAAGTTCATGATAAGTGCTGCCGGAATTCCACACGTTGAGCTCACGTAGTCCCCACAGCACGAAATGCTCCAAAACCTTCTCATTTTTTCTTTCAGTGTCGATCCCTGGAGTTCCCCATACTTTGCATTAAACACATCAGGTGAAATATCGTCGTAGTTGCTGCGTTCAAACAGCGCCTCCTGGTGTCCCATCCACACGGGCAGATCAAATGTTTGCAGGCGTCTCCAAGCGAAAAAGGCAATTCCTCCGAGGAAGATCAGACTATTGAACAGCAATTGGTACCAAATCCCTTGCCAACCTTCTTCCCTCCCTGCAGCGATCGAAACAACTGACCGCTCTGCGCTAAGGCGATAATACTTGTCAACATCAGTGCCACCCAGACCGTAGTCCAGGTAGAATCGCCCTGGAACTTTTCCAAACAATGAGAACTTTTGTTTCTGCTTTACAGTTTTCGTGGCATTTTCTGCGTGTGTGAAGATCAGCGTCCTCGGGACTACAAGCGAATCCATCTTGGTGCCATTGCTGTCCGTCAGCTTGAGATCCACAAACATCGGTGGAGCATTAGGAGGCACCCACGTGTCCACCTTGAGCTCGACGCGACCATCCAGCATCACAGTCGTGACACCCGAAGGCACGTTCACCACACTGAGGTCATCGCCCCTAACGTCCGCAGCCAGGACGACGGCTAGGACGACGGCGATCAATGAAAGTAGATCCATGTAGGCCTAAAGGAAAAGTGTGTATCCGGGATCTTATACACCAAGAGGCGTTGACCGTTCCGGTATCTTTGATACCGTGTCATAAATCATGTTTCAACGAAAGAAGCGGTGGACATTCGTCATGGATTTGTACTTAGAGTTGCCCTAGCTGGGCTTCTAACGCCCTAGTGTCGCCTCCTACGCGCGCCAGTCGCTCGTTTACTAGCGTCTCGTAGATTTCATGGGCACGTTTGAGGTCGCGACCTCTGCCCGCTCGACTGGCGAACAAGTCGTAGAGTTCTTGGCGAAGCTGTAATAGTTGCAATGCATGAGCCGCTCGAGTCTTGTTGACAGGTATGGAATCATCAAGTTGGTCGACATTGGGGGTTGGATCGTGGTAGATGGCCTCTATCGCAGCTTCGAACGAAGATTCCTGCATTCTCCACTTGAGAGCGAGAGCTCGCCATTGTTTGTCCTCGCTCTCCTCTCGGATAGAGAGTGCTCGCTGTCGTGTTCCAGCTGTGTTTCCATTGTAAGATTGTGTCTTTTGCATGGGAGCATAAGTTGACACGCTCAATAGACCATTCCGCAAGAGCAGCAAAGCCACTGACGTGAATACACGCAGAGGCATGGACACTTGCAGCTTCCGTTGACGTAAGGAATTGTGGAAAATATTCCTCAATTCTCGTTCGGATGGACCTAGAGACAACGGCATGAGTGTCTCGACAAATGCTGAATCATCCAGCAACTTCACTGAGTTCTCTCGTCCTCGAGTTGAGACTGTATCGCTGTTTGCTGCTGCGAGGTTGAAAAGCTCCTGTACCCAGTACGAAAAGAGATGGAAGTGGTTCATCTCAAGCCGGTACTTAATAAGCAGCGCCAGAACCTCCTCAAAGTAAACCCACTTGAGTTCCGAAGTTGCAGACTTTTGGGACCATAGTTGCGATGATTTACGATTTTGACGACGTACTATCGGACTTCTTGGTGCCTGCACATTATGCTGCTTCGAATGAAACTGATTGTAGTTAGTTGATCGCACCATCGCACTGGCACGGCGTGGTGATCCATCAGGACGTCGACACGAGTTTACAAATGTCGGACCGCCAGTTTCTTCTCCCTCTATTGTCGATGAGATTGCAGCCGCTTGACTGTCCGGATCGACGAAGAAGGATGAGACGATAGACTCGAATTGGTGGTAACCATTGCTCGGCAGATACTGTCGATACACGACGTTCTCAATCTCAGTAAACGGCGTGTCGTTTTCCACGATAAAACTCTCGTCTTCGACTCGGAAGAGTATTTTTGCGAGTTCAAGAACGTGGGGGATATCAATTATCTCGCGCATGGTAACAGGATGAAACATGGGGTGGCGGTGACACGACGAAGGCGCTGTGCCTGCTGGGCTTTCGTCGCTTGTTAACCGGTGTGCGCAGAGGTACCGACATATACAACAGAAGATCAGTTCCTCTTCTGATCGCTCGTTCGTCATAAACTCCTGGAAGCGCTTAACATCCGGGTCGATCGCAGTAAAGTCCTCCATGGTTTCAAGAAGATTGGCCAACGCAGTATCAATAAGTTGCGATAGTCCTAAGCGACAGCGGAAATGCTCTCTAGCGAGCTGTTCAATGTTAAAATTGAGAGGAATGATCTGTCCCGCAGGTGGATCAACAGCTACAGCTCTCGAGAAGAGCTGGGACCTCTGCTGACGCCACTCAATGAAGGATAATGTGAGATGGCAGCGAGAAGCAACAAGCTCTGCTAGTTGTCGCGGTGGCAGCTCCTTGAGCTTCCCGACGATCGTGTCGTAGATGTCCGACATGAACTGCTTCAGAACTACCAGTCTTTTTCTCTGCTCTCGCGATGCCAACACAGGCGCCAAGAGAAACTCGGTCTCTACCATATCTTGTCTGGAAGCAGGATAATACATGGCAGAGCTCCATAAACTGTCATCCAGATGCAGCTCTGCATAGTTTTGCAGTCGCATGGCTTCGCGTTCCCCGAACGGAATGTTGAGGGCATCGTCATCATCCAAAACGTTAGCATCAACCTTGGAGTCGATATCTGTTTGCTGAGCCACATCGATATTGTCATTTTGGGTCTGATCCAGATCATCCAGTAGATCCGTTTGAGCCGCATCGTCACAATTCGCTTGTTCGTTAGTGTCTTCCGGGGTCAGTTCACTGTCACTAACAGAGGCTTCCTCCTGGACCGTTCCTAGCACGATATGAAGCGAGCCTACAAGAGCTTGAGCCTCCTGCATTGTTTGTTGGAAAAGCTCAACGTCTTCTTCATCCAGTGTTTCTGATGGAGCGGCACTAGCTGGTCTAGGAGGTAAGTCTCTCTGTTCCTCAATCGACTCGTTCTCAGCAGTGAGAGTAGTGTCATTACTCTGATTATCTCTACGATGAAACATGGAAATGACAGACGCCAGCTCACGGAACGTTGTAAGCAGCCGGATCAGCGTTTGCCTTGGATTTGGCTTTGTATCTACTTCAGCCTCTTGTTTACCTTCTTCCTCCTTGTTGACTTCTTCGTTGTTGTTCTCATTCGATACAGGTGTCTCCACTTCGGTGATCGGTTCTGGGTTCTGAGCAAGTGCAGGAATGACTAGTTCTAGTTCATTTTCGTCGCTAAGTTTCAGCATGCTCACTGAAGAGCGTTTAAGCTTAGCACTGCGGCGGCGATCAAGCAGATACGCCCGAACATTGGCTTGCATGAGTTCAACCGCTGCATTCTCTTCGCGCCGACGCAAGATAGTTCGCATGACTGCTCTGCGGTGCAGTGCAAGTTGCCGGTCCCGAAAGCCTCGATATGAACGCTGGATATCCATTGCCGCCGCCTGCTTTTCCACTCGAATAGTAATGCGGGTTTGCTCTTTCCGTGCCTGGTACTTTTGGAAAGCAGCCTGCAATCGTGTCGCTGCCAAAGTGAGCTCTTTGGTCGAGTCGCGCTTTGAGCTGATCAAAGGCCTTTTGATTGACGCAGAATCGCGCCGCCGTCTCCACTCTGCTTCGTCCTCATCGATATCGCTTTCACTACTCTTCTCTTCATCGTAATCTCCACTCAACCGCCTGCCTGTTTGAGTTCGAGCCTTACGCAACTTAATCGCCTCCTGTTCTGCTGTTAGAGGAGGGCCAGTCTTCACTTGGTGCTCTAGCTCTTTTATTCTCTCCATAAGTTGCTTTTCTTCTTCTTGAATTCGTCTGAGTTGTGTATTTAGTTCAGCCAGTTGGTCTTGCTGTTGATTGCTCTGTTGATAGACAACCTCTAGTTGATCGATAAGGCGAGCCACCGCTGCATCATAACGTTTGCGAATCTCATGTAAGAGTTCACTTTGCTCTTTGCAGATGCATTTTATCTGCCGCGCAAGCTCATGGAAGCAGTATGAGTAGATTTGAGTCTCTTGACTTGTGTAGTCAAGCACCAAACGTCTTCTTTCAGCTACGACAGAGTCTGTTTTAGAGCCAATATCTTCACATTTCTCCTCAAGTTGTGGCATGGTAGCACGCATTTTATCCAGTGTTTGTCGAAGATGCAGCACTTGTTGTCGGTTGTGCGGTGCCAGTGCTGGAAAGACGACAGTCTCCCATTCTCCCTCCGTATTCAGAGTTGACTTGTACTGGTGTGGTGGATATTCTTTGGGCAGAAGAACAGCGTTGGTCTCCACAACAAAGAATTCACGGGGAATCATAGAAATCTCGGTCAAATCTGGACAATCCTCTCGACTAGGAGACATGGCAGCATTCTCGTTATTCGTTCGACCAGGAGACATGGCAGCATTTTCGTTATTCGTTCGACTCGTTCGGGCTACTGGTACATGAATCGACGAACGGGGAGACGGTCGAATAATACTTGGCTTCTTTCCAGTAGATCCACCTCCATCCACACGCTTCCGAGCGAAGAAACCACCTTTGCTGTCCGCCAAGTTCAATGGAGGAAGCATCACTAATAGTTCGATGAAGAAACACAGCAAATAATAATACTAAGGAAAGAAAGCCTACAACAAAAATACATAAAGTATCCAGCAGCTAAAAATTGCTGGCATTTTTCTTACTGGGATGCCTGGGATGACTCAATACAATTCGTTCGTCTCCGGCACCTAAACGACAATACTTAACAAGTAGATGGGAATAACAACGTTATCTCCACCAATTGCTTCCCTTATGCATATTTACACTTGATGCGCAGGAATCTCACCGAGCGCGTCATCTTCATTAGCTTCGAGTGGATGTGTCGGCATCGTGATGAAAAGCTGCTTCATTTTCCGCTGGAAACGTCGAGCGTATGGCTTCGGCGGTATCGCAGAGACTCCTTTACGTGATTTCCGCAGGACACGCACTTTGTAGGCACGCTCAACCTGCTTCGCGACAGTCCACTCCTGTAAGATGTCCACCAGGCCGAAATAATACTTGCTAGGACCTGAGACTTGATGTGCGGAGTATGCGTGGGTCTGAGGATACACTGGTCGCTCGGCTGGATGTGTAGGTCCTGGCGAGAGATCAGACGAGCGTCCTCCATAGGAAAGATCAGAAGACTCTGATGGTCTCGTTCCTTCGGACGCGGCATCGTCTCCACTTGAACGTCGATTCTCCAAGAAATGAGTGAGATGATCCACGTCAAGCTTCTGTTCGTGAGTGTCAGCACAGTATGCTGTCAGCTCCACAGACTTTCGACGGGATATTCCACGCTTGTACGCTGTCGTAATAGTGAAATGCGAGTAGTGCGTGCCAATGAGAAGACTATAGTCCATGATGCCCGCACTAGCGAGATAGTTACTATCGCGAGTCAACTGCTTCACGAGTTTGACTGCCGTTTCGGGGTCCAACTTGAGTCGTTTTTTTAAATCATTGTCTCGTAATGTGATATCGGGATAGTGCTCTTCATCCGGTAAAAAGCACGGTTCATTAGGTTCGCCTCCAAACGTAAAGAACCGGTTGCATTTCGAGCAACGGTACTTCTCACCCAGGACACATGCAGGGGCATTGCGGTCTACCCACGAGCCTTTAATATCATATCTGCGATGAATCACTTCCGTTGTGCTTAAGACATTCCCCATCACGATAAAGTAGAAGATCTGGCCGTACATCTTCATAGCATGGAAACCAAAGAAGCGAGGCAACAGCGTTCCAGGATTCCACTTGAGATATCGCAAATACGTCGGCAGCAATCGCAGCAGCACATTCTTTTCCTTCGAAGTTGTGCTCTTGACCAGGTACTTGCGATCACATGTGTTGAAGACAAACGCACCACTTCGACCTTCGCTGATGCGCTCGTTGATCGTCGAGCGGAATGCGAAGATATATTCAGCATCGTTCACCCCATAGAGCTGGCGAATAGACGCGAATACGCGCGGCTGGAAGTCGTAGAACTGCATCTCTGTCAGCGCCATGGGCATGAACGTAAACGGCATGTTGCTCGGGTTGTCACGTGGCTCCTCCACAACTCGAATCGTCGAGTTTCTCATCTCACGGAGAATCGGCATTGATCTTGGAGGAATCGTCTGCGACCCCACATCGTTGATGGACGAGGACGACACCAACTGCCTAATTCGACGTTGAGGAGATCGCTGCCAATCCAATTGGAACGTGTGATTGTTCCCGTTTTCTCGTCGCATTCGATGATGGTGCTGGACTGATTCAATGATTCCATTCGTTGCCATGTGAATCATCTGCTTTCTTAATGCCACATTAAGCTGTGGGTTCATGAGCTTCTCTTCGTGTTTGTGAGAATTCTCTCGCATGATCTCGCTAGCTTCAGTGCATCCCGAGCTGTCACCAGCAGGCGAAAAAGATCCATTGGCTATCACTCCATTCCTGTACGGAGACTGAAGCGTCGAGTCTGCGACGTCCTCCGCGTAATACGAAGGGAAATACGGCGCATTGACCACAATCCAGACGATAATGTTAACGCAGCCACGAGAAGCGTGCATGAACGCACTGAGGTCAATGAGTTCTCTGAAAAGTGTTTTTCCCAACACAGCTTTCACTGTGACAGTGTTGGTCATCGCAAACAAACAGATCATTAAAAATGACCACGAAATAAACACCGCACACGTGAGCATTCCATTCGACAACACACGACGTCGCACTTCAAACGTCTCCTCCAGCCCTCGACGCAGTCGGCTTCGAACGTAAACCATACATGCAAGACCGAAGAGCAGATACACCACAACGCACATATGGTAGAGTATCCATTGATGCCAGAAGAAGCCTGGCATGTCTGTGTTGTGGTGGAACCAGATGAAGCGTTGTTCATTGGCATCGACCACTTTCTCACAGTCCGGATTGGTATCACCAGCCTTGAGGCAATCTGCCTGCGCATCTCCAAGAGACCATAGTACCAGGCCACACACAATACCGCTGAGCACTGAATAAAACCAATAGACCCTGAAATTATGCGCGTACGAAGTGAACGGGTTAGTGATGGACTGTACCATGTCGATGGGGATAGCGAAGAACCAAAACTCTCCAGCAATAAGCAGCGCCTGTGTGATAGCAGCGATGCGAAATGGTAGAGCCACAGAGTCCGAGAACTCGGTGATACAGTACTCGGCCACGTAAATCAAGGCCAGCAATAAATCCACGAGACTTTTACTGAAGATCAGCGGGTTCGGATGCGCCCGCACTGCAGGACTTGTGAGGAAGGACACGATAATCACCAGAGTGAAGGATCCGGAGGCGATAGCTCCAAGGAACAAGTACTCGTCGGCACTGTAGCTGCCCACCAGCGCAATGGTAGAGCAGGCCACACCCACGAGTACTAACAGACCAGCAATTGCCACTCCAAGACCAGAACACGGGCCCGTTACGAGAACTTGGAAGCAGCTAAAGAGGGATAAGAGTCGCGTGGCACGTCTGCTACCCCTGTGTGGTTTGTAGTGCGCCTTGGTGAGATATTCGACAGTGGAGCCACTGGAGTGCATAGCAAATAAGAGTGAGTAGGTAGAATGAGGTAGAGCAAGACACAATGGACGCACTATTCTCTGGGCCGCAGCAGCGCGTCGCTCTCGGAGGCTGGTGGCAGGTGCCCCATGCAATTGAAGGAGGTGTAGACGAGTGCTTGGGCCGTCCGAGTCTCTGCCAGTTGCGTCTCTAATATTGGATGTGGTGCCACTCATGTTCCACTTATTTGGTACATAAAGTGTACTTAAATAGTTCAGGTTTTGAAAGTCAATTTCATGAGAGAGACATTTCTGTGGACATTTTGTGGACGCTTGAGTACATGTGGTTTTCCTAAGGAAAATGTCGACGTTGAAGCTGTTGCAGCACGCGATGACGCTGTGAGGCGGCAAGCGCGCCAACGATGCAGCCTGCAACGACGGCAGCGCCGAGTGCAGCCCAATTCGTTGGGGGTGCTTCAGACACACTCGGCAAAAAGATTTCTTCCGTGTCTTGGCCCGATGTCATGGTCGTGGAGCCGTTTGAGAGCATGGATGAAGACCGCATTTCTCTGCTGAGCGATTGTAGGAACTCCTTCGACACGAGCGTTTTCTGCTTAAGGAATTGCCGACAGTAAGTGCGTGGCTGCTGGAACAAACGGGAGCGGGAGTGTGTCAGGCGAAGCTACAAACATTAAGCAAGACATGAATGTTAATCACTGAACAGGAGCTCTATCAACCCCTCGTAACACCCATACCCGTGTTGCAATGGCATGGAGAGCGGTAAGGATGTCTGACATATTATCCTGTAGTGAATTTGAAAGAAGATGTTGGTTAATGACAGTCGGAGCAGAGACGAAAGGAACGGCGTGTACGTACCACGTAATACTTGGCGCTACTCGGTTTCTTCCCAACAGTACAGGTAACGACATGCTCCAGTTGTGGCTCGTTTTCAGCAAAAGCTTGGACAGCTGAAATACAAAACATAACTTTCAAGATGATTCCATAACAATTGCTCTTAAAAAAAAAAGTCACAAACCTTGAAACATTTTCTCGTCCGACTCATCGTCACCGACGATAAATGCAAACTCAGGTATATCAATCCGATCCTTCAGAACCTTCAAAATCAACGAGACTGCTACAGCTTTGCTGACCCCATACTGATGTACTTCCACGTATCCTTTGGCGCGGTTCACGATTGCATCTCCTCTCTGTACACGATATAATACGGGTTAACGATAATCATACCAAGAACATAAAAATAATCTACTCAGCGCACCTCGACGATCTTGGCGAGTTGAGCACATAGCTCCAAAGACTGGATTTCTCCATATTCTTGGTCGCTATTGCGGTAGTCGTACAACAATGATGCTGCATTCTCAACAAGGAACGAACCATTCGTCCGCGCCGCATACGCTTGCATCACACGTTTCACATCATCTTTCCAGTCGAAATTCCGCTTGTCCTCATCGCATACACACTCCCACTGCTCTCGATTCCCAATCTTGATAAACAACCCGTTCTCTGCTACCAGGTTCAAATTTGGAATAGACCCAAACTGATCCTCAAGTGCCCCTCGCTGGGTATTACTGATAACAAACACAATGTTGCATGGATCACCACATAATGTCTGCAGATTAGCGCGAGTCTCGTCAGAAATCGGCTTTCGAACCTTTCCGTCAATATATCGAGCGGCAGACTGACCAGTACAATCCGCACCAGACCGGTCACTAGCATCAAATTTCTGAGTAGACTGCTCGACACACCCGGCACGGTGTGAATATTGCGCACCCTCTTCATCCAAGATGCTCGCAGTCGAACTCAAGGAACCGCCATAGTCAAAAATGAATAAGCGGCGCGATGTCTTCGAGCATTTCTTCACCAGATCATCGACATCCAGGCACACGAAACCTGACTCGAACCGCATTACACGGAAGTCGAACCCAAAGCCAACTTGCACTACTTCTCCGGACGTAGCGTCCTCCAGCTTCTCGGTAACCGCCTCGACATCGCCCAGAAGGCGTTCACCCCACGGAGTCGAGTCGGATCTTCCCACTAAGAACTTGTAGTTCATGTAAAATCTGTTATGCTTCTCGTAGTAGCTCATCCCGCACGCTTTAGCAAACGCAGCGACCATATCGTCTGTTTTCCACGGATTCACAGCCAAACTGCCGCTCAATATACGGCTGTAGGCACTGAACTCTGAAACAATCATTAGACCAAAGCTACGATCTAAGCCACTAACGTCGAGATTTCCTCTTGGGCTGCTCCAACCTGTAGAATGTCTCGATTTGCTCTGAATATTACGGTGCTGCGCAATCATGTACTCGAATGGGAGCAATGACAGTCCTCCACGGACGCAGGTATCGAGATAGATATCACACATTCGCCATAGAATAACTCGTTCAGCACACGTGGTCTTCCTCTTTTCTTCGAAGTAAACAACGACTCCTCCGGGTGGCGCATACCGGCGGTTGATTTCCTCCGTAAACTTCAGGACGTTGTCACGTGTGCGATGGTAGTCGTTTGGCCTTGAGTCGAGGGTAATTCCGATTTGCACGAGTACAACAGATCCACGTTTTTCCGGGTGGGTAGCCAAGAAACGGTCAAACGCACGTAGCTTCAATGGGATAGCTGTAAGTCCTTCCAAGCGATCGACTGAGCCAATAACAATACGGCGCTGATCTGGATCTCTTCCTGCCGTGATAGCGTTTTTGACGTCAGCAGCAAAGTCCAATGCGGCGCCATTCACATCAGCTACATTCTGGTCAAGCATTTCGTGCAAATGCGTCACATCCGGTTCCACATGTGAGCAGGAAATGTGGATCTTGCGTCCGTTATACTCAATGACCAGCATCCCGTTCGGACATGTCTTGTAGTCCAGTCCCAGTAACCGTTTACAGCTCGTAAGAAAATGCCTCGCGTGCTCGAAAACGAGAAATCCAATGTGATCGGCACACAGCATCGCACGAAGAATCTCCGTGCGCATGGCAAGACAACGGAAGATTTCACTTGAAGGGAACGGTACGTGAAGATACATCGTCACTAATGCAGTGCGTAATCGACGTAGCAAATAGGACGGAAGCATCAAGAAGTGGAAGTCATGGAGCCACACCAGATCTCCAGTATGGTAGCTCTCCACCACGCGGCGTGCAAATGTCCTGCACTCGAAAAAATAATATTAATCACCACATTGTTATCCACTAGACAGCAATTATCAGCACGTACCTGTTTACACTGCAGTAGTCCGACCAGCACATATCCTGTGCGGCTGGGTTCCAGGATACGGGGTCACACCAGGCACTCTTAATGCCACTGCTCTCCTCTTTCTTTTCTCCGAACCACAAGAATTTCCCCTTAGCTTCCTGTTCCTCGCAGTCTAATTGTAGCTCGGCTGAGTTGTAGACGTCCACCACATTATGGAATACAGGCCAGAGCACGCCCTTGCAGAAGCCCTGGAAGTAGCGGTGCGCCACAGGAGGGTCCAGGAACACGGGTACGCAGCGTAGCGCCAGCAGCTTCTTCTCCAATGCTGCTTCCTCGCTCTTGGCCACGAACACCTCCGGACAGCCGATGTACAGTGGTGAGTACTTGTCCGCGTCCCTGACAAGCGTGCGATACAGCATGGCAGTGGCACCAGTGGCCCACGAGACATCCCAACCACTCGACGACGAAACGTTGCGCTCGAACACAAGAGGCAACACGTTCACCACGATGAGCACCGTCTTGGGCGGCGAATGCGGCATGACCTTCACTCTGATGCGGTGTGCACAAGGTGGCGGGTTTCGGAATGAATCGAACTTGAAGATATAAAAAGGTTGCACCCCTTCAAACTCTTTTTTTTTTCTCGTTTACTTGGTATTTGTAAGGGTCGCTGAATAATATCCTTTGGCAGTACCGTAATTGCCTACATTTTGCTGACATTATACTGGTTGGGCTACTCCTCGCTACTGCAAGACGCGTTGAAAGATGAAGAAAGATTGCGAGCTGTTCCAGGACACGCGCTGGTGAGGCAACTGGTGCAGTAATTGAAAGTGTGTTGAGCTTTGCAGGGTGTCCTTGTAATCGATGACAAGCGTTCCAGGCTGCAGTTCTGCCTCCAATTTGTGCTGGACCTGCTGGTACAGTGTTGCATCCCAGCACTGTGACGTGAGGAGTAATATCGACGTCTCCTGTACCGATACAGTGAGCATGTCAGCGCATTTGAAACAGCATTTGGTCTTGGGAATTTGTAGATCTTTTCGTGTTTGCTCGGCCAAATCGTGCAGGAATTCGAGGATTTCGACGCCCGCAGAACGGAGGCCAAGTGCGAGAGCTGCGAAGAATACGAGAGACCCCGATGACGAGCCGAAGACAGTAAGTGTCGCCTGTTTTGAATCACGTTCGATTACATCCAGCACTGGTTTTTGGGTGAAAAGGTTCAGCCACGTTGGGAACGGGGTGCTACCATAGGCAAAGTTTTCTTCAGAATAGCCGGTGTCAGAATCCGACGACTGCCGCTGGGCTTTCAGAAGTCCATGGTGGAACTCAAGCTGCTGCTCTTGCTGTCTCAACCTCGTCACTAGTAGTTTGAGACGCTCCTTGTTAGTAGAGTCGACGAACAATAAATTATGGCTTGCCAAAATTTCGTTCATTTGAACAACTGCAGCAAGCTCGTCTTGAACTCTTCGAAAACATTCTTGCTGGATGCTTTTGATCGTTGGGATTTTGCTTCGAGTGCGGGTTTGAGTAGCAACCAGCAGTTCCGCGATATGTTCTAGTTTCTCCTCAATGACATCGACAGAACAGCAAAACTCTTGTTGATCCGTTCGTTCATGATCGCTCTCAAGAAACACGACATTGATCGTTTGTCGAAACTCTTGAAGGCATGAAAGGATCTTCAGCAGCAGAACTCGCAACGTACGTTTGTCATCAGAACGAGAAGCCTGATCCAGATTACTATGAACAAGGTGAGCGGCAGTTTGAAGCTTGGAATACGATGTCAATAACGCTGCAGTCGTAAAATCCGGATTCAGTATTGTGATAAGGCCTCACCTGCTTGAGAATACAACCGCTCTCCTCCCACGTCAAGGGTGCCATTTTTCGTATCCTGGTCGTACGTGCTGCGACGGTTCGAGAAGCGTTGTCTATTATCTAGGGCAGTTTACGTACACTGCCATCGCACATCTGCGATTTGCTCATATCGTCGAATACGCGTAAGTCAAAGAAACACCACGATTGCTGTAACGTTATCGCCGCTTCCTCTTGCCAAAGCCTCCTGGACAAGAATTTGGGCTGCACGAGACTGCTCGGCGACAGGGATGGATCCCATCATGTCCACAACCTCTTGGTCACTAAGGACATCCCAGACGCCATCGCATCCCAACACGAAGAACGGATAGTCTGCCGCTGGCGTTAGACTGGCAGAAGATAACGGGCATCCAAACGACATTGTGTCAGGTTTCCATGGCGCTACGTTGGTATATCCAGTATTTCCTTACCGTGTCGCGCTTGTGTGAGGTTTCGCGACGACGAACTGCTTCAGATCCCTGTCCCCAAAGCTCCTGCAAACAATTTCAGCCAGATTAGATCGTTGTACCAACACAAGACGTCTGTGGTGTGGGAATTACCGGGAGACCGCAAGGATGCCGGACACTCGATCTTGAATGACGAAGCCACCCTGTTGGATAATCCGCTCATTCTCAACGTGATCGCTAGCCTTGTGATCCTGCACACAATAACGATATAACTTCACCTCTCTGCAAGACAAATAGGTTGCTAACATGAACATTATACCCCACCTTGGAGAGTCTAACTGCTTTTCCATTGCAACTAATGACTGCACGGCTGCAAGGATCAAGAGCAAAGTTAATGCCCCGTCATGCCTCGCCCAGCAGAAATCTACGCACCTGTCACCGACGTTTGCGACGTAAAGAGTTTTGACATCCTCCTCCTCCAGAAGTATTGCAGTCACTACCGTAGCGCCAACTGACCCCGAGAACGACTGACAGCACTCCATGTCTGAGATAAAGAAGCCCCTACAAGAGCAGCAAACTCTATCAGGTTATTTCATCTTCTTTAGAATGTGAAGCAAGCCTAAAAAACAATACCGCTCGAGCCGCTGCTCCACTGTACTGTCGTCGTCCGCATGTTGTAGCTCATTGGCAATGTTCTCGTGCAGAATACGTTGCAGGTACGTCGATACCGAACGACCTAGACACGTTTCAATAAGTCAGGCGGCTACCCACAGTAGACCACTCGAGAGACAGCACATACAGAACAGTAAATTCATTACACGTACCTCCATGCCCGTCATGAATGGCGAAGTAGCCGTTCTTGCGATGTTGCAAGAATCCGTCCACGACGCGAACCGTGTCTTCCATCGTCTTCCGGTGCTTCGCATTCTAATCACATCGCGTTCACAATCAGTAAATCTGCTAGCAACGTCGCCTAGTGGGCTATTGTGGTGCTACGCCCACCATTTCCTCACAAATGCTCACGCATCGGCAGCAGCCTAGCTCGTCCATCTTGATCAACAGCTCAAATTCAAAAGTTGAAAACGAAAAATAAATGCCGCTTTTCGTTTGTCTTACATTCAACAAGTAAAATGATTCGAAAGATTGCTAATATTTAGAAACAATTCTATAATTTATCATTATCGACAGTCAACTGCGCTAAGCATGGGTCGTCCGCGCATTAGCGTCGCGGCCGTGGCGCTGTCAGCGGCCACGGGCATGACGGTGGCCGCCGTGTCCATGATGGCCTACTTTCGCTTCCAGCATCCGCAAGAGTTCGCAGACGCCACCATCCGCATGACGCACCCGGAGCTGTCGGACGATTTCAACCGCAAGTGGGGACTCTTCGGCACTGGCATCATCGATTCGGTGCCACAGAGCGTCAAGGACCTATTCTACGTGCCTGACATGGCCGAGCGCTTCGAACAGCACAAGAAAAAGCGGGATGAACAAATCCGTCAGACGATCGAAGACCTCCGTCCCAAGGGCAAGTAGATAGCAATTATGCACGCAGTAGTCCGGCCAACGTAATACTACTCAGTAAAACACTCTATCTGTTCATTACTTGGAGACTATTGTTCAGTTATGAAGAGACAAGAAGACAATACCAACAATGGATAAGGAATATACACCGAGTCTCGGCAGCAAAGTCGCATGTATTCAACATGTTCTTGTAGTCAACGCGAGCCAGAATGCAGCAAGTCTCTGAGTGTAGAGAGCTAGAACTACATTTACGAGCGGTAACGGCGCAGCGACAGAGTGTTGCGACGCTTCCAGTTCTGGCGGAACGAGGAACCGATGATCTTGTTGGCACGGTGGCCACGCTTGCGGAGGCCACGGCCCTGGCGGCCAGCCGAGGTAAGGCCACGCTGCTGGCGGCCCTTGTGCACGGCGTTGGCGATCCAGTTGATACGGGGGTCGCGACGGATGGTCTTGTGCGAGTGGTCGACCATGATGATCTCGAAGTACTTGTACGTGGCGTCCTGGTTCACCCAGTACGAGTTGAGCACGCGCAGGTTCGTGAACTTGTTGCCGGCACGCTCCTCAGCCACCGAACGCAGGTTGCGCTCGAACTTGAGCTCGTTGATACCGTGGTGCTTGGGCTTACCGTACACAATACCCTTGGAGTTCGGGCGCTTGCGGCCACCGCGACGCACGGCAACACGCACGATCACGTAACCCTGCTTGGCCTTGTAGCCCAGACGGCGAGCCTTGTCCAGACGGGTGGGGCCCGTCACGCGGTGGATGACCGGCAGCTGACGGTACTCCCAGGCGCGCACACGCAGCAGGAAGCGCAGCACATCCGACTGTTTGCGCTTCCACAGCTCCTCCAGGTACTTGTAAGCTCCCATTCTTCTGCGACTTTGCTAAAATGAAATGGCCCGATACAAATTACGATGGCGAGGCAGGCTGGCCAGTCATTCAATAGTCCTACCAGCTCAGTACCGTATGTACAACGAGACACAATAGCAAGAACTATACACTACCATCCCACATAGATACGTAAAAGGTGTGCACCACATAATACCAAGCTGCTTGAAGTTGGCGGATTATTCAGCACTTCTCTCCTTGTCGATCACGATGTTGACGAGTGTAGTGCGCGTGACGACGCTAAGTGCTCCCCGATTGCATGCATCCCGCTGGCTGAGCACGGCGGCCAAGGCAACGCAGTTCAAGGTGGAAATGCTGGGCGGCAAGGACGCGGGTATTGCTCTCTTCACCATGGATCGCCCCGATGCGCGCAACGCGCTGGGCCGACAATTCATGGCAGAATTCCGCCAGGCGCTGGACCAGGTTCGCTTCGACCCCAAAGTTCGCGTCGTTATCTTGCGTAGCGTCGTCCCCAAAGTTTTCTGTGCGGGTGCGGACTTGAAAGAGCGTCTGGGCATGACGCAGCCGGAGGTTTAACATATTGCGGATCCAGAGGAGAAAGACATGCTGAAAGCTAACACGACTACATGTTGTGTTCTTGTAGGCGGCTGCTTCTTCACGTGGCTATCGCACTGGTTTCACTGATCTGGAGCAGCTTCCCATGCCCACCATTGCTGCCATCGAAGGCGCTGCACTTGGTGGCGGCATGGAGATGGCACTTGCCTGTGATCCCGTATCGCTGGTGCCAAGGCGATCCTTGGCTTTCCAGAGACGTCTCTGGCTATTCTTCCAGGAGCTGGAGGCACCCAACGCGCGTCGCGTCTTATTGGTATGATAGCTACTGTGGTGTTACTGTGGTCTGTGCGCTGACTTTGGCTCTGTGTTTGTTTCTGCTCCGCAGGTATCTCTAAAGCCAAGGAGCTCATCTTCACGAGCCGTCGCCTCAACTCGGAGGCTGCTGAGAAAGTCGGACTGGTCGACTATGCTGTGCCTGAAGGTAAAGCCTACGAAAAGGCGCTGGATATTGCACGCGAGATCCTGCCCAACGGCCCGGTTGGTGTCCGCATGGCCAAGGAGGCCATTATGAGGGGGTCTGAAGTGGATATCGCCTCCGGCATGGCCATCGAAAATGCTTGCTACGCGCAGGTGATCCCGACCCAGGACCGCATCGAAGGACTGGTTGCCTTCAAGGAGAAACGCAAACCGCAGTACACGGGCGAGTAAAAGAACCCAGTCGAGATGGGATCAGTGGTTGATCACTTTGTGCTCACGTCTTAATTCTGTACTTCGAAGTACTTAGTATTATCAACTGGACACTTGAAAGACTCTTTCGGTCCGAATACCTTTGTATCCAAGCTGGAGCTCGCTGCTTTGGCAAATTATACAAAAGTCAGTTTCGACTTGGGAATCAAAGTTCAATAACTCGTTTTTTGGGGGGGGTTCTACTAAGAAAGTCAACAACTTATTTACAGGATCCTCTCTGTGTTATTCTAGTGTCCTGAGTGGCTTGCCGAAAAAGAATAGCTGTTGTTGAAAGAGGACTCTGAAAGGCTAACATGTTTGCTTGCTGCGTAGATTACTATACATTTAATAACTTTTTGCGGCTTGTGATATGCACAGATATGGCAAGCAGTACCAGTACTTCCAGCAGATTGTTGCAGTGTATGAGTCGGAGCCCGATAACTATGCTCGGCTGTCAGGGCTGATGCAGGGGATGCAGGAGACCGGCCAACCTCCTTCCGAGATCGTAAAGGACCTTGCTCCAGGTGGGCGCGGAAAGCTCGATAAATGATTGACAAACTACTTGAAGTGGTTGTTTACTTTTGGGATAATTTTTAAAATCTCCCCTCGTATAGCATTTTCAGAAACAGTCAATCACGTCGCTGACATTCGCCGTTACACAAAAAGTGGAAGGTAGGTGGATTAAAACGTTAAAACTCGTATAAACGTAACTTGGCATCTAGAATTGTGCTGAGGTTGTACTTTTAGCGGTCAGTTTTTCCACTCTCCGATGGTACCTAATAATTAGGAGGTCACAAAAGCGGGGTGTCCGGCACTGTAAACTGATCTCTTTCTCTTATATTGGCACCCAACCTTATTGGTAAAAACACATTTTTCTTTCATCCAATAGAATCGCATAGTGGTGTGGTACTTTTTAGCAAATCAGATTGGACCCCCTCGTAACAAAGCACAGGGCCCGGCAGACAGCAGCGGAGGATACGGCTATGGCGTCAGGTGATGCCGAGAAGCACGAGCTAAACGAGCCCTGGGCTATCTGGGAGCAGCGCGAGCAAGGGAAGAATATGTCGTATGGCGACAAACTCTTCAAGCTCTGTACCTTCAGCACTGTGGAGGAGTTCTGGGGCTACTGGAACAATATCCCGTCACCCAGGTGGGTGAGCCAGAGTCATGCTGAAATCCATACAACTATGCTTAACACAAGCTCCGTATCGTGCTATGCTATGTGCTCTTCGAGCAGCCAAGTACTGTTTGACGGCTTCACGCGCAAGAAATTCGCGGATCGAACGGTAGAGGGCTTCGCAGTTTTCAAGGAAGGCATCGTGCCTGAGTGGGAAGACCCAGAGAACAAGAATGGCGGCGAGTGGTCCATCCGGAAAGGTTCGTGCCGTGGTGCCATGAGGTGTACACGCTGGAGTAATTAATAATTGTTGACTGTTAGAGGTGGGAGCCCAGGAACTGGACGAGTTTTGGGAAAAGCTAGTGCTAGGAGCTATTGGAGAGCTCATTGACCCGGGCAACGAGGTGACGGGCGTTCGAGTTATCCACAAGGTATGTGTATTGAACTTAGTGCCGTTGTGGTGAATGATCTGACACTTTCGCTATATCAACAGAACAACAAAAAAGACAAGAAGGACTCTGGCAACAACTATCGCTATGAAATCTGGCTGCGAGGCTTAAGCCGCGCCAAGGCCGATGAGATCCGCAACAGGACGATGGACGTGGTCAACTCGGGCAGTTCTGGGGCGCCCTGGGTGTCCAATGAGTTTGTGTACAAGAAGCACTAAGTGTAACCGCCACAGATCGACCGCGCGCGCTGCTGTGATGTGATGCCGACACAAAAGGATGCACACCAGCAGGCTGCCATTTTGTCCAGAACCTGGGATATTCAGCACCAAGCGCAGCAATCGATCGAGACAGAGAAAGTAGGGTAGAAACATGACAGAAGAACGCTGCGAGATGGCAAATCTGTGAGCACTTTTCAGTCAAGATAAAAAGAAGAAGAAATACAAGTAAATAGAGAACAGAACAGTGGATGTCCAGTGCGAACTTAAGGCGAACCTAACACTCAATCGACAATTCGTTGTCAATCATGGCCGCTAGCAAGGTTAAGATGCTCTTCTCGGACGCTCCTCCGGACGCGCTCGAGTGCGTACAACACGTTTGCTGCGTCTGATCACCTAGTGTTATATCTCATATAAGTGTGTTATCTCTTTTTGCGCGGCAGGAAGCTGCTGTCTCCGAAGCGAAAGCTCCTGTACGGACTGTTCGCCTTTGGCCCTGGCACGGTGTTGGGGCTGTATCTGTACTCTGTGAAGCGAGAGATGGAGCGAGAAAATGAAGTCCTGCGTCTGAAGCAGGTCGAGAGCGAGCTGAGTGTCGTTCAGGAGCGCCAGGACAAAGATCTGGTGCTAGCTTCAGCGATTCAGGAGATGCGCGACCGTCTCCGACGACTAGAGGCGGAGGCTATTGCCAGTCGAGAACACGCTGCCACGGTAGCGAGTGCTGCTGACAGTAAGACAAATAACAAGGAGGTAGGGACACCGACGGTAGCATCAGTATCAAGTGAGAACAAGATCGATGCAGCGTTGGCCGTGCTAACGGCCAAGGAGAAGCCTCAAGAGCAGAATGAGGAATCGCCTAGTTGGCTCACCTCGTCGTTGGACGGTGCTCAGGGACGCAGAGATAAACGCCATCAGGAAATGTTGCAAGGGGATATTGCAGCGTATATCGCCAAGCAAAAAGAGCAGGCTAAGTAATGCGAAGATGGTGTTGATAACTCGCTACTCCTCGCGAGGTGTTATTTACATTGATTAATTCGCATCCAGGACTTACTCGAGACCAAAGCCGAAGACCTCCATTTGAGAGACCATAGTCAAGTACGTTTCCAGCTCCTCCATGTCACGATACATAGGTAAGTCGAGTCGATTGAAGCAGGTGTGTGCCTTGGGGAACAAGTCGGATTTCTCCTTACCTCGTGACACGAACTGGATCGTGAACTCATGAATAATCCCACTAGAGCTCATTAGTCCGCGGAAACCTTCCACAGGCACACGACTGGTACCGGTGACAAACTGCAGAAGCTTCGCACGCTCCTCTGGAGCCAGACCTTCGACAACGATCCAAAACCACTCCAGTACTCCATTCTGCTCTTCTACCGTGATCTTTCCCTTCCTATTCTCCTCGGGTTTAATGTAGCGAACATGAGTGTGTGTTCTCCAATCCGCAGTATCGATAGTGGGGATGCCACACAGAATAAGCTCAAGCTCCTGGTAGTCGAAGACAGATAGCAAGGCCTTGGGAACCACGTCGTAGATACCCATGAGGAATTCCTGGAGTTGGTCAGCAATACTGTCAAGCATGCGGTGTTCGAGAATAAGGCGTAGATATTCCTCCTTGTTTTCATCAGTTACGTCGATGTTGCGTCCATTTTCCTTGAGATCCACCTCGGTACCGTTCTCAAGCATCACACTAAACGTCAAACATAGCGCCTCAACGTGATTGTTGCTACGTAGCCACTTGCAGTTCCGGTGCAGCTCTTCATCGAGGAATTCAAGATCCGAGAACGAAATCGGAATACCCAGCACATGTTTCAGTAGTGGCAGAGCCAAGTGCACATCCAGTACGAGGCCCTCGAAAAGCGCCTTGCCGATCAAGATACCAGCAAGACGGAACAGCTTCAAGTGGCTCTCGTTCTTCTCGCCAGAAAGCGGATCGATCCAATAGCTCATGTCTTCGCCTTTCGTGGGGACGAAAAGACCCATTTTCTCACTGAAAATCTCCTTGCAGACTATTCCAAACCACTCACGCAGCAACCCTCCCGCGTCGATACCAGGCTCTCCTTCAAAGGTGATTTTCAGATACGCATGAAGCGCATCGGGTGCTGCCTCAGCGAGCTGCAAAGACTGCTGGATAATCCGCTCTCTCGTCACCGCTACATTCAATCAAACAAGTCAGATTTGATCTTATCGAGGCGAACAAACGAGCGCACGTACTTAGCTTAGCGACGGCTTCGGTCACGGGAGTGGCAATGCGGGACAATTGCACCAAGAACCACTGCTTTTTCATTCGGAAACTAAGAGCCATAACGCCCTACAGATCACAAAACAAGTGAGAAGTTAGTACCTTGAAACACGACTAATACATCGTCCAGGTGTACTCACTTCGAAGTCCATTTTCTCCAATCCGTTGCGCATCTTGTCAAACGATTCCATGTCAATGGACACCTCATCTGCCTTGGTCCACGTCAAGCGTCCGGAAGCGTCGTACATTGACACAAAGCCCTGCGAGCGTAGATTGTGGTAATCCGTGACACTCTCTCCGTTCGGTCCAGCCAGCGACTTTGCTTCCGTCGACTGTAGTGTCGGCTGTGCAGCATCTCCATCTTGCAATTCAGGTACAGGATCCACCACGTCGGTGCTGTTCTGTCGGACCCAATGAAATTTGCCATCCGACATTTGTTTCCGTTGCCAGAGGCGTCGTCGGAACGCTCCCCGTTGTCGCTGCGATAGGTTCTTCCTGGCCGCCATCATGTTCATTCGACGCTTGAACAGCGCGCGCTGTCGAGACCTCAAAGCCTCAATATCCTCCTCTTCTCCGGCCCCGCCAGCCATATCAGCTCCCATGATACTACGACTGTTGTTACGCAGTAGCATCCGAGAGCTTTTGCGGCGACCCAGCTCTCCGGTCATGAGGAATCCGATGCTGGTGCCGCACATGAGGCAAGTTTTGCGTTTGGCACTGTTGGCCAGACCACATACGACGCATTGCCAGCCTTTGCCCTCGTCCTCGAGCTCCGTCTCCTCGAGTTGATCGCGCCGCAATAGCCCGTCCATGAGCTCCGATTGCGCGGTGGAGTTCTTACGATAGCAGCACATGTAGACGATGATGGCCACAGCCACAACGGCGGCCACGCCTAACATGATACCGATCCATTTTACGGCTGACACGACGCTATCGACGTCGCCGGCCTGGGACGACATGTGTGATGTTCACGTTAATAGGAGGGAATTGCTGAATGGAGTGAGGTCAGCAGCGTAATCGCCAATGGCAAGAAGCACATAAGCACGCAACTACATGTTGACTTGGATAAAGTAAGTCGCGACTAAGTGCGAGATGTAGTGGAGGGTCGACGTGAGTCACGTGGCATGTCAAAGCGACAAGTTGAAGTGCATACTGAAGTGACTGGATCACAACGGACACTAAGCTTTCAGTGGAGCGACTGCGCCAGTTGCAAAGCGCACCTCGATCTCCGATGCTAGCAAAGCGATACTCAGCGATGATCAAGAAACGTGTTCATGAATTTCGTACGAGACTGTTGGGGCCACTGCTGTATTCGCGGTGGTGTTGGATGGTCTCCATGCAACCAGGGGGGGGGGGGCCATCTGATTAGATTCTGACCGCCAATACGGCTCTCGTTGCTCCAAATTTTTGTAAAATTCGCGTACATGACGTCCTTCCAGCCTCGTGGATATCTTATGCTGGCCGTGGCGTCGTGACGTACCAAAGACCGGAGCCGGGCCGCCAGAGGGTCTATTACAATGCAAAATCTAGTTGACCGCTGGGGTTAACACGATGGTATTGCTGTCTGCAGCTGGTAAAGAGAGAGAAAGTGATCGCAGTTGGGTTCTCATCGTCATGACAATTGTAATGGTCCGCCGCCGTGTGCCAGGCCAGGTGTCAGCAACAGAAAATGTACCCACGAGATCATGATTCCCTGGATTTAAAAACCATATCATTTCGTTCAAAACCTGCAAAAAGTTCAGCTACAATGCACAGTCCGTATTTATCCTTGTCCATATTCTACGTCATCCTTATCTGGATTCTCTCATTGCTTTACCGCCACGACAGATCGCACTCTGCATTTGTCTCCAAGCACCGCATTCCTCATACGACCATGCCGTTCCTGCACGTGACCTTACGTGGCGCCACGGACCTGCCCTCCAGCGACTTCAGCCTCGTGGGTGGCAAGAGTGACCCGTACGTGATCTTCAAGCTCAACGGCACCAAACACCGCAGCCCGTGTCTTAAGAACACGCTCAACCCCGTGTGGGACCCTCCTGAGCACTACGTCTTCCCTGTTTCCGACGCTGCCAGTGCTGTGCTTAACGTAGAGGTCTATGACATGGACACACTGAACCCGGACGACCTGCTGGGCACGCTCGTGGTGCCTGTGGCCAAGTTTGCGGACGAAATGGAGGTGTCAACACTCGAGAACTACCCACTCTCGGTGGCCAGCGAGTTCTCGAGCCAGAAGCGCAACAGCACGCTGCTATTGGAGATTTGCCTTAAAGAAGTGGACGATCAGGAGCGTCGCGTATATGTGTGGGAGAATGAGAGCTGGTCTATGGGCAACGGCTGGAAACCCACCAACAACTCGGAGCGGCGCCAATGGTCGGCCTACGACGACTCGGCCACCTCCGCCACCTTCTCTGAGGTGGCTCCGCGTGCGCCCGCCAATATGACTGGATCGGGCTGGCAATACTGCTCCAATCGCGGAGACTCGCAGGGCTGGTCGTACGCCAAGACTTTTGCAGGCCCCTGGACACCAAACAAACCAGCGTTCAGCTTCGTTCGACGTCGTCTGTGGGAAAACACGTTCAAGCGTGAAAGTGACTGAAAGAAGAGTTGAATGTATGAATGTTGCATGATGATATTTGGCCCAGTACTAGCTAAGGCCATCTAAGAAATGTATTAACGTTATTACTGCGTGTATTAATGTCCAAAGAGGTCGATCCATTATTGATCACAGTTGAATCGACGCTAGCCAGGAAACGGATTCGGTCATGCCCTTGGAGCAATCGGAATCGCAGGAGCTTGAGCAGCATGTTGAAGATCCTAAGACGGCCGAGAACCACACCGAGGAAGAACTGAATGGAACAAATACTGACGATGTCGTTCGCAGTGCTCGAGCAGGTGAAGATACTGCCGCTGCAAGTGGAAATGCGTTGAAACTAGCGTGGACGTTTGGCTTCCAGAAAGACTTGATCAGTGGGGTGCATAGTTTGTCAGCTGGAACTCGCCGTGCTGTGTTCTATGCAGCAGCACACACGGGTGTCATCTATGACTACGCTCGTCGCCAGCAACGACTGTTACAAGGCCATTGCCACCCTATTTCCTGCTGTGTTGTCAGTGAGGACAAACGCTGGGTTGTCACGGCTGATCGCGGCCAAGAGTCAATGCTCGTAGTGTGGGACGCTCAGTCGGGCAACCCAATTCGAACTATCTTTCGACCGCATGCCAACGGTGTCCAAGCTATCGACATCTCACCAGACGCGCTCTTTCTCGTTACTTTGAGTGCCGTCGACCGTGACGATGAAGATGCTAGTGATACTAGCAAGAGCAAAACCTCTCGTAAGCGGTTCGATCAAGAGTTAGCGGTATGGGAGTGGGCAGCTCCAGTTAGTGGAGCTGCAGTCTCCAAGCCTTTGTACTCGTCCCTGGTAGCCACAGAGGACGTGCAGCACGCTGTGCGGTTCAACACCTACGATGTTAGGGAACTAGTCACTACCGGTCGCCAACGTGTCATCTTCTGGAGCTGGGCGGCTCGCACTCTGCTGTTCTACTCTCCTTCGCTGGCACAGAAAGACTTCCGCCAGATTGTTGGTGCCTTCACGCAGTCACTCTTCGTACCCGACTCAGCTCAAGCTCTTACAGGTACAGAAGATGGCGATCTTGTGCTTTGGGATGCAGTTCAAGCTGATACCGACGCTGAGACTGCGTCGACCAGCTTTCCTGAACGTAAAGCAGTCAAGATCGTACGTCTTGCAGGCGGGGCTGAGCCTCAACATAAAGTGGCTCTAACTGTCATTGTCGACATGGATGGCTATCTAGTTATCGGCTCAAGTGATGGCGCTGTACGCTTCTACGACTTCGACTTCCGTTTGGTCGCTTGGTTTGAAGATATGAACGCTGGACCAGTCACAAGTGTGTCGTTCGCTCTACCAGCAAGTGCAACAAACGAAGGTGAACACGTCAACGATACACACCAAGGAGATGATACCGATGAGGCTTTCCACGTTCCTGACTTTATCGTATCGACAGCGTCTGCATTCATCGTTGGGATGAGTGCGACCTTGTTTGGAGAGCACGAACCGGATCGAAGACGGGGCACACTGCTTATGCAGGGCATCAACGACTCGATCCATGGTCTTGCAACACACCCGAGACTTCCTCAACTCGCACTTAGCTCGTACTCAGGAGTCGTGCAGCTCTGGGACTACTCAGCTAAGCGCCTTATCATGGTCCGGCGCTTCGACTCGGAGAAGTTGCGTCCACAGTGTCTTACATTCGCTCGCGATGGGCGAAAACTAGTCGTCGGCTTTACTAGCGGAATCGTCAAGGTGCTGCACGCTCATCGACTGGATGATCTGGCCTCGTTTCGTCTTGGGAAAGCTGCAATTACCGACGTGTTAGTGAGTCCGGATTCTTCGCTTTTTGTTGCTCTGGATGCCAACTTGTTCCTCGGAATGTGGCGCGCTAAGCAAGTTACAGCTCACTCTGATGGCTCCGATGGTTCTGATGAATGGGTGTATCTTGGACGCTGTCGAGCGCATTCCAAGCCAGTGACTGGGCTGGAGTTTTCGCGGGACGGCGACGGACAACCAGTTCTTGTCTCTGTGAGTGAGGACCGTACTCTAGCTGAGTATTGTCTCGAGCGTTCAAGTATCTTGGATGGTGTGGTGCTAAAGCAAGCTCCTACTCGCGTAGAGCTCAGTGCTGTACCTACTGCGTGTTGTTGGCATCCTGAGCTACGCGGAGTGCAAGAAGATCTGGTTATAGTCGCTAATGACGAGTACAAACTCAAACAGTGGAATACTGGCAACCAAACCTGTCGTAAAACAACGCTGGGTCCATCGTACGGTGGACCTATCAACAGGTTGGTGCCAGTTCCACTTCGAGAGGATGACCAAATAGCTGCAGAGACAGCAGGTGGAATTGCCGAGCGATATTGTGTCTATAGTACCCACGAGAAAGTTGTCGGACTACTGAAGCTTCCTCTTGATGGGAACCCACACAAAGCCATGGGTCTCATTGCACATCCAGGCAAGATCAGCAACGTGGACGTGACGTTCGATGGCAGTCACTTGCTCACTGCTGGGGGCGATGATCTAGTGGTCAACATGTGGGAGATTCATCCTCATCAACTGGACTTACTGGAGGCTCGAGGTACCCCTCGAAATCCTGAAGTGTTGGAAAGTGAAGACAATGCGGTGGAAAATGAGCTGGACGAAGACGATGTGGCTCTAGCGCCGTACCTAGCGCTCCTGGAAGGTGGTCGCGATGGGTCATTTTACCATGAGATTGTAGATTATTTCTACCTGGCTCAACTTCGTGTCCAAGGAGAAGATTCTACTAGTGCTCGGGAGATCACGGCTCAAATTCCGCTGCGAGAGATACCAAATGTGATGCGAGCGCTGGGATTTTACCCCACGGACGAGGAAATTCAGCACATGGTGAGTGAAGTACGCTATTCACGCTTTACCGAGACGTCTCGACCGGTGGAGAGCATCGGTCTTCACGACTTCATCAAGTTGTACGTGAACCATCGGCCGGTTTTTGGGGTTGGCAAGGCACAGATCGAGCGTGCTTTCAAGATCCTAGCGTCGGTGGATAGAGGTGCTGGCGATGACGAAGATGACGGCTTAGCATCGTTGCGATGGGATCAAATTGAAGCTCGTCTGTTAAACTCTGGCGAACCCATGAGTGAAGAAGAGTTGCGAAGCTGTCTTGCAGCATTGCTTGCAACTGGAGACGAGAACGGTGGACTGGCCATGGATCCGCAGTACACTGCACTCAGCTTTGCTGATAAAGTTCTAGGATTCGACGACTACGAGCAGCCAGAAGAAGGAGAGAGCAACGTTGTGTAAGTTTAACGAACAAGCAGTTTCTTATGCTTTACACTTAGATTGTAGCTTCGTCAGCGAGGCATTGATAGCCACACTGTAGTTGTCGGTCATGTTCATCGTGTTCGACCCAGAGATCATCTTGGGGTTGTTCTGAGACCGTCTTGTTCGTGTCTGGCAACCATGACATCCTCAGCTCTCTTGCGTTGAGTGTGCCATTGGACTTTGTGCTGTTGTTGCAGATGACTGAATTCCGTGCTCTTGACTTGGAGTGCAGCAGCAACTCACGGACTCGATCTGCCATGGAGACTTTACGAGGTTTCTTTGAGGCGCCAATTGTACACTCACGACTGCGTGAACGAGGCGAAATGCTCCCGTCCATTGTCATGTAAGCGTCTGCTGCGGTTGAAGTTGAGCGTTTCCTTGGGGTTGATGCTGTAGGTGCGTGGTGGGAAGGTGGAGCGAGCGGGAAGTCGAAGATGTCGACGAGGCGGTCGAGGAATTGATCGATTGCGACTTGAGCTGATCGGCGACGACGCAAGACTGCTCCATCAAGCAAGGACCAGCGTTCCTTTCCTTTCATTGTATGCGACAGCTTGAAGAACTCGGATGGTGAGGCTTTCTTGTGGCGTACGGGACTCGATACTTACCGAGTAAATGCAGTAATGAGGAAGAGATTTGACAGGCCACACGAAAGAGGAGTATTTCGAGTGGGAGAGATCGCACGCCACCACAGACGGAGGAATAAGCTGAAAGTCAATCTGCCAGCATCTGGGAAATTCTGTCCACCATGCAATCCACACGCAATGACCGTAATATCTCGAGAGCGCACCATGCAGTAGTTCACTCGGGATTTGATCTTGGAGAGATGTTGCTTTTCGCTGGTCGTAAGTGGGTACATTCAGATGGCTACATTATTGATGATACAAGCGCACAATGCGCTCAGCTCTGGGCGATTCATGCTATCTCTTATTCTCTCTCTGACGCGGGAACAAGGGCTCAGTCGTAGTCGTTATCTAGTACGTAAAATAAACCAAGCTTCGTTGTTTTTTATACTGGGAGAGACAAGCATGTAGGAAGCTACTCCTCAACAGGGAGAGGAAGTTACAGGTGTCATCCACTAGATGACAAACTGGTGCTGGACTGTCAAGCGCGACGGCATATGACCTCTCGAGGTATATTTGTCAACAGCAGGCACGCTCTAGATCTCTCTTCATCACACGGCTGGAGTGATCTCTTGTGATGGTCAAGTACATTGCTATCATATCGTTCAACACCATGAAGTTACTCTCGACCACAAAAGAGATGTGGGGAGGAACGGCTCGCCCCGCTCATTCGTCAATAGGCTTCTTTCTGGCTGACAAGAACGATGAAATATGCTGCATTTGTGCTGCTATTAACGTGCTGGATCGTGGCTGTAGAAGCTGTGAATGAACGCGATCTTCGTCTAGCACTGGCACAACTTGTAACTTCATCAGAGAATCAACACAGCGTCACGGTTCAAGACTTACTTGAAGGCCCTCCTGAGCTTACTACTTCACTCCCGCTGTTTAACCAACTCGTCAGAGAAGACCGAAGAGAACTTCTTTGCCAAATTGGTGAGCTACACCTCTTCGGAGACGGCTCTGTGTCTCACAACGCGACTCATGCTGAGCTATTCCTCGACGCTAGTGCAAGGTTAGGCAGTGCTCAAGCGCAGTTCCTGCTCGGTACTCAGCGAGCTTCATCTAATGACAGTGCATCTGCACACTTGTACTACGAGTTTGCTGCTCATGGGAGTTCAATTGGAGCCACAATGGCACTTGGATATCGTGCACTGCACGGCTACGGCTCCACAAAGTCGTGTTCAACTGCGATGAGGCACTACAAATTCGCTGCGGATCGTGTTGTGGCTGAACAGAGTGATCAAAGACTTCAACTGTATGCGTTCCCAGAGCCTACTCGGCTTTCAGAGACTGAAGGAGCACGATATCACTTGGACCTCAACCCCGCTGAGGACTTCAATCGAGCTGAGTACCTTCGACAGCGTGCTGCAGATTTCCGTAGTGCAGATCTGATGGTCCAGTCCGCGAGTATCACTCTGTTCAGTGATCTGTACAAGACTGCAAGTACAACTAATTTTGAGGAGCACACTGCACGAGAACGACAAGCCCTATTATTTCTAAGACGTTCAATTGAAATGGGGAATATCAAGGCTCAAGCGCTCTTAGGTCACGTGTACGCTTACGGTCTTACTGGATACCCGGTTAATGTTACGAGAGCTGTGGAACTGTACGAGTCTGCGTTGAATGCGTCGCACAGCAGACCAAGTGGCGAAGCTGCTAATGGTCTTGGTGTGATTTACTCACAAGGTATCGGAGACGTACCTGTAGATCTCGAGAAAGCTCGAAATCTCTTCATGGTTGCTGCAAATGCAGGGCATGCTGAAGGTGTCTACAATACCGGCATGGCATTCATGAAATTAGGAGCGTACCACACAGCGCGTGCTAAGGAATATTTCGTTGCAGCGGCACATGTGGGTCATCTCAAGTCGCTCTTCCAACTCGCTCGGATCAAGCAGCGACAGACTCATGATATCGGCGCTAGAGCGAGCAGTGTCTCGTGTGAAGAGGTTGTTGAACTCTATAAACGTGTGTCTGAATACTCTCGTGAAGGCACAGCATTAATGACACAGGCGCTGACCCACGCCCAACGTGGTAACTGGGCGCTCGCACTCGAGTTATACTTGATTGCAGCTGAAATGGGCTACGAAGTCGCGCAGAGCAACGCGATCTGGCTCATTGAACGCATACAACGGCAAATATTTGGCACTTCAACCAGTCGAAACTCGAAGCTACTGGGACGTTTGTACGCGCAGCTAGTAACCCGTGCCGTTGGTCAAGATAGCGTCGAAGCATTACTGCGTATGGGTGACGATGCCTTTCAGGATCAAGACTATAGTCTAGCGTTGAGGCGCTATCAACATGCTGACCTAGTGAGTGCTGGAACTTGCGCTCGTGCTCTCTACAGCGTCGGCTATATGTACGAGCACGGTTACGGAGTCTCTTTCGCTTCGACGGAGCGGGCCTCACTGTACTATCATCTCGCAGGCGTGAAAGAACCATCTTTACGTCTTGTTATGGCTGCGTTGAATCTCAAATTACGCGTCCACAGCACCTTTAACCAGTTTATCAACCGTGTACATCAGGCTTGGACAGCAACGACACATGAGGCTGCTACAATTGAAGACTCATCAACGCCACAAGACGAAGGATCGATCCCCACATCACGTGACATTTCAGAGTTTGACAAGCCAAGTGCTTACCATCGATCAATGAAGATGCTTGATTCGGATCAAGGCTCGAGCGCAGATAGCAGCACGCCACACGAATACGCTGCTGCGTTACGATTCCAAGGGGATCTGTCCCAGCTTCTTATTGAGTTTGCTCGCGATGAATTGCCATTGGAACAGCAAGACTTTACTATTGAAACGTGGTTGCGTATCGACGACTTGCCATCAGATGAGGTGGTAACTCTAGTCGATGCATTAGACAATTTCCAATTGGAGCTGCTACGTGCCTCTGGAAATGTGGATTCCTGGATGCTGCGATTCCGAAAGTTTTCTTTAGTGGATGAACAACTCCCTGAACTTGTGCTTCGCTTTCCCAAAGCTCCATTGACTCCGCATACGTGGTATCATGTGGCTATTACGTTTGATGCCACATTCCAGACTGTCATGCTATTGCTCAACGGTAAAGTGAAGCAGGTGCTGAGTTTCCGTCCCCATCCAGCAGCACTGACTCGCAGTGAAGACGCTACTGTTGATGGAGATTCTTCATCCTCCTCAAAGTTCCTCGCTATCGGGAGTACGATCGGTCGTATCTATGGAATGAGTCCTCCCAATTCTCGAGTGTTCTCGGGCCAACTTGTACACTTTCGTCTGTGGAAAACGCGCAAGACTGCGAAGGAAATCAGTGTGCTTATGCTGGAGCAATATGATGAAGTGGCAACGCGAAATTTACTGGTTCACTTGCGCTACAAGCTTAATGGTGCGTCCATATCCAGTACCAGTTCGAAATCAACGAATCGAGTGATGAATGGAGACCAAACTGTTCCTGATGCTCAGGGCGTTCAACTTAAGATCGTGGAGTTCCCACCATCCAACTAACTCTAACCAGAGTACCAAACCATCACAATGATGATCCTGCACTGAGCTTAAGTAAATGTTAGTCAAACAATTGCGTTTCTCGTCTTCGTACTGGTGTTCGTTTGTGTTTTTATCCAATCTGCTAACAGAATTCAGAATTCCAAGTGGGAAATTCGGTGTCAAGAATTTTAGACGTGAGCAGCGGTACCAGCACGGGTCGGTGCCTTTAACGATGTCTCCTTCACCTTTTGGCGTAAGAAATGATATCCTCCGACGAAGAAGAGGGAAATCCACTCCAGGAAGGTATTGTTGCGAGGTGCAACGCCGTTGCTGAGCATACGCAACAAGAAGCCGTTCCACGTGGTAGTAATCGAGTACTGGCCAAACCACAGACCATTGAAGAGAACTTTCGCTTTCTTGTCGAATCTGAACATTAACCGAAACAATGTGAATATTACAGCTCAAAAGCTCGCGGTTAAAAGAATTGACTCACGATTTCGTCGCTGCCGGACTTTGATCTGTGAATGTTGAATATCCTAAACAACAAAGCATGTTACATTAGCTTAAGCGTAATAAAAATGATGTACAAAGGCTCTCATTGAACCTACCCGTTGTGATGCTGCCCTCGTTTGCGCTACACAGTAATCGACAGTAAAGATACCAATTAATCTTAAGCACAGGAAAAGAACACTGACTGGATCATTCACAATGCCATACCTCTCTTCGCCAGCCTCGTTGGAAGTTGCAGGGGATTTAAAGCTCTTTGAGGTGTCCAAGAGGTTGTAGGAAGACGTGCCTGGATAAAAGACCGCCACCGAGATGTTGTACAGCAGCAGCTCGTTCCGCAAGCTGTCAGCCAGTCCTCGAATGGCGCTCTTCGAGCCACTGCAGGCACCGCAACCCACAGGGAATTCGAGACTGTCCACGCTGCTCACAAACACGATGCGTCCACGGTTTTTCGCTTCAATCATCGCTGGCAGAGCAGCCTATTCGGAACAAAAACAACGTAAGACACAGGTTGCATCAAACTAGAAGCAGATGGAGATGAATCTACCTTGATGAGGACAACAGCACCAAGGTAGTTGACATCCATAGCCTCTTTCATCAGTGCAACATCCTGTTCCCAGAAGTACCCGGGCTTGATGCGTCTGCTGGCTGCGTACACGATGTGATCTGTGGCTCGTCCGTGGAAGGTATTGGCCTCTTGCACTGCCTGTTCCACTTGCTTTGAGTCCACGAGTTCACACTCGAACACGAACACCGAGGCATCTTCTCCTGCCACTTTCTGCATTGATAAAAAAATATTAAATTTGGTTGGCAATAACATTACCAATCGAGAGTTTTCACCTGGAGTTCACTTTGCGCTGCCTTGAGAATTTCCATCGTAGGGCCGATCAGCGACACATTTGCCCCCTTCTTGACATACTTCTTGGCAATTGCCAGCCCCAACGGATTTTCAGTGCCTGAAGTGGCATTCGTTAGGTAAAATGTTTGACAAATATTGTGTGCACAGCCAACGCACCAGTAAACAGCACGTGCTTGCCGCGCACATTGAAGCGTGGCGCAGTCAGCAGAGACCAGAGCCACGAAAGCACGCAGGAGCCCACGAGAACGATGAGGGCGATCCAGCCGCTCTCCATTGTTCACTGCTGAGGAGTGACGAGCTGTTGGCGGTACAGAGCGAAGTGGACAATGGACTCGGCTTGGGTACGCGCGACGTGCCCATATAATTTCCAAGATAAACGAGTTCAGTGTGGTACAGTGTTTACAGTCAGTACAGTGTAAACTGTAGGCACGAGCCGTCTCAAAGGGATAAGCGCTGACAGCTCAGCCAATTGTTGCCGATTGCGGACAAATGATTGCAATCGAAGGAGCTCGGACGTAAACTGCTGATCCTGCATCATTTCTTGCCGGCACTGCTCTGCAAGATTTTGGTGTCGATGAGAATGAAACAATGCATGTACGTGTAGAACCATTAAGCTGAAGGAACGAAACTAGTTTATCAACGGAAGCTTGTTGATCCGCATTTTTCACAAAGGTTACAATGTGAGCAAGGATGTGCTAGTGCTTTGCGCTAACAACTGCGATGATTCATCACCCTATGAACTTCATCATGAAGCCCTAAGGATGAAGCTGACTGTTTTGTTTGGGTTCATCATCGAAACAAATCTGGTCCAAAGCTGGTTCATGTGCAGTCACGATGCGTTTACAGTACGGTACCTACATGCATTTCCACGATGACTTACATGCCGGTGTAAGTTATCACCACATTACAGTCAAACGACTATACCGATGCATGTCGTCAAAATACACGCTGGTTAGAACAGTACAGCAAGCGAGCAACCAACACAGCCGAAAAAAAATAAGTAAACGCATTCCAACCACTTTCCAAAAAGCACATGCGATGAAAATGGGAATAAAAACAAGGAACATGCGAGCGGCTTGAGTTTCCCATAGATACCGACGTCAGAGGAGACCGTCAAGCCGCTCGCGTACCACCGATCTCCTTACAGTCCTCTCTCTATCTAGAACTCCTCCGAACGAGGCTTTGCGACGGCACGCGGCTTCGGTGCCGGTGCGGGCGAAGGCGTGGAGTTCGACTTGGTGGGTGCCGACTTGGGCGGGGAAGTCACGGTCGGCTTCGACGGTGCCGGCGACGCGGTTCGTGTGGGCTTCGGCGAAGGAGTACGGGCCTTCGGAGTCGGCTGCTCGTCGCCGTTCACGAAGCTGCCACTCTCCGAGCCGGGGCTGTGGCGGCCGGGGACGCCACCCTTACCGGTGCTGCGGATGGCCTTGGCCTCCTCCTGGTCAATGAAGCGAATGCTGTTGAGCACGTACTCCTTGTCCGTCTTCATCTTCTTGAGGTTGGCGTTCACCACGTCCTCCTCACTCACAGCCGCGTCGACAGTCACACTGATGTCCTTGAGCAGTCTAGAGTCGATCTCCGAGATGTTCTTCTTGAACTTAAGCAGCTCCACGATCCACTGCTCGGACGGGTGCACCGCGTCGGCCAGCTTGGCCTCGTTGTTGCCGCCCTTGTGGTTGGAAGACGGGCCGTTCTGACGAGCCATCTTTTTCTGGATCTCCTTAAGCGCAGGGATACGCTCCAGCGTGTCTTCGTCCCAGTTGATCTCCTTGCCCTTGACCTTGAGGTTCTCGATCTCCTTGCGTTCCTTGCGGCTCGAGTCGAGCCACTTCTCCATGCGCTTGATGTCGCGTTCAATGACAATCTTGAGCCAGTCGAACACGTCGCGCACCTCCTTCATCTCCTGGTCCACCTTGAAGCGCTTGGCGAACTCGGCGCATGCCTTACGGTCGTAGTAGTTGCGGTTCTTGATGAGTTTCTTGGCGGCCTCCAGCTCGGCCTCACGCGGCAGAATGGGCTTCTCACGCTCAGAGCGGCGGCTCTTGATCTTGCCAAGCTCCACCGGGTACTTCATGTGCTCGGCCTGCATCTGCTTGTAGCTGTCGATAAGGGCGCGGGCGCGCTGCTCGATCAGATCCGCCTCGGAGCGACGCACCTGCGACTCCTTGGCCAGCGACGTCTTCTCGGTGGCGCACAGGGCGCTCTCCTCGCTCTCCATGCGCTCCATGAAGGCGTTAATCGACTCGATCTCGCCCTCGAGCTGAGTGGAGGCGTGCTGCAAGCTCTCCTCCTCCTCCAGAAGACGGTTGGTCAGCATCTCGAAGGCCTCGGCAAGCTGCTGCAACAGACTGCGGATCTGCGATGTCATCATCATGTCCTCGTCCTTCTCCTGCGGCTTGGACACGCTGTACACGTCCTCGACCTGGGCCCAGATCTCACGCTTATCCACCTTCTCCTTGGCGCACTTGCGGCTCACCGACAGCTCCTTGACGACGCTCTTGATGTCGGACTCGTCGTCCTTCTGCAGACGCGACGACTCCTTGAGGTCGTCAGCACGCTCGTTGCGGCCGGCCTCGAGGATCTTCATGTCCTTCTTGCCAAGGTCGGCGGCGTGGCCAGTGACGTACTGGTACCAGTTCTCCGAGGACTTGAGCATCTCGACCTTGTGCTCGCCGTTCAGGATACGCTGCTTCTGGCGCATAATACGCTCCTCCTGGTCGATCACGCGGTGCGTGAAGTGCTGCACCAGCTTCTGCAGGTCGGCGGCACGCACGGCCTGCTTGACCAGACGGTTGGCCTCCACCTTCTTGCGGTTCGAGTGATCGTGCAGCGAGTCCAACACCCAGTTGCCGGCGTTGTTCATGAGCTCCGTGATGAGGCGCTTCTTCTCCTCGCGCTTGGACTCCTCGTCTGCCAACAGCTTTGTCTCTGTATCGATGAGCTTGTTGAACTCGGCGATCATCGTCTCCTCCTGGGCGGCGTTCTTCACTTCCTCCTCCAGGTTCTTGATGTGCTGGTTCATGCGCTGCAGCAGCGACGTGCACAGCTTGTTCTCCGTCTCAAGCTGGGCGGCCTGGTCGTCCAGCTCCTTCTGGAACTGGGCGCGGCGACGGCGCACGTCGTTCATGAACTCGTCGCGCTCGTCCACCTCGGCGTCGCCACCCTCCTGTGGGATGCGCTTGTTGCTGTCCTTCACAGCCTGCAGCTCAGCGGCACGGACCTTCATGTCCGCCTCGAGACGGGCCACGTACTCAGGCGTGATGACCAGAGCGTTACGGGCCTCGTCCAGCGTATTCTTGCAGTCCTCACGGTGCTCGTCGAACAGCTTGCAGTCGGCCTTGCGCTCCTCCGTAAGAGCGGCGCGCTTGAACAGAAGCATACGCTGCGACTTGGTCTGGCGGGCCAGCTGGTCGCTGAAGACGTCCGTGCGCTTCTTGCCGCGCGTGATGCGGGCGTTGTGCTCGTCTAGACGCGACTTGGTGGTGTTGATGCGCTGGGTCTGCACGACACGCCACTCCTTCTCGTACTCCTCGTCGAGAGCCTGGTGGCGCGAGCGGCGCTGGGCGATGGAGCGCGTGCGGGCGTTGATCTCCGTCTTGAGCGCCAGCAGGTCCGACTCGATGGTCTTGACCTTCTTCTGACGCGCCTCGGCCTCCAGACGCACGTACTCGTGTTCCTGCTTGTAGCGGGTGTCTTCATCGCGGCACATCTCGTCCTCACGCTTCATGTTGGCACGGCTGCTGGTCCAGTGCTCACGCTCCTTGGCCAGCTTCATCCACTCTTCGTCGACGGTGTTGCCTTCCTCTTCCAGTAGCTCCGGCTCCTTCTCCTGGATCTTGACGAACTGAGCGTGAAGATCAATGAGTTCGCGGGGCACCTTGTCCTTCTGGTCCTTGGACGAGTGGAAGATACCGTACGAGGACACAATGAAGTCGTTGGCAATGTCCTTGGACACGGCCGGGTTGTGGGCCTCGGACCAGTCGGCACGGTGCTTGGACCACTGGGCCATGTCGTTGTTCCACTGCGTCGTGTCCTGCTGGAAGCTGTCCTTGGACTTAGTGAACTCAACCTTCTCCTTAATGCGCGTCTCCTCTTCGGTGTTGCGCACGGACTGGTCACGGACGACATCGAAGAACAGGATGTGCGTCGTGCTCGATTGCTTCTCGTAGCGTTCCTTCTCACGCTCCATACGCTCGGTCTGGGACTCCTTACGGGCCTCCAGAGCCTTGAAACGGAAGGCAGCCTGCTCACGACGGATGTTCTGAGCGGCTTCACGCTTCTTCTGTTCCTCGGCGCGAGCGGCCTGCTGGGCCAGACGCTGCTTCTGCTCCTTCTGGCGGTTGATCAGGCCGTTCACCTTCTTACGGATCTGGGCCTTCTCGAGCTCCAGACGAAGAGACTTGATGAGCGTGTTGTACTCGTCCGTGTTGTACAGAGACTTCTTGCCGCTCTTCTGGAACTGACGCAGCTGGTCCGTAGGCAGAGCCAAGAACGCCTTCAGACAGTCGGCATCACGCAGAAGTGGATGCAACATGCAACCGTACAGGAAGGTCTGCAGCACCTTCTCGCGCTCGCCACGCGGCGTACGCTTGTCCGGGAAGAAGGGCAGAGCCTTGGGGTTCGTGAACTCACCAAGCTTAATGAACAGCCACTCGAAGTCGGCCATGCTGCGCTCCTCGAGGATCTGGTACTCGTGGGTCACGGCCAGGTCCGACTCGGTGACCGAGTGGTTGGTCGCCTTCGCGGCGGCATCGTTGGGCTCGCAGTACGTCTTGACCATGTACGTTTCAGTGTCGGGAGTGTTGCCGTTCGACTTGGACTTGACGTTAACCAAGATGTCGAGTTTGGTCAGGTACTCAAAACCGGCAGGAGGCTTAGCGACCGGATCCATGACGGGCTTAATGAACTTGGGTGGGTTCTCGTTACAAGACGTACAGTGACGCACAGGCATAGGGAAACCCAGCTCTGGAATGGGCTTGGACTCGACGCTACACTGGTTACAGACACTGCGCGTGCAGCGACGGCAGTGGTGCTGGCGACGGCCGAGCTTGAAGGGACGGAAACAGACCTGGCACTCCGTCTGGTCACTACGGGCCGTCTCGGACACGAAATGGCTGGTGGGGTCGCCGCCCAGCAGACTCGAATCACGCGCGCGCCCCGAGTCATCGCGACTGCGGGCGTTCGGGTCCTGCAGATTGCGGTAGGCGTCGTTAATCTTCTCGAGGGTCTCCTGGTCCTCGAGTTTGGTGGGGTCCATGGAGCGCGACTTCTTCTTGTATTGCGCCGCGATTTCCTCGGGGGTGGCGTCCTTGGAAACGCCAAGGACATCGTAGCTCTCCTGGCCAGAGATGGAGCGGCTGGCCGGGCCGCGACGCTGCGCGAACACGTCGGCCGGCGTCGTGATGGCCTTCATCTGCAGGGCCGTGATACAGTTACGGCAGCAGCGCTGCTGCGCGTTGCCGTAGCCGAACGAGGCCGGCACCTGGATCTTGTGGTTCACACAGGGGCGGCAGAAAAGCAGACCGCACACACGGCAATGGTGACGACGCGGCTTGGGGAAGCCGAAGGGCGTCTTGCAGTCCATGCACTCGTTGCTAAAGTTGTCGGGCACCCAGAGCTTCTCCAGGCCGGCAACGTCGGCGGGCACACCGTCAAGCGAGCCGCGACCGCTGTTGTCGTGCATGCGTCCCTCACTCTGGGTGCGCGGGGGTGCGGGCGATGGGCTCGGCTGAGAAATGGGCTGCGAGCGGCGCTCCGGCGCGGGGGTTGATGCCGCGGTGGGCATCGGGGCCGGGCGGCCACCAGCATTGCCGCTGGACGGCGCTGAGCGGCCACCGACGGCCGAGTTGCCGCTGGATGGGGCGGTCGAGTTGCCGCTGGTAGGCGGACGGCCACCAGACTTTGGAGCAGCGGCGGGCTTTGCTTCGGGCTGCTTGGCAGCCGGCTTGGGCTCGGGCCTCTTGGCTGCCGGTGCGGGAGCAGCCTGCTTGGGAGCGGCCTGCTTGGGCGCGGCCTGCTTTGGGGCCGCCGTAGGCTTCGGGGCGGCAGCGGGCTTGGGCTCCGCCTTCTTATCGGGCTGCTTGGCAGGCGCGGCCGGAGCGGTCACGGGTGCGGCCTTGCGCTGCGAGAGCGAGAGGCTTACTTTGGTGCCGCAGTAGATGCAGAAAGCGTCGGATTCGGACACGTCACGGCCACACTTGATGCAGCTGAGACCGTTGTTGCTGGTGCTAGCGGCAGCCGGGGCCGCCGCTTTCTCGGAACTTCCCGCCATCCTTGACTCGGGAGCTCAGCTAGTAGGTATCCGCCTTATCCAGAGGGAGGCGAATGCTTCCAGCGAGAAACCGAAGCGCGAGAGTCAGCAAGTGGAGTTGTGAGCGACACACGGCCGGCGGCAAAGGGGGAGCGAGAGCGCGGCCTATCCGTGCGGCGGGGAGAGGTCGAGCAAGCCTGCTGTTTTCCCGCGCACGTGAGTTTGTGCTGTGGTCGGGTTGTCGGGGTGTGTAGCCGAGCCTTTACCTGACTTCTCGCCCAGAGAGCCAAGATATGAGTTCGAATGACGGTAGCCAGTCGAACTCGCGGCTTTCTCGGGTGTGCATGCGGTGAGTTTTTCGCCGAGAACGTGCTCGGGCGAGACCAGATACGAAGCTTACGAAGCTTAGTGGTCTGTACATCGGAGACTTTTGTCTACAGTTTGCTGCATGTAACCGTAGCCCGTGTCACGATGTGAGGTCATGTGTCCATGGCTCTGTCCAGCAGGCACAACGCTGCCATCTCGCGTTCTGAGCCGCCGGCTGGCATTTTGGGCCTACTGCATCGAAGCGGATACATCCACAGACACCAACCTGCCTCAACAACAACAACAGCGTAACGATGGCTACGCTTTTCGGGACGCCGCGCCGCCTTGTTCTCGCGCTGAAATGCGGCGAGAGCGAGCACCAACCTCGCGAGCACTTTATCCTCCGTGCATCGATGAATCTCAATCCAACGAGCTTCACCGCGACTGACGCACGTCCATCAATGCTGCTCACAATGTGACGCAGAGATGGGCGTAGCCGGGGCTAATGCGCGGAAGAGCCCTTGGCTTCTGTAGCACTTCAAGGAGCAATGTAGCTCCATTTGTAAGCGTTGGTAAGTGTCCTCGCAGGCAGCCGATGGGCCCGCTGGGATTGCAAGTGCTGTAATACAATCTACAATCTCTAGCGGTCTGCCGCGACGGCGCGGATGCTATCTCTCTACATATAGCTACACTTATCGGTATTATGTACCTGTCACCAGGAGCAATTCCGCACGTGGAGGACGAGCGCGGGCCATGCGCTCCGAATGTCGGCGCCGAGCGTGACGCGTTTGGAGACTTTGCGCGCTTGAAAAAGAGAGCCCGGACTCCGGCGTTCTGCACGGCGCGGCAGGCGCTATGTCGGCGAGTGCCCCGTTGTTACGATAGGCTCCACGTTACTCACGCCTCTTGCCTTGATCGCTGCATCGCCGGCGACTCGCCGCAAAGTGTACTTTCGTCGGGGCGCTGCCTTGTCTTACATGCAGCTCGGCGTTAATCGCATGGAGCGCACAGCGACTGAATTGTGCGATGAATACACGCCGTCAACTCTCCGATTCAACACGCGCCCGACACACACTGCAGATACGTCCACTTTGACCGGCGAGTTGACACTTACGCCACCTGACAATGCTGCGATGGTCCCCCCTCCTCGACCGGCAGCAACAGGAAAGACAGCAACGCTGCACATCTCGGCGCGCTAGGCAGGTGGTCAGGTCTGCCCTATTCGTCCGCCGTGGTGACAAGTTGAAGTTGTTGGCACCACGTGAGACTTGAATGGCAGCACCTTCAGCGCAACCTTCCTTTCTCGTTCGTCGGTTGAGTAAAGATCGAAGCAACTTTCGTTTCTGAATCAGCGTTGTCGTGTCCGCTTGCGCATGAGTTTCCTTAACTGAACCTGATGCAGAGGGCTGCCATTATCGTACAGCGGAAAGCAAGACAGCGACTGGCAAAACGCGTGTGGATCCATTGCGCAGTTTAACGTCAATTATTGCTTCTCCTTCTATGGATCATCGTCAGCCCAAGTGAGCTCAGCGGGTCTTGTAGTGGCACTACCCTTGCGCGATGAAGATATCGGTAGTTGTTGTCGCGGGCGCAGTGAGCGTGCGGATATCGCTCCAGTCTGTCTCGGTGATGGTCGAGAGATCTACAAGTTGTGAGCGTTAGTTAACAATTTCAAGGAAGCAATGCAAGAGGTTTACCATTGCCAAGGAACGGCCTTTGGCTCTGGCCTTGGCGTTGTGGGAGAAGGTGGTGAACGAAGACGGCGACTCGGCGTACGAACCCGGGCCTGGTGGAACATCCCCCGTACGCAACAGCACGGTCTCCTGGCCGTCGCATTTGCGGACTGCTCCAGCGAGCCACGAGCTTCGACTGCTGGGGTTTGCGTGCGGGTCCTTCGGGTCGGCTGGGCTTCCAGGCGGGTATGGACGCCGGTCTGACTTTGGCGACGGCGCCAGTCTTCCTCCGGGACATTCCGGATTGTACGGCGCGTATATCGGACCTGGCGAAAACTCGCCCATATTCTCGCGCATATGCGTGGCCGACACAAACTGCACACGGGTGTTGCGTGCAGCGGTAGCGTGCGGCTTATGGGTAAACGACTCTAGTTGCCGCTTGCCAAAGCGGTGCTCGTGACCGAACGCATTGCCGCTGTTCTTACCGCTTGCGTTGTTGTTTGACGTATGGAGTGCAGTATCTTCGGTGCGAGTTTGTTCTGGCGTCGCAGTGTCTCCATTTGTCGGTTGGCGAGATCTTGGGAGCGATGTTGGCATGACCAACACCCCGTTGCGATTGATAACGGACATCCAAGATTCGCGGTGGCCTCGCCGAGGACTGCCGACGTCGGGGAGGCGCATCCTGTGAGCTTCCGCACGAGCTGTAGACTTGGGTGAAGGTGGTGCCGCGAAAGAATACTTCGGGGGTGCAGCTTTGCCACCATTTGCAGCTAAATAATTGACGTTGTACTTTGGACCGGGGCTCCCGGCCGCCATGAGCTCGCGCTGGTGACCCGAAGCGGTCATACTCACTGCAGCAAGCAGCACACCTCCGACGGTTAGCAAGACTATCAAGACAGCATTCCCAATGTTCGACAGAGACCAGTACCCTTTTGCGATAAAAATCGACCCGACTTGGGGAAGGACGTCTTCGGTGCCCTCGTCTTGATCGAGTCAACGTTCTCGTTGTAATAGTAGCCTGGGGCTCGACCGCTTTCTGCAATTGACATACGATGGGGACTATAACATCAGTCTCCGTGACACAAGCGATCGATGCATCTTTGCTATGAGCATACCTTTGCTAACCACGGGCATATACGGCGACTGGCAACCTTAAAACACAGGATACACGAATACATCAGCGCTGCCGGTTGCTATTGCTTTAACCCGAGCTTACCGCCAATCCAGCTCTCGCGCTTGCCCCACTTCCGACTTTCGTCCACAGGCCTGTAATCAGCCTTCATAACAACCTGCGCATTGGCGCGGATGTCTGGCTTGCCATAGATCGGCCCTGGTGATCGAGCTGACGGGCAGACATGGGTGCTCGTCAGTGCTGCTAAGGTGATAAGTCTTGTGAAAATGCGATGCGCACCTGGTTCAACGGGGAACCGCTCGGACCCTCCAAAAATCGACATGAGGCCTTTGCTGTAATGTTGCTCGAGTCTCTACTTCGAAGGAGGCTCACGCCCGAGACTTTCACCAGACGTTCTTTCCTCTGACCTTCCATTCATTAAACTTGGTATAACATCGAAATAGCCACCTATTCCTGGAAGGTAAGCAAGCTTTCTAGTGCACGTTTCAAGCAATGAGTAACCAGACTAGATCGATAGCGCTTAGGCCGGGAGGGCGGCTCTCCCCAAGCAGAGCTCCGTTCTATCAAGAACGCAAAACAAAAAAGTGTTTTCTTGCTGAAAGACATTTTTTTCTTGTTGTCAGTATTTAATGTGGAGTACCAAGACACAATTTGCTTCTGTGTTCACGCCTAGAGTACGTGGTAGCTCCGTTTTCGCGCGCAATGCGCACGTTACAACTTGGGCTTTGAATACAAACTCCTAATATAAAGATTTTTCAACTCCATTAGGCTACTCTCAGTTACAGTTTTACTCTCATTCGGGAATCTGCCGGCCATAGCCCACAACTACAGCTCCGCCACTTTGACTTCAGCGCCGTCATGGAGGCGACCACCGACGAGTCCAAGGCAGTGGCGTGGGCCATGGAGGTGGGGTTGCTGGAGCGGTCGATGCTCTGCCCTCAGTGCACTCAGCCCATGCGGCTGAACGCGCGCAAGCGCTACTGGCGGTGCTGCAGGAAGACCCGCCACGCCGATGGGAGAGCTCTGCTTGGGGAGAGCCGAGGTCGTGGTTTTTTCCAACGAGGGCCTCTCCCGGTAAGTTCTTGTGCGGACTCGTACAGGCTGTGCAGCGGCACCCACAGCAGGAGGAGTAATAGTACCTGTGTCGAGAGTTGAAGAAAATATTTTTTTAAATAAAGTGTTTTTTGTTTTTCATTCTTCAAAAAGCAGAACTCCGAAAAACGGAGCTCTGCTTGGGGAGAGCCGGGAGGGCTATTATACAAGGTCTCAGAATACACTTTTTGTATTGGAAACCCTCAGCGCTTTTGATGGAAAAAAATACTCTTTAACGTGGCCTTGCAGCTTTTCCGCTTCAGTAATGCCTCGAATTTCCCTGCTACCGTGAAATCGATCCGCACAGGGCGGCAA